TGTTGCAAGTAAGTACCGAGCGGAGCTAGCCTCTAGGCTAGCTAACACCCCACCGAAAAGTATAGATGAGCATTGGTTACATCTTCACGACGCCATGAAAATGGCGAGTAAAGCCGCTTGCGGCTTCGCGAAACGTCCCGCTTACAAGCACTGGGTTTCTTCTGGCTCCTTACAACTGATGGAAGCCCGTCGGTCTACTCCGGGTGACCGTGAGTTTGACCACAAACGAAGGCTGTTACGTAATGAAATTGGGCAAAGCTTGCGTAAGGACCGGGAAGCCTGGTGGTCGGAGCGTGCTAATGAGATGGAAGCAGCAGCTGCATCTGGTAACTGCCGGAAGCTCTTCCAACTCATCCGAGCCACTGGCAGCAAGAAGTCTGGTGTGAGTGAAACAATCTACGAGGATGATGGGATGCCAATCACTAACATCTCCCGACGTCTTGGACGATGGGCGGAATTTTTCGAAGGGCAGTTCAACTGGCCTGCTGCTCCGGCAACATCAACCAGCTTGTCCTGCCCCCCATGGCCGGTGACGACTGATCCACCAAACGAGGCGGAAGTCCGCAAGGATTTCCAACTCTTGAAGCGCTACAAATCACCTGGCCCAGATGACTTACCTCCGGCTCTTTTTAAAGATGGTGGCGACTTTCTGACTAAGGAACTGACGGTGTTGTTTGGAAAGGTTTGGGAGCAAGAAAGTGTTCCAACATCATGGAATGAGTCAATAGTCGTCCCTATCTTTAAAAAGGGTTCGCGTTGTTCCTGCAATAACTATCGGGGGATAAGTCTACTTCCGATTGCGTCCAAACTATTGGCTTCTATCATTCTTCGTAGGTTGTTTAAAACCCGAGAACGATTGACTCGCGAGGAGCAGGCTGGTTTTCGTTCTGGTCGAGGATGCATTGATCACATCTTCACCCTCCGCCAAATGTTAGAACACCGTCATACTTATCGCAGGCCAACAATCGTAGTGTTTCTTGATATCAGGGCGGCCTTCGATTCGTTGGACAGGACTGTTCTCTGGGATTGTCTATTGAAGAAGGGTGTGCCTGAGAAGTTCATTAACATCTTAAAGGCCCTGTACACGAACACCTCAGGCAGAGTGAGGGCATACAACCACCTTTCTCCCTTGTTCCATTCGAGCAGTGGGGTTAGACAGGGTTGCCCGATCTCACCATTCCTCTTCAACTTTGCCATCGACGACATCCTAGAAACAGCTCTGATGGATGTAAGTAATGGCGGTGTGGATATGTTGCCTGGAGAACGACTTCTCGACCTTGAGTATGCGGATGATATTGTCTTACTGTGCGATAATGCCCAAGGCATGCAATCAGCACTTAATCAGTTGGCAATCAGTGTCCGCAGGTACGGCATGTGCTTTGCACCCTCCAAGTGCAAAGTACTTCTACAAGACTGGCAGGATTCTAATCCTGTACTTACCCTGGATGGTGAGGAGATCGAAGTAGTTGAGAAGTTCGTGTATCTAGGTAGCTATATAAGTGCTGGTGGTGGCGTGAGTGATGAGGTTGATGCACGTATACGGAAAGCCAGATCGGCTTATGCCAATCTGGGCCATCTTTGGCGCTTTCGTGATGTTAGTCTGGCTGTAAAAGGTCGGATCTACAACGCGTCGGTGAGAGCAGTTTTGCTCTATGCTTGTGAAACCTGGCCTCTCCGAGTTGAGGATGTTAGACGTCTCTCTGTGTTCGATCATCGTTGTCTCCGAAGGATTGCTGACATCCAGTGGCAACACCATGTTAGTAATGCAGAGGTTCGGCATCGTGTGTTCGGGCGCAGAGACGATAATTCAATTGGTGTCACCATCTTGAAACACCGACTTCGGTGGATTGGACATGTTTTACGAATGTCGTCCCAGAGACTTCCACGTCGTGCATTATTTGCCGACCCTGGGACTGGTTGGAGAAAGCGGAGAGGAGGTCAGTGTATGACATGGTGTCGTGGCATGAAAGAGAGCTGCAAAGGGCTAGCTTCTGTTGGTCCTTCACGACTCCTTGGTTGGGGTCCGAGAGATGGTGCAACACAGTGGCTAGAGACGTTATCAGATATGGCTCAGAATAGAAGCCAGTGGCGATCCTGCTGCAACCTTCTTTTACTTTCTACATAAAGAGTGGTTATAGCTTTCTTAACTGAAAGAGTCTTCTGGTTGTACATTTTAGTCCGCCTTATCTTTTCATCCCTTCTCATCCTACTTTCATTATTTTGTGTGGCGCATATGTACCTGGTGCCCTTTTGTACCAATATATATGTGTTTAAATAAATAAATAAATAAATATGCTGGAAATAACGTTCTCGTCGACTGAATTTTCAGGAATTGATCTCCTACCAGGAGGCGGTGCACTTATTGACTTAGAATACGCAGATGACATAGTCTTGTTTGGTGAAGACTCTGGTAAAATGCAGAGTTTTGGTAAGATTGAGCAACAATGCCAAGATGTTTAAAATACGTTTCTCCTCCTCTAGATGCAAGTTGTTGCTCCAGGACTGGCCTGCGTCAGCACCTGAACTAAGGATAAGTAGTAGAGTAGTCCAACACGTCGATAGCGTCACTTATCTTGGAAGTTTGATCAACCCTAATGGATGGGTGTGTGAAGAAATTTCTTCACGAATAAGAAAGCTCATTTGGCTTTTGCCGACTTACGTCAACAATGCAGACGGTGAGATATCCGTCTATTATTTATTTACTTGAACACAAATATTCGTGCAAAGAATTACCAGATTATCATTTTTGTATTATAAAAAATATTTTTCTCGTCAAGTAGCCTTGTGGAAGTTTGCTCATTAAATTGGCATCAGTGCTTGAAGTCGCTAAATTCTTGTATGATTCATGTTGACAGATTCAGACTACTTGGTTGGGGTCCGCGTCACTAACATAACCAATAGTTAGAGACTCTGTGTGACATGGTTCAGAATCGATCACAATTACGTAGGTGTATACACTGTTTGTTTTCACTTAAACCATGAGATTAAGATTGCTTCATGTTTTTCTTTCTACGATCTAGTTCTTCCTTTTTGTATTATATCCTTATACACAACCTTTCTTTTGCACATTACTACCATTGAAGTGACTACTTCTATGAATTTGGTGTTGATCTTGTTGTGCTAACGAGGTGTAGCAACTCGGACCGATGCATATATGTGCCTGGTCCTACGTTGTAGCTGACTGACTGATCATAAACGTTTCGGTCATTCAGATAAAACTATCCTTTACGTTAGGAAATCAATGTCAGCGGTGCTTAGATGAATAAGCGTATTATATATACAGAAAAATTATAATCATTCATTAGGAAATTTCTTCATATAACTAACATTTGGTTTTGTCTTCAATCTTCTCTCCAGAAATGAATCGAATTCAGAATAACTATTGATTTCATGGTTTCAAAAACTGCCTTGTTTTAAATAAGGTGTCCTTGTTTATCATTTGTTTGCTTGATTGATTTGAACACGTAATTATTGTACAAAGGGGCACCGAATACGTATGCTCCAGACAAGTCATTTTATTTGTGTGGGCTGGATACTGCCTGGGTGCTCGAACCGATAATTTTAATCTTTCCTCATAAGGTGTTTTAAGCCGTATAATGAATATATATATATATATATATATATATATATATATATATATATATATATCCACCAGTTTTTCTTAACATATATTTTATTCTTACACCACAGTTTTTATTCATAACTCTAAATTGCATTTATTCCTTTTTTATCTATTTTCAAATTTAAAGTATTTGAAATTGATGTCAGCTATTGTTCGGAAATCAAATTAAAACTGGACTAATAAATGTTATACTTTATTTCAAATTATCACAGCTCAATGACCTTTTTTGCTATTACTTTCTTTGAAGACTAGATACGTAAAAACTGGATTAAAATCCTATTCGAATCACTTTTGCTTCTATTTATATCATTACTTAAGTTTCTACTTAAAAGTGGTAATCAGTTTTGTGTATCTGTACAGCCTAATCATGTGATATTCACCGGATATAGTGTTTCTTCAAGTTATTCTACACCAGATAAGTCATTTGAAAAACGTCTAAAATCTTCGGCTGAAGTTACGTTGCAGATTGTTATGATGTTGTTAAGTTGGATATTTTTCATGGATAAGTATTTCACCTTTCTTCTCACCATTGGGTGGATGATACTGAAAATAATCTACTCAAGAAGTAACTTCCCGAACTCACAGAATCAACAATGTGGCTTGAAATATAAAGAGATTACACTACAAAGTTGAAAAGACTTGTTAACTAAGAGTCTGTATTCAGAAAACGTCGAAGAATTGTCTCGGCCTGTGTGATCATATCTGTAGGTCCGTACAAACAACAGTAGTTATGTTTCTTCTTAAGGTTCACTTCGACGGAAAATCCTACCACAGTCCGTGTCGTAATTATAAATCATCTATATGTCTTCTCACATTCTCTTAGCTGTTAATCTGGATTCGTTCTATAGATTTTCTTTTGTCAGTTGATCGCTTTTAGCTTCATATATTTATATTTCCAGCTAGTGGTTACTATTGAACTGTAAAATTGACTTCTTTAATACTCGTGCTTCGAACAAAGTGTCATATCGGAGAATTAACCCTAAAGACAGGTCAGCCAATACACTTAAACTGGTAGTTGAGACCCAACTAAAAATCCCTATACAGTCCTTTAAAATTATTATCTTTTATCTAACTGTATCTCACGGGGTGCATGAGGGTTTCAGACCTATCTAAAAGCGGGTTTACTGCACGAGATTTCTTTTTTTATATCTAGTGGTTTTTAAACTTAATCACTGAATATTGTTTTTAAGAGCAGATTAATCCATATTGTTTTAATATACCAGGCACTATTACATTAATATACTCGTCCTTCACAGCCATTAACATACTTGCGATAGACTGTTCTTTCTATCATATGTTAAGTAATATTCAATATATATATATATTGCGAAATCACCCATTATAGTTAATTTCAACTCAAAATCTATGCTAATTTTAGCTCATAAAGGAATATCCAAATTTAAATCTTTTCAATATCCATGAAAATCTCATTGAATGCTACCTAGCTGCCCAACAATATGCTGATGCTCAGGCTTTCCTAGCTAAATACGATGGTAGGTTGTTTGAAAGTGAGATTATGCTCATATATTTTAGTAATGTGATGAATACTCGGAAGATCGATAGATATTGTAGTATTTTTTTTAAAACTGTATACTATATAGTGTTCATTTGGCTTAATTTGCCTAAGTAATATCTCCATCGTAACTGTTACCTTGGAATGGGGGTTAGCCTTTCCTACCTTCAGAACAACTCGAGCACTGGACAGAACTGTACTAAGAATAATTCAAATGGTCTGTTGCCTCACCAACATCGAGCACTTTCTGATATACTTCTTGAATGGTGACTACTGACCCACACAACAAAGTGGAGATCCACAAAGAATTTCAACTGCTGGAAGATCATCGGTCTTTTTGGGGATAATGGAGAATTTGTAGTCAAGAGACCGACTAGCTTGTTCGTAAACTTTTGAGTAATAGATTGTTCTATCACCTCGGAATAAAAAATCTCCGTACCTATCTTTACAAAGAAATTGTATAATTTTATTTTTAGCATCTCGAAGGCTCTGTACACACATCTTTCAAACAGGGTAGGTGCATACACCATCCCCCCTCTTCTGTTTTAGCTTAACAATAAGTTCGATAGAGTACTACTTCTGATACTTTTGCTGGTTCTACTCTAAGTTCATTCTTAATAATTTCATCTCCTTGTGCTAATGTGGGATGACAACTTGAACCGATGCACATATATGCTGGTTTCTGCGTTGCATTTGACTGACTTTTACGCAGGGTCTCCCTATATGCAACACTTCTCTACAGTTTTGGCATCGATGTCATTTTGTAAACATCTCCAACGAATGGAAGCGGTAATGTAAATCTGCTACTCTGACACACACCGTCTTACTGTGCGACGACACACAACCTGTTCAAATCACATCTAATCAGTTCTCAATTAGTTTCCATAATTAGTGCATGTAATTTACATTTTCTGAATGTATAGTACTTCTACAAGACCAGTAGAAGCTCTTTGAAAGTATAGGATAGGAGAAAAGTAAAGTACGTAACAACATTACTGGGATCGATTTTCAGTGATAACCTAGGATCTCTAACTTTATTCTTCGACCTTGGGATGAACTTTAACCAGGAAATCAATCTCCGGACTCCACTCAAATCAACAATCGTTAACCTCATAGACTGATTTTGCGTCCTAGATTTTGAGGAAGTCTTATCTGTTGCAAAAACTGCATTGACTTCTGTTGGCAACCTAGCCTAAAAAGCTAATAAAGGCTAATGTAACTCGAAGACCACTACCAAGTTGATGGTTATTCTCATCCTGTATCACCGTCTGTTGACTAAGATAATATCTGGATTTGGAGAGCTAGAAATAATTCCGTAAGACTTCACCATTTTCAATTTCTCAAGCATTAGAAAAAGTATAGTTTTTCTGAAAGGTACACCAAATAAAATAACTAGTGTTATGGTTAGAACATCAACTGTTATTGTTATTCAGCTTTTTGACAGATCTCGCAGTGATCAAACCCTAGGAAATCAGATTGGTCTAAGACCTGACATATACATTTAGAAACAAAAACTCTTTTTCGGGTCTAAGAGCATAAGCACACTTAAAAACTTAATAGCCGTCGTGTTTCTTGACCCCATTGATTGATAAATTTTATGTCAATTTTAGAGGTTACAAGATCTACTAAAGGGGATACATAAATCTTCTAAAGACTTTTTAATCGAACACGTTTATTTATATCTGATTTAATTTATTGACTATTTGATTCTACAGTTTTTTGGTTTCTCCATAGCACTTTAAAAACAAAAATATTATGAAGCTTGACCAACTGAAGTGATTGGAAAATATGCTAAATTTCCACACAAATTAATTTCCGAAAGTGGGTGCGGTCAGATCAATACGTTATGTTAATCTATTAAGTCATTAACCCTTTCTGTGATCTATGTTCTTAAGTCCAGGCGATATTAGCTCCGCTATGCAATCGTAATCATATGTTATGGATGCTGCCTAAAATCGATTGTAGGTAAAGTAAACACATTCATTCTTAATCATCCTTTAAATGGTGAATATAACATAATTCTCAACACTTCTTTCGCAATTCAATCCGTTTTTATTTGAAAGGTATATTTCCAACGTCCTGTTCATTGTTTGTTGATGTTATCGTTTCGAATTCTATTGATAATTTTTTTGATAATACTTCAGACTAACCTAGTTTTAATTTGCATCATCTCTACCCTTTTCCAGATATCAACTATCCGAAATCAGCTACTATATGTTACACTGCAGCTTTGCTTAAAGCCAGACAAGTATCTGAAAAGTAAGTTTCTCTTTGTTATATTGCTTAGCTGTACATCGTTTTCAATGTGGCTGTTACGTGGACTTTGGTAGTCGCTATGCGTTTGCAACGTACAAGATTAATAAATAGGCAATCGAATCGGCGACAGTATTATTTTGAATAATAAGCTGCTAGTTGCGTTTGAAGTGGCAAAACTATTTTGTCAAAACTGAACTATATGAATAGCCTGAAGCCGACCAGTTGGATCAAAGCTAACAGGTAATGGTTTTTGGTCAGTCAGTCAGCTGCAACGTAGTACTATGTACTTATATGCACCGGTCCAAGTTGCCACACCTCATTAGCACAACAAGATGAACAGCTAGTTCTTAGAAGCAATTACTTCAATGGTTGTAATATATAAAAGATTGTGTATAAGGATCAAATACAGGAAGAATTAGTTCGTAGATATAAAGGTTTTGGAGCGGAATTCGAAAAGTCATGGGGAATAGATTGATAGTAACCGCTTCACCTTTTATACGTAATCATTGTTATTGGCAACTTACTCATTTATCGAACTAAAATCTCATGTTATAAATATTTATTTAGATTTTCTCCGGACTTAGCGTCACGTAGGGGTTTGAATGCAGCTGAACTGAGTGCTGTTGAAGCTATTCATCGGGCTGTTGAATTTAATCCACATGTGCCAAAAGTGAGTTCACTGTTATGTGGGTCCTTCCTAATCTTGGTTTTAATCACTGTACTTCATATAAAGCGGTGGCCCAGTTTCCTAGACGTTCGACTTTTGGTAACTACGTTGCAGGTTCATATTCCACTTCAACAACTTCAGTTTGGACACCCGGGCAGTATTACTAACTCTTACAGTTAGTATCATTCGAAATCCAAACATGCGAGTAATCAGTTAGTCATACGCATCACAGACATGTGTATGTCATTCTAAGTTGTTACACCCCCATTATAACAGCAAGAAGAAACTGTCAGGGTATGTGTAAATGAGTTGATAGACAAATCCGTATTGAGCGTATCGTTTGAAAAAAATTAACAACTAAACAAGTGCAATCTGTTAATATTTGTTGGCTCTTTGTTTACAAAGATTTGTACATTATACCTGTTATTTGCACAATGTCGTCACATGCTGTTAGAGCATTGAAAAACCTTGTCAATGAAGTTGAGTATTTTGTTGACACTCCCACAAATTTGTCGAGTGCTTACTTAACCGAACTGTTTACATTCTCTATCGTGATACAGTCGGCTAGAAGCATTGTACGATGTTTAGTACCAGTCTTAAATTTCTACAATTCCATTTTAGCTTTGAAGAAAATGCTAGGAGTGTAGCTAACATATTGCTACAGTTGACTTGTTCATTTTCATGTTAGTTACTCTAATCAGAAAATCATCAGTGTAGATTGAATTCCTGTTAAAAAAAACATCAATTATGTTTTCAATCTTCTTCATCTAATTGTATTTTTCTTATCTAATGGCATATAGAACTTCATCCTACTGTTTTCTGCTATAGTCAAACTACTTGAATAAAATATTTCCCATTCATGATAATGTATATCTAACATGTTAATACAGTTCGAACTATTCATCATACTAGGTTGCAAAAACTCATGTACTAGTTTCTAATCTTACTCCGCGTAACTGAAAACATCGCAAATAAACTATAACCAAATAATTAAAAATGTGTCGTTTAAAATCTCCTTGGAACACTCGTTAGATTTCGCTGGGCTTCCAAACATACATCCTTACACTGATTATATTTTAACCACATACCTTGAAATGAAAGATAATTGCGAGTATCCACCCACCTTCTGCAAAATTGTAGCACAGTATATTTAGTTACTTATTGATGATAAAAATCCAGAACTGGTTGCGTTTTCTAAAACATATCCACCTCAGAATCTCACAAAAATTATTTGATTTTTGTCATACTAGTTTTTAAGCCACCTCTCATCCTATTTGAGGTAAATTGAGTAAACAAGTTGAGGTGATTAGATAAATTTCAATAGAGTTAATTTTTCTGTATTTTAAATATTCTTAGGGTAAATTGTTATCAGGAATTTATTACTGTAATAATGCATAGACTAAATCAAATGACTGTCTTAATAACTAAACTCGTGACTTGAAAGTATTGTCCATTAAGTGGTAGTTAATCCTTGATGTATTTTTACGCGCCTTTTAATCAACCTGGTCTATTTAGATCGAAGAATTCGCAACTTAACTGAGTACAAAACTCCCGCAATGCTCATTCCCGTTTTAACATTTATTCTATTATTTATCTCTTAGCAAAGACAAAAAGATATCTCTCGATATTGATAATAGTCAAGAAGCATTTCGTAGTATTTATTCTGGGTAAGACTTATGAAAGAATAAATCAATCGAAACACCATATTACGAATCTATATTACTTTAAGATAAAAAAGTCATCTATTTACTTCGTTGGATTTGTTTCATTTCAATTCCCTTTCAGTATCTTCTTGAAATGAAACCTCTAATATTGCCTACAGAGCACATTTTAAAACGTGGCGATTCTGAAGCCATTGCCTATGCATTTTTTCATTTAGCTCATTGGAAGGCTGTAGAAGGTGCAATTAATTTATTATATTGTACATGGGAGGGAACTTTTCGACTCATTCCATATCCTCTAGAAAAAGGAAACCTCTTTTATCCATATCCCCATTCAACTACAGCAACTGATCGAGAACTTTTACCAAGTATGAATGCATTGTTTTTGTTTTGTCGTTCTAGTCTCATAAATGATATCAAAATATATTTGGTGAACTACATCGTTTACGTGGTTGAATTCCATTGAGAGTTCTTTTATAGGTCACTTGTTAAATCCTCTTGTAGAGAACACGGTATTGTTTGATGTGTTTTCCTTCAACCAGCTAGCATTATAATCCTAAACGTTTATGAGAACAATCATTTATGAATCAGCCTTTGATCGGAAGTTACTATCTAATGTTGCTACTTCTTTTGCAGCAAATGCAGATATTATTATCGAATACAGAACAATTAGAAATAGGTTAAGCAACACGTAAAAAATAGTTATAATTGGTAAAAGAATTGGCTTAATTCTATCAGATTAAGTCTGTAAATCATGTTCTTAGTTTTATTAATGATATTGTGCCCTACTTTCTAAAATTCAAATCCAATTTACGGGTTGGAAATTGGAAAAAACCCTTTTGTCACTGATTATGGAAATATACTTTGTTTTATTGGAAAGTTGACCTTACAGCTCAAAATCGGAGTATTAAATTACAAAAGGCGTAAAAAATCACATTTTTTACTGAGAAACAACTAACATACCTTCCTCCTACAAAGACGAGATGTTGAGAGTTCTAGCTTTTGACTAGCGCTACCATCCCTAACGTACTAAAATATGTTCAGGCTTTTATGTGTTAGGTGTTTTTGTCTAAGTGCTTCGACCAATAAAGTTGAAGTAAAAATATAAATTTTTCGTTACTTCCAAAAAACTTGGTTGTATCAAAGTGACTGGAATTTTCACAACCGGTGATGATAAATATTATTGGTTAGAAACGTAGCTTTCTAATTTTCATTGTAAGTAAGAACGAGAAATAATCTCTCCTATTTGGTAAGATAAAAAGATCAATTCTGGAATTAGAGCGAAGTTCTCGTTAGTGGATTACCAAACAAAATATTTGCCATGGACTAAAAGCAACTATGTTACAGCAGAAAATATCATACTAAGAACAAAAACAAATATTTCAATGGAGGAACTAATCTTTTAGGAGATTCCATGTTAGAAAGTTGTACATTCCTTTTTATATTAAGATATATGATAAACAAGTTCTGTGTTAAAATGAACTTTAATTGTAAGCTCGATATCATTAAATTAGAATTTATGCCTAAAAGTGTATAGAAAATATTATCGTTAAAATAACAAATAATGCGCCTGTATTCTTTTGCAATAACAACCACCGTAAAGCTTTAAATTTATTACCATATGTAAGAGACTTTATTTAATCTGAAATGGCATGGGTCTTTTTGTACATACCCATAACTTTAAAACAAATACATATCTATCATATCAAATTTCCTTTGCGTTCTATTTTCATATTTAGGTTTTCATACACTATCTGTGTATCCGAAAAAAGATGTGCCATTTTTTATTCTATTTATTGCAACTCTATGCTCTTTAACAGCTATACTTACATGTTTAACTCATGTATATCCTGAACAAATGGGATCACTTTCTAGTAAGGTGAGTACAAATAACTTTTCAAAAGTGATTTTTTTATGCCTAAACGGTACTATAAGTTAAGCATAATCGCCACTAGTATTTGAAGTCTCAATATGAGTACTAGAAAAACAACAGAAAACGTTCAATTACACATTTTCTATTCCTAAACTACTTACATGATAAAGTCAATCAACTGTTTTATGACACAACATTGGATACGACTGATCACGTAATGGATGCGATTATTTACCTCATATCTAAAATATTAGTAGTTTGTTCAGTTGCCCTTTTATTTATTTTTATGGTATTTTCTATGTATTAATAATTCTTAGATTATGTGGGCTTACAGTATAGTAAACAATTTAACTTGACGTTTCGTTCAGTTTCATTGATGGACACTACCGCTTAGATTCTGAAACCAACTAATTTTCCTTCTTTCACAGACTCTCAACTGGTTTTTCAGTCCAATCAATTATCTATTGGAAAAACTAGAAGGATTACTAATTTTGTTAGCTCCAACGTCTGCTCGAAAGCTTTTAACTTAAACAACTTAATAATAATTCACGTTCAAAAAAGCATTTTTTCCCTTCAGATGACAAATGTTTCAGTCTTAATGTCATAATGTTGCTTTTTCGTTGTTTATTTCTATTGCAATACTGTTGTTTTGTTCGGTACTTACTTTTCCGATGTTTCACTAATATCATAACTAGCTTTAAACAATATTTATTTGTGTTTTGTCCATAAAAGTATAGTCCGCAGACTACTATGAAAAAAATAATATATATATATATATATATATATTGCATTTTAAAAATACGAGTTGTACTTAATTATTTGTCTACGAAATCAAAAAAAGTTGTTACGTTTTACTTTGGAAATGTTTATTAGTTTGATTCCATTCTTCTTCGGTGAATCCAAGCAAGGAAATTTCATTGGGATCCATTAAATTGTTTTCTGCTCGACAACGTAAGTAACCGGCTGCTTCAGATCTACATAAAGAATTATTCCAACGATTCTTCTTCATACATTGAGTCCATTCCAACATAGCAACTTTACATACGCCATGATGATCTAACGGAAAGCTTCCTCTTAATGGAGGAAGAACTCGAGATCTATTTGGAATGTAACCTGTGGAGTCGGCGGACACTGTAAGAGGTATCCCCATCCCTAAAAATACAACAAGACTAACGTACACAGGAATTTGAAATAAACAGAAGAACTTTAATGGCACATCTAAATAATAAACAAATAATATAAGGATAATATAATTCTGCTTCGAGTTTAGAAGCTTATAACTCATGTCAAAACCACTTTCGAAGAGTTCAAGCAGTATAAATCATGATAGAGTGCCACCAGACAAAAAGGCTACCGCTCATCTACCCTTGATTAAAAATAGTTATTCTTACTGTTTTCGAGCTACTACTATATCTGACAATCATCGAACAACTAATCAAGTGCGTAAATTTCGCAACAAGCTCAAGAGCAATTTTACGTAAGCTCATTTGACGAACGACTGTTCAGCTATATAACGCTGTGATTTGTTTTAAAACCGAATTTCGATATAACTCTGAATACTAGTTTAGAAAGATGGGGTGAAATTTAAAATTTCCGTATCATGATAACTGTTATTATGACCAGTTGTTTGCCACTAGATAAGTAACTGGTTTATTTAAATTTTTAGTTTGATTCTTAACGCTTGTGTACAACTTAGCAACTTACTGGTTAACGGAAGACATGTTTATCAAACAATGTTACGACATTTGTATACTTGGTTGCTTTGTGGGTATGTAATGCCACAACTAATAGTATCTCAAAATTATCAAGCGTGTTCAGTCGAACCACCAGATGTGATGGTTGGAATGTGTTACGAATCCTTAAACAATGTCTACCTCGATAGGCGATGTTTTCTGGTGTGAGAGTAGGCTGGAAAAAAGCGCTAGGGGTGGTCAAACCAAAACATGACATCAGTCCACGAAGTTGTTGATAATTGAATTTAGCCTTGTTAACAAGTGTAGCCTACCTGGTTGAGGTCCCCGTGACTATCGTATCCAATGGTTAGTGACTGAACGACATGACTCAAAATCGTTTGCATTGGTGCACGTCCATTCACTTTCCTTGTTTCTATAGAATCTAGTTATTGGGATTTCCTTATACCTGTTTTCCTTGTTTAATACGTGCGACTACTGATACTGTTACTACCATTACTTTGGGATTTGTATAAAGAGAATTCTATTTCATTGTGCTAATATGGTATGGCAACTTGAACCAATAATCATATGTCTCAGGTTCTCCTTTGCAAATGACTGACTTAACACTACTGCCGTCTAAGGCTCGAATTTCCTTTATTAGTCACCGAACCGCAAGCGACCAAAGATAATTTCAAATAAGACTACATTCGTATAAATTTTGACCGTACATTTATACAGGGTACGAGTAGAACAACTTTGAACGGATAAATTGCAGGTATATCCAAATGAACGTAGGCGATTGCATAGGATTTATCTTTACGCACAATAAATAAAAGAATTGCAGATCCTTGGATGAATTACCTAAGACAGATTTCAGGCAATGAAAGTTAATAGAAATCAACATCCAAAACCTAGGGAAGCATGGCCAGTGGTTTTTGACCAATATACATCAAGGCACTAGAGTGCGTCAGTGCAGATTGCTGCGCCACACCAAGACGTGGTGTAGTTGCGATAAATAGCAAGGGAGTTAAAATAATAATGCCGATACTACTGCAAGTGGTTAAATATTGGAGGATATAATTTCAAAATAAGGACAAATGTGAAAAAATATGGGACAATCATGAAGATCAACATTGAGAGAAAAGTAGGGAGTGAGTGCACCTATGTCATTGTGATCGATCCTAACCCAAATCACCCGGAGTCTATAATTACTGAATGTGCAGGCAACTAACCAGTTAGCCCTCACCAACTAATGTCCTAGAGCAATTATTTCATGAATTGTTGACTTCATAGTCTGGTCCCATGTTTCGGTTTATCAGCCTCTCCCAAGTCTACTTAAACATGTTTCCACCTCAACCAGCATCGTGCTTCAGACAAGACGGTGGCTAAGTATCCGGAGCAAATGTTCTACGCACAGCGGCCGATAAAATTTTATAGCTCTATCAACCCCTTCAATATATTGTTTAACAGCCTAAGCACAATGGACATTTGGTTGTTCCAAAGTCAAAAATCAAAACAGCGGAATACCGCGCAGTATATTCATCCCTTGATTGGTGAACGGACACCTCGCGTACGCTAAAAGTAGCCAAAGCCGAGAAGGATCAAGATAGCTTTTTGAATCATTGAGGTGATTCCTCTGTTCAACTGGATACCAATGTAATATAAATGATTAAGCTATCAAAACCCATAAATATGTCAAGGTGACAAATCACTGGAAGAAATTATAACAATCCACCTCACAACATTACCTAATCAAGAAGAGAAATATTGGTATGAAAATAAGTTTATTCGTTATGACAATAATTTATGTACAGTTTTCTGTTGTGTATGATAGGTACCACGCATGCTCTCGGTTCACTGACACTACTTTATAGCAAAGGAATCTGGAAAAATTAGAAAGTTACAATTAATAAAATAACATTTAGAAATTACATGGATATTTAGGACTCTAACAGTTAAAATGAACCTGATAGAATTAAGAAGTTATGTCGTTTTCTGTGGTTATCAATGAATGAAATTCGCTTTAAATTCAAATGTCAAATAACCTCTATGGAAAAAATTTATTACCAAACATAATCGCTATCTATGCTTCGAGTTTTAATACTCATCAGTAATTAGATGACTAAGTTGTTGATAGCGGGAAAGTCATGACTGTCGTGTTCTCAGGTCAAGCTCAAATTGCAGTAAACTTGTGGTGTATGCGACTTATGTTTACAGACATATGTAGTATGTAACACTTTTCGGAAGTGGAAAACTTGGAGGCAGAAGGCTAAGAGGATCGAGTTGAAGAGAACAGAAATGGAAATAGAAAGGAATTGTGAATTGGAAGAATCGTAGAGAATGTGGAGGAAGAATGGAGATTTGCAAATGAAGTATTTAATGTACGGTTTTCACAATTTACCAAATAACTCGGTAATCATGTGAATACAAAGTTGATCTTCCCCACCCGTGTTCTCGTTCACAACAGGTTGATCAGTCCAATGTTCAACTAGTAAGGACTAGTATACTACTCAAGAAAATTGACGTGTAAACTGTATAGACTAAAATATATTTACTATCATATCTTACGTTGTTTAGTTTTATTAGTAAATATATATCAGTCGAGTGAAGCTATGTGTTCAGGGAATAACACAATGGAGAACGCAGCAGTTAGAACGGTACAATAAATTCCCCGACTTCAGTTTCAGCTTCCGGCATTCATGAGCGTAGTGTTTGTTGAAGCACAAAAACGCGTTTTAGTGACAGAAAATACCTGTCATGTGGTTATGATACATACAATGAAACTGATAAAATAATAATATAAATGGAAGAACTCAATTTTGATATCAAAAGTAAATTAGATTACAACAGCAATACAGAAGGTAATGCGATTCATAATAAACATTATGATATTAACAAAACGAATATAAAAAAAAGGGAATGACATTACTCACTTTGTTTTGAAGATTCACTTAAAACTGAACATGGACTGTTGGCCATCCTGTAATAGATAATATAACGTCGATTTCTGAGTGAATATAGATTTAACATTGACTCATTGAATAGGTAGTTTAAATTAAATCTAAATTCATCATGCTGGTTAGCGCTTAAATGATTTTTTTATCACAGGAAATTAACTGGAAAACTACTAAAATACAATAATTGGGTCGATTTTTGTATTAAAATGGATTTACATCTCAGAAAAGTTCCAATTTAGGCGGCATTAATTCAACGCTCCTTAGTTCACTAAATGATGTTAATCAGTAATCAACGTCATCTACATAGTATTAATCTCGTACGACGAACATGTTTGAATATGTTACTTGTGTGATTGATGCGAGATTACAGTAATATGTTGACTCCTGGACCGCACAATGTGAAGTAGCAGGTCATATTACTTCCTTTCTTAAACAAAAACTAAGTTTTAATTTTAGAAAATATAAGGACTTTACGATATTTTCATGAGAAAACATAACAAAACCTGAGTATATATACTTCACATTATTACCACAGATTTGAAACGTACCTAGAACCGCGGGAGATCATGTTCATACCTAAGAATTAGTAGGGGAAAAAGGCTGTTAGGTATTATATTGAAATAAAGATATGTCAACTTGATTAACTTACATTAAATTTATTACATGAAGCCGTAAACTCTTAAAGTTAAAGTAGTGCCTTTGAACATAGTAGCACTTCTAATGCCAGAAAAACTGAGACCTTTGAAAATAACTTCTACTCGTATCCACTGCTGAATTGTATTCGAGTAACTATCGTACTCATTCTTGTTCACCATGGTGACAAAATATAATGGGAGTTGATCAAAATCTTTTTTCCTTCAAACAGCAACTCCAAAGCTAATTTCAAAGTTTATTTACCTTCAAGCTTTTCAAACTGTAAATAAGTAATTAACCGAAGAAATTGCCTACCACAGTAGGTCAAAAAAGATAAATTAATCGCTTTTAGCCCCAATAAAAGGTTAATTTACATTTAGAATGTATTGTTTCCGGGTCTTGACTACTAATTGTTCACTGATTTTTTTTACAGTAGCCCATTTACTACCATTCAACCCAATGGGTATAAATTACTTTAGGATATTCCACATCAAGAAAGAAAGCAAATAGAAAGTGTCACGAGTTCCTGTTTACTTTTCTTTCCATATAAGTCATCCATATTGAAATGGGTGGTACTTTCAACGCAGAATCATTTTCATGTGTATTATGTCTAGGTTTATCGCTTGAAGAAGAAGCATACGCTCAACGATGATAGATGGAGGTTTAGGAGCGCCACTGTTCGCCTAAAAAAGATTATTGGAGGCTGGGACCAAAACAAGAGAATTTTGATGAGCGAGGCTGCGAATGATATTTAGCTCGCCTAGAACAAACCATCGTGGCGAAGTGAGAGTATGTGGCCACAAAAAATATTGGGCCACTTCTCTTCCAAAAAAATAATAAATGAAGAAACTTTTTAACAGTTTTGACTGAGGGAATACAGAATAGTCAGTCGCTCGAAAAAATAACGAACTATGGTGCTTCAGAGATCTTCATCCAAAATATACTTATTGAAAATCTGGATGTGGTTGTAAAAGTTTATCTTAATTGTTATATACTAGGGAAAAAGTAAGTACTGATAACTTACGGGACCTCTTATTAGACTATTAATCTATTTATATTCCTATGGTATAACTATTCAGTAACTGGATTATCTATGTCTATATTCATCTTATTACTAGCTTCATTTTGACCTACTGATTATTATTATATTTATATTATTTATTTAAACACATATATTGGTACAAAAGGGCACCAGATACATATGCGCCACACAAAATCATGAAAGTAGGAAGAGAAGGGATGAAAAGATAAGGCGGACTGAAATGTACAACCAGAAGACTCTTTCAGTTAAGAAAGTTAGAACCACTCTTTATGTAGAAAGTAAAAGAAGGTTGCAGCAGGATCGCCACTGGCTTCTATTCTGAGCCATATCCGATAACGTCTCTAGCCACTGTGTTGCACCATCTCTCGGACCCCAGCCAGGGAGTCGTGAAGGCCCAACAGAAGCTAGCCCTTTGCAGCTCTCTTTCATGCCACGACGCCACGTCATACACTGACCTCCTCTCCGCTTTTTCCAACCAGTCCCAGAGTCGGCAAATAATGCACGACGTGGAAGTCTCTGGGACGACATTCGTAAAACATGTCCAATCCACCGAAGTCGGTGTTTCAAGATGGTGACACCAATTGAATTATCGTCTCGGCGCCCGAACACACGATGCCGAACCTCTGCATTACTAACATGGTGTTGCCACTGTATGTCAGCAATCCTTCGGAGACAACGATGATCGAACACAGAGAGTCGTCTAACATCCTCAACTCGGAGAGGCCAGGTTTCACAAGCATAGAGCAAAACTGCTCTCACCGACGCGTTGTAGATCCGACCTTTTACAGCCAGACTAACATCACGAAGGCGCCAAAGATGGCCCAGATTGGCATAAGCCGATCTGGCTTTCCTTATACGTGCATCAATCTCATCACTCACGCCACCACCAGCACTTATATAGCTACCTAGATACACGAACTTCTCAACTACTTCAATCTGCTCACCATCCAGGGTAAGTACAGGATGAGAATCCTGCCAGTCTTGTAGGAGTACTTTGCACTTGGAGGGTGCAAAGCACATGCCGTACCTGCGTACATTGATTGCCAACTGATTAAGTGCGGATTGCATGCCTTGGGCATTATCGCACAGTAAGACAATACCATCCGCATACTCAAGGTCGAGAAGTCGTTCTCCAGGCAACATATCCACACCGCCATTACTTACATCCATCAGAGCTGTTTCCAGGATATCGTCGATGGCAAAGTTGAAGAGGAATGGTGAGATCGGGCAACCCTGTCTAACCCCACTGCTCGAATGAAACAAGGGAGAAAGGTGGTTGTATGCCCTCACTCTGCCTAAGGTGTTCGTATACAGGGCCTTTAAGATGTTAATGAAATTCTCAGGCACACCCTTCTTTAATAGACAATCCCAGAGAACAGTCCTGTCCAACGAATCGAAGGCAGCCATGATATCAAGAAACACTATGATTGTTGGCCTGCGATAAGTATGACGGTGTTCTAACATTTGGCGGAGGGTGAAGATGTGATCAATGCATCCTCGACCAGAACGAAAACCAGCCTGCTCCTCGCGAGTCAAACGTTCTCGGGTTTTAAACAACCTACGAAGAATGACAGAAGCCAATAGTTTGGACGCAATCGGAAGTAGACTTATCCCCCGATAGTTGTTACAGGAACAACGTGAACCCTTTTTAAAGATAGGAACGACTATTCACTCATTCCATGATGTTGGAACACTTTCTTGCTCCCAAACCTTTGCAAACAACACCGTCAGTTCCTTAGCCAGAAAGTCACCACCATCTTTAAAAAGAGCCGGAGGTAAGTCATCTGGGCCAGGTGATTTGTAGCGCTTCAAGAGTTGGAGTTCCTTACGTAACAGCCTTCGTTTGTGGTCAAACTCACGGTCACCCGGAGTAGACCGACGGGCTTCCATCAGTTGTAAGGAGCCAGAAGAAACCCAGTGCTTGTAAGCGGGACGTTTCGCGAAGCCGCAAGCGGCTTTACTCGCCATTTTCATGGCGTCGTGAAGAAGCAACCAATGCTCATCTATACTTTTCGGTGGGATGGTAACTAGCCAAGAAGCTAGCTCCGCTCGATACCTACTTGCAACAGACGTTGCAGCCAGTTTACTAACATCAATCCGTTGGTGGTGGTCAATCCTTCGGCCACTGAAAAGTAAGGTGAGATTGGCGCAGACCAGGGCATGATCAGACTCCAGATAGGTACTCCAAAAGGAGCGGCAGTCTTGTACACAACCACGCCAGCGGTAGCTGATCGCGATGTGATCAATCTGAGTCCAGGCTTGAGATGCAGAGGGAGGACGCCAGGTGGCACACCGGCGATGACTGTGCCGGAAGTTAGTGCTGGCCAGAAACAGGTTGTGGTCTGTGCACAGTTGCAGCAAACGGTCCCCGTTATCTGTCCTGCGACCAACAAGTCCCCATCGACCACCTAAACGACTCTCTTCTGTGCCTAGACGCCCGACCTGTGCATTCAAGTCTCCAGCTAATACTACGATATCTGTTGAACGCGCTTTCTGGAGAAGAACTGTTAACTAGTGGTAAAACTCATCCTTGATTGCATCCGGGCTGCAATCTGTCGGGGCATAGGCGGAGATGACGAAAAAACACCGTTTCTCACGCCGGTTTCTTCTCACTTTGATGGAACTTTCTAATCTAACAGCACATAACCGACTGTTAATGGGGATCCAATCGATTAGTGCTGCCTCAGCCCTAGCGCTTAGTGCGACACCAACGCCTGCAAGACCAGACGAAGATGCCACAGGGTCCCCGGATAAGCGCACGTGAAACAAGCTTTTCGAAGCGACAGATGGAGAGCGAATTTGTAGTACTTCACTAGTCTTGAATACGGGTCTCGGATAGACAACAAACGTCAACATTAAGACCTTCCAAAGACATAGCCAGCCCCATCTGTTGTCTGATATGCATTAGTGTGCGAACGTTGAAGGAATCCAGCTTGAACGGCGTACGTGGTTTCAGAAAGACTGCCTCAGTATTCGTAATCGGTGGAAGCATTCAATTTCAACCAGACAGTGACTGGAGATCGTTTAGATATGACAGAGTTTCCACCATGGGCGAACTCCTGCATAAGTTGGAAAGGAAGGATACACAATTTGGGAATAAAGGGAGTGAAAAAGCGACGTAGTAAATAATAGTAATAATAATGATAATAATAATAATAATAATAATAATAATAATAATAAAGGTAATAATAATAATGTAAATTGTCTTGCTTCTAGTATCAGCAGGGATAGTATCGTCAATAGAGTTCATCATTTCATTTATTTGTGTGTGGGCTGTGATACTGCCCGGGTGCCCAAACCGAAGCAGGTGGTTTTCTTAGGGGACCACACCCCGAGTCTTTGACCTAAAGGTCTGATCCACAAGGCAGTGGAGCATCGTGAGGAGATGCAGTCCCATGGTAGCCGTTGACCAACAATAGGTCCATTCGCCATTCGTTCCATCAGGATACTGGAGCCCATGTGCACCATTGGTTTGGAATTAGGGTTTTCCAACTCCCCTAGGTGAACTTTGAGTGTCCATGAACCCGGTTAAAGCGCCGGACATTCGCTTTTCGTCCTCTCACTTTCGTAAAAAACACCCCCGCCACGAGAAGGCAGTGAGTAGGACTTCCCTGGCAGAGGCTATATATTCGCTGGCCATGTGAAAGCATTTGGAGAGGGAGAGTAGACTCTCTCCACTCTCGGCCGTACCAGGGCATTTGGGGGCGATTATTATTATATGATTTATTGTCCCTAAATTATACTCGGTTTACTGAGTACTGTCTCCCACGCTTACAACCACGTTTGGCTTGATATTGTACAAATATTATTTTCTATTTTATGGTGTGGTGTGGTCTGCCTGTTTGGTATATAGATAAAGTATGTTTGAAATAAACGATTCGCGTTACAGCAGCTGCTATTAGTGTTTTGGACTCGAATGGACGGGTTAGGAGGATAAGGAGCAATAAGGACGCTAGATTACTCATACTAATCGACAGTCATTGTCACAGTGTGAAGGTCGTAGAAGGCGTATTCTATTGGTGGATAATTTACGCGAATTACGTCCTTGTTAAATTCGTAAGGTCATAACGAATCAGCGACGACCTTGATCAAGTCATAACAATTGGCTACAGCCTAGGTCAGAAACATAACATTAATATTCTGAACATGCGCTTTTATTGAGTACTATTGATAACGTACTAGGAAACACCTAACATACAAGGAGTATTGAGGAACGAAAACCAAAATGTACAACAGATAATTCGCAATTATTTGAGTTCCTATTAGATGATACTTTTTCTCACCTTATAAATTAGAAACGAAACTCTGGTTATCTTATGGCATCAACGTTACTTTTGAAAGGAATGGCAATTAAACTTACAACAAAAAGACCGAGTAAACTTACTTTTCAATCTCAATAAATTGGACTTGAAACTTTTAGGGTTTAATTCCTTATTCAATTTGTCTTTGATCTCAGCGCTAGGAGTAGCAGTATTATCACTTCTATGCATATCTACACTTTTAGTTTTGTTCACTTGAGAACTACCATGTGTACAACTGTTTACTTGCGATGATATCAATCTATCCTCATCTTTGCGAAGTTGGTTAGTAGTTGTTGATATTTTCGAAGACATTCTATCTATAGAAACATCTGACTTGTTCTTAAAAATTTTAGATTGGTTTCGCACAGTTGACTTTCTGGAAGATTTATTTACCTTGAAATGATTTAGTATGGATAAATAGTTAGAAGACTCTAAGAAACGTGGGAATGAATCGGTTTTCATTAATGTATATACCTAGAAATTTGAACAATATATACATTATAGATAGTAAAAACAAATAAGTAATGAACAAAGTAAATGAATTGGTAAAATTAAAATGGTAAACGTATATTAACTAATCAAATGAAATGACTCGCCCCAAAGATGGAATCCATCAGCTGCTCCACATAAATGATAAAATTCATTGTTGTATGAACATCAGTAAGTTGTAACGTAGAACGAGGTAAATATGTGCATCGGTTCAAGCTGTCATACGCAATTAGCACAGACACATGAAACTACTAGGCCAAATCCCTGAATAGTAAAAGTACTAACTGTGTAAGTGGTAACAGATTAGGGATTAAAGGTACGATTCAATAAAATATAAATCAGTGAAATAAAAACACAAAAGCAGTTATTAAGTATTCAAGAACGATAAAGAGTGGATGCACCAGCGCCATTGAAAACGATTTTGAGTCATGTCATTCAGTCACTAACCATTGGATACGAAAGTCACGGGGACCTCAGCCAGGTAGGCTACACTTGTTAACAAGGCTAAATTCAATTATCAACAACTTCGTGGACTGATGTCATGTTTTGGTTTGACCACCCCTAGTGCTTTTTTCCAGCCTACTCTCACACCAGAAAACATCGCCAATCGAGGTAGGCAGTGGTTAAAGACACGTAATACATTCCAACCACTACATTTGATGAAGACTTACCACCTTATCAATCGATTACCTATATGAATATATTTCACTACCATATTATAAAACCTATAATGACGAATAATTAATACTTTGTGTTTGTTTTGATACCTTCAAGCTGAATTGATTGATCAATCAGTCAGTCATTACATTTTACAATACAATAATCAAATCATTTGAGTTTTCAGATTCAAACACAGACTTATTCGCGAAAGCACATGTAGAGTTTGTTATCAGGGTCAACTAGAGAAGTCCCATCCTTACAAGTGATTTTAAACACACTTAATAATAATATGAATTATAACTTGAATGCCGTTTTATGGACTCGTTATATTATTTCTGTTCTTGCTGTGGTATTTCTGAAATATATTAAATTAAAAGCACATTTTAGGTCCTATAACTTAGTTCCTATTTTCCGGAAGCTGCATAAAAAAATTGCAGTGAAATTTACTTTACCGTAAGACATACTTTCTTTTTGTCGAAATTAAAATGAATAAATATATTAGTCTTTTTTTAATCTCAGTCTTTGAAAATGTCACATGTATTGAATGACCTTTAGGTTTTCAAGTGTTTACATCTCAGGAGGCTACTGAATTGGCAAATTTGAATCTACGTAGGAATGTTATGTAGAATAAACATGAAGGATTTGGGAATAAAAGCAAATCGCATAAATAAAGTTAGCCTGATAAACATAAGGACGTTGAGTTATCGTTATAATCTAGATTTTGATTTACCTGATTTTCAGCTTCCAAGAACATATCTACGTGAGGATGTGATAAACAAGATGAGGCAGACTTTATAGCTAAATGATCTATGTTTACAGCTTGAGGAGCATCAGGAACTAAGAATTTATCGAATATCTCATTTGCTTTTTTTTTCACCTTAATAAAATCAAGAAACGAAAAAAATACATTGGTATTACATCTGAAATTAAAACTGTTGGTCACCGAAACAATAAACGTGATTAAAAGAGACCAAGCTTAAGTACAAAGTAACGGATGCTACGGTTATTTTTCTATTAATCAGCTTGTCCCAGACAATGTGCAAACTAAGACGAAGACCTCTTAGTCCCGGTTGCCCTCAAATGCCCTGGTACGGCCAAGAGTAGGGAGAGCTCACTCTCCCTCTCGAAATACTCTCACATGGCCAGCGAATATATAGCATCTGCCAGGGAAGTCCTACTCACTGCCTTCTCGTGGCGGGGGTGTTTTTTACGAAAGTGAGAGGACGAAAAGCGAATGTCTGGCGCTTTAACCGGGTTGGTGGACATGGAAAGTCCACTTAGGGGAGTTGGAAAACCCTAATTCCAAACCAATGGTGCACATGGGCTCCAGTATCCTGAGGGAAAAAATGGCATATGAACCAATCGTTGGTCACCGGATACCATGGGACTGCATCTCCTCACGATGCTCCGCTGCCTTGTGGGTTAGACCTTTAGGTCAAAGGCTCCGGGTGTGGCCCCTTAAGAAAACCACCTGCTTCAGTCTGGGCACCCGGGCAGTATCATAGCCCTCACACAAATCAAATGAGATTTGTGCGGCGCATATGTATTTGGTGCCCCTTTGTACTAATATTTATGTGTTCAAATAAATTAATAAATAAATGTCATAATTTACACAAACGCAGACAGTATGAATCAAAAGTCGAAAAATACATATGAAAGCTATATTCAAAAGCGATCACACAATAAGAACAATAGTATTAATGCCAAGCTCATGCGTCGAAAAATAAATAAATTCTACTCCGTCAGTGCCGTTGGTTTTGACCTAAGTTACTGCGATGTCAAGTCAGAGATATTCGATGTCATAATGCTGATAACCCAAATGAATGCGAGACAAAAAAATTCCTACAAATTTAGAGGGGATGGTGATGTGTGATAGTGGATGAACAGACACTTAACCTTTGGAATATTAAATATGTGATTTTCTTTCATGTTACGGATTTCTATTCCGGATTCGCTGGGAGTGACTACTTGTAATTGTGTGGATAAAGTAGTCTAGTCTATGCTGTGGTTCTCTATTCGGAATCGTGAGTCCTCTTTCTGATATAACGTGACTAGTTTTATTACCGTATTGACGTATTACTTTGGTATATTTGAGGGACAAAAAAATATTTTGAACAGTTTGTTGTATCAGTAACCGAACATTTCTAACCATAGATTACAACTATCCCGCAGATCCCCAGTGGAAAGACTGGACCAACCAAAATGCCTCAACCAAACTGTCATTTGCTTTGTGGTGTGGTTCGATTTTTTTCGCTTGGCTGCTCCTTCGCCCAAATTCAGTGAAAAGCCAGTGTCACAGTTAAAAGCTGAGGTAGAATGTCATCAGAGTGAGTCGATTCAAAACACATATTTTTTAACAGCAATTATTAGCTACATTCATAACGAACGAAAGTTTATCTTTGCTAGGGTTTTTGCCAAACTGACATTTGAATATTACTAGTGAAGATTTGTATTCTAAAATGAGGAGCTAGATGAATCAGATGATTAAAGACGCTTAAAGACGTAACGATTACAGATCACAGAAATAAATTTAACTTACATTTCCGGTTTCGAAGACATGACGCCATCTACGGACTGAAAGCAGAAAATCAAGATTTTCATTGCTGAATTCTGTTATCAGAAATTTCTAAAAGGAAAAGATAGTAGCAGCAAGTTGAGGTCAAAAAATATTTAGTCAATTCAAAGAAGCTTAACTACGTATTCTAAAGACAAACCACTGAATTTGAGCCTTAAGTAGTCATAAAACAAGTGAGGAAACAAGTGTTTGGGCGAAATATGAAATTAGCTAGAAATTGGATTGTTCGTTTAATACACATGTTCCCAATTACAAAGTATTGACATAAAGTGGCGCGAATTACCCCTAACTGTCAAGTTTTAAATGATTGGAGAGTGAGTGATCTACGCACGAATTTCCTTCAATTTCATATTGCTATTTTCTGTGTTGATGTTTTGTACATGAATATTTCATCTTATTGCACAGGAAAAACCTATCCTTCTGGTTACTGGTCTTATCTTTGATTTCAAACCATTAGGATGTTTAAACCAATAACTTGTTATTGTGGGTAGTCATCACAGAACCACAAGGCATCATTCCATATGATAGATCGATCGTCCATTTCTTTCATCGATTTTTACGATAAAATTTCGTTCACGAAATATAGAAAATTTCCATTACAAACGGAACTAAAACTGTGATAAATTTCGGAACTTCGTCGTGAAACGCTCCGAAGATCCCCAGTACTCATAGTGCTGTGTATGCCTGGATCCTCCAGCATAGTGTGTAAATGGGACAATGCACAAGTAGTGCTGGAAGGAAAATTACAGCATTCACCAGTCAAGCGGTCATATGAACAGATTATTCCAAACGTCTTTGCAATCGTTATATGACCCGGATGTGATAAAAATTTTGCTGGTAGTGTTCTGAATACATGACAGTTCATTGACTGAACAGAAGCATTTTCTCCTTGAAAAAAAGTAGTTTGAGAAATCATGTTATTTTAAGCTTACGGATAAAGACAGGTTACATAAACATAATAAACATGTAGAGTGTTGGAACTGTCTTTTCGCAAGACTCCAGAACTAACTTTAAATGGCAAACACTCATCCATATCAGGAGTTTGATAGCCTTAGTCTAAGCAGTGTCAGGAGTAGGTTTTATCTAAACGATATGAATCTTCATCGACTGAGATGGTTGAGCCACGTGTTACGTATGTCTGAACACCAATTGCCACGACGCTCAATGCTGACTAGTATTAAGGATGGTTGGAAGAGAGTTAGAGGCGGCCAAAACAAAACGTGGCATCAGTCCTTGAAGTAATCAACTTCTGGTATGAGCATTGTTGGCAGATTCAGACTACTTGGTTGGGGTCCGTGTCACTATCGTAACCAATAGTTAGAGACTCTGTGTGACATGGTTCAGAATCGATCAAAATGACGTAGGTGTATACACTGTTTGTTTTCACTTAAACCATGAGATTAAAATTGCTTCATGTCTATCTTTCTTCCTGTACTATATCTTTACATACAATCCTTTTTTATATATTACCACCATTAAATTAAATATGGATTTAGTGTTTATCTTGTTGTGCTAACGAGCTGTGGCGACTTGGACCGATGCATATATGTGCCTGGTTCTACGTTATAGCTGACTGACTGACTACCGACTTTGCTACTCATTATGTAAAGACACCAACCACAGATTGATAGTTGAGGTAGAAGGAACATTGAAATTGAAGAGAGAAATTGAATACGATTGCAATGGTCTTGAGTGTTGTTAGAGATATGAGGGTGGTTACCACTTTTCGGTTGCCAACACTGTGAAAGGGTTCTCCTAGAAAAGCCTGGAAAGGAAATTGGGTTAGAGTTGGTTTTAGTGACCTGAGTGAGTGACGGCAGTGCCAAAGAGGCAACTGTTTGAGGCTGGTCACCGACGATCTTCTTGTGGGTAACTTTCGTGTTAGCGCCTTACTTGTTGGGACCTTACCGCTGGAGACAGATATCCGTGGGATAAGGCGGGGTGTGCATTTTTAGGGTCGATCTTTTCTAACTCCACTTTTCCTTGTGGAAGGCAGAATCGCTGTTATGCTGTCTATCTGAAGGAAACACCTTACTGCCGTCACACCTCTGTACAGTCAGCAGTAAGACTTCTCCTTCGGACTTTGGGTTTGCTGCTTTTAGTCTTACCGCTCTTCAACGGATCTACCTGGCATGTTAGGACCTTGAGGAACGATTGTTACAGCCAGTGTAGCCCGACTGTTTCATCACAACACGCAAACCTGACCAGCACGTCAAGGTAGCAGCAACAGTCGGTATTTTTTGGAAGAAAGATTGCGTAAAATCAAATACGGTTGTGAAAAGATGATAATGGTAGAAACGAAGTAATTGGGATGGACAGGAAAAAGACCACTACCACTGGATACTTTGATCAATAAAATCAATTTTGACCTGTAAACTGCGTGATATGCCGTTATTTTAGGTACCAACATTGGTAATTCATCTATTAAATCAACCAATTAGTTGTAATGCCATCCGATCGTACCAAGTTTTCTCATTTCGATAAATCGAAACACTCTAGATTATAAATCAAGTGATTGGAAATACATTTTTTTCTCAATAAAACGATCTACTCAACTTATCTGGGAATTGAGATAATGACCCGGAACTGACTCAGCTTTTTCGATCTCTGAGGACGAAAATAAAGTTTATGATACTACGATAAATTATCATAATTAATTGGTACGACAGTTTCATATAATTTGTTACTCTTGAGTAATCAATATATATATTCAGTCATAATCATCACTGTTTGTCTCAATGACTAACTCACTGAACATTCGTTTTTCGGTTGCTGTAGAGATAATCAGTCTTAAATTAACAACAATCACTGCCAAACGACATTCTACTTCAAAAAGTATCCTGAATTAGATTCCTGAATGGTGAAGGAAAAAAGAAGAAAAATAAAAGTAATTACCCTAAATTCATTACAACCAACAGGGTCATTTAGAAGGTTATCAAAATCTTCCGCCCATGATATTGGATTTGATGACGCAGTTGACGGATTATTAGGTGGCTCTATATTTTCAGTATCTTCATTTTCAATAGTAGAACTAAAACAACTAATTTTCGGTGGTTGTTCATCACAATTTATTTTTACCTAAATACGATATTAAAATAAATAAATGTCCAACTGATTAACGTTGGTATCACTCGCTATTTCGAAAAAAGTAATATGCATTAATTTAATACGACCCTTAACATAAAACGAGTAACAAAATAGACAGTTTGTTAGGAAAGAAAATAAATTTCTGGTAATTTAAAACATCAATAATATAATGAATTTGACAAATCAGCTAGTTTAATACTTTCCAAACTGAATTTTTAGTCTTTATCTCTCAAATTATAGAGGAAATGAAACAGAATAAAAATGCTGATACGTATCAAACCAGCTATTATTTGTATAATTTACATGAATATTCTTCGCAGCTGGTTCACTCTTTATCAGCTCGAAAACAAGTCTTTAGCAAAGATTAATGTGAGAAGTACCTACTTAAAACTAAATATTGTAATCTACTTAAATGGTGCCCAGTAAATTTAGATAAAACCAATGCTGAGAATGCGGAATAGCAACATACAGCTTGTGAGGAAGGAAATTAATATTAATTTAAGATGAATATAGGGTCAACTGTCAATGCCCTCAAATGCCTTGGTACGGCCAAGAGTGGGTAGAGGCCACCCTTCCTCTCGAAATGCTCTCACATGGCCACGCGTATATAGCCTCTGCCAGGTAAATCCTAATCATTGCATTCTCATGGCGAGGGTGTTATTTACGAAATTGAGAGGATGAAAAGCGAATGTCTGGCGCTTTAACCGGGTTGGTGGACATGGAAAGTCCACTTAGGGGAGTTGGAAAACCCTAATTCCAAACCAATGGTGCACATGGGCTCCAGTATCCTGAGGGAAAAAATGGCATATGAACCAATCGTTGGTCACCGGGTACCATGGGACTGCATCTCCTCACGATGCTTCGCTGCCTTGTGGGTTAGACCTTTAGGTCAAAGGCTCCGGGTGTGGCCCCTTAAGAAAACCACCTGCTTCAGTCTGGGCACCCGGGCAGTATCATAGCCCTCACACAAATCAAATGAGATTTGTGCGGCGCATAAGTATTTGGTGCCCCTTTGTACCAATATTTGTGTTTAAATAAATAACAACTGTCAACTCATTTTCATTACGTTACTTTATGGACTTTTAATACACTTTTACTAAGCTGTGAACTTAGTGACAGTTACTCAGTTCGTAAACTGTAATCATCGTAATCGATCAATTTAAAAGTATTTTTAATGTTATTGGGAACATCATCAACAGAGCTTCCAACACGAAACTCGACTTCTCACCCTAGTCAGCGGGGCATGGAGGAAGATTATGGAAGTAGTCTTGTTCCCAGTATTGAGATTGAGGTTGCGAAGTATTGGCTTGGTGCAATAACATATTAACTTACGAATGGGTAGAGACATGTCATGTAATCCTGATAAGGATATATATATATGTAATGGTACTTTAAGGATTATAGTATCGAATCCATAAATAATTTGCTAACTTTTAACTAGCTTTTTATTTTATTTATTTATTTATTTAAACACATAAATATTGGTACAAGACATTCGCTTTTCGTCCTCTCACTTTTGTGAACAACACCCCCGCCACGAGAAGGCAGTGAGTAAGACTTCCCTGGCAGAGGCTATATACGCATGGCCATGTGAGAGCATTTCGAGAGGGAGAGTGAGCTCTCCCTACTCTCGGCCGTACCAGGGCATTTGGGGACTAGCTTTTTAACTGAACTAGTACTATTTACGTTTGGGAAGTGAAAACGAGCGAGTATTTCACTAATGACAGTGTGTTCGAAACAAAAAGACAATTCGAAATTCAGACAACTATGGTCCACTTAAAAAATTAGTTCCCTAGTTGCTCATGGTATTTGTTAGCATATTCCAAGATTGAAAGGTAATCTAGTGAAATGGTACGTCTGACTACATACAAGGATGTTTAAGATTTAAATGAAATCATTAAGGTTCAGCTATCTTTAGTTCACATAGGACTAATATCGTTTAGTTCAATTTACTACAATAAAGGCGGGAACATTTGGACTTACCGTTTCCAAAGAATTCTTTGAACTCACAAATCGTGAACTTAAAGATGAAGTGACCTTCAAAAACTTTGAGATCAAGTTAGGATTTATTGGTTCAGGAAGAGAATTACGTGATCTTTTAGGCTGTAAGTGTGGAAATATGGTAAGGAAAAAAATGAAATGGCTGAGATACTATGTATTTCAAGTAAATAATTATATATTCTTGCAAAAAGTGAATTTGAAACAAATGAACCAGTTGATTACTGAATCGAGACATCAGTTGTCAACTAAAAATAGGAACTATTCAAAAACTCAGAATGAGCGAATAGAGAGACTAAGTATGACACGCACATTCGAAATCGAATTTTAGTAAACTATGACTAACGATATACAGTATAAACAAGGCGATTCGATCCTAAAATATCGTTGAGGGACATATGTGAGGCAACAGAACATGTTGTTTCCAAGTGGATATCATCAACCACAACTATTAAAAAACCCAAATCAGTTATACATGAGGTTTGTTTTAATTGTATGATATCATAAAAATCGGAAAATGTACAGGAAGTTATTGACTATAGGAATGCTAAAAAATGTGTATCAAATTCCTTTCAAATATTGTATCGTGATACTCATAGATTGACAAATAAGCCGCTTCGTGCATATTATCTGCCAACAAAATAACGACTTAGTTTTAGTGGTTTTTCGTTTATATTGAGGACTTAATGGATCTATCTTGGTTCGAATGTAGTCTTATTACGCGAAATACCCTATGTGAAGCAGTCGATCCACTTTTAGGATATCAATGACGAAAAATGTGTTATTTTGCAGCTAGAGATATATCATACGCATATTCGGTTGGAAAATCAAGACAGATTTAAATACAACGAATCGACAAATCCTAAGATAAAACGAAACATAAAGTTGACTCTATTGATAACTAGTATATCGACTAGTCATAATCAACGTGGAGCCTGGGACAATTGTGTGTTGGTTGAAGTTGCCAAAATCACATGAATAAGACTGAATAAAAGATGTAAGATAGGTAGAAATAATGAAGTAGCAGTAAAGGTAAGAAAGGCTAAATAACGGAAATATGCTTCAGAAAGATTAGGAAGGAATGTATAAAAGAAAACTAGGATTCAAGATCAAGAACCACACTACCCTGAGTCCTCAAATGCTGGTCCCGGTAATCGCGTGGATCTTAAGAAGATAGTCTACACCTACTGAAATGGTACAGTTTAATATACAATAGTCAATTACGAGTTCGGCTATTCAGTTTAGAGCAGCCACTGAGTGAGGAATAGTGGCGTTACCCAGGTATTGAAGTTACGGTCAGTCATACACAGCGTAGAATTTGGCACATGTGTACGTCGCCACACCCCGTTAGCCCAGCAAAATCGAATTGCCAGAGCAAATCTCGAAGTAGTAAAATTAGTAATATGATGAACAAGAACAAAAGTGGGGACGATCGAATGTATTTAAACAAAAAATTACAGAAACCTTTGTAAAATCTGAGAACCATACAGTAAATACTTAGTTTGCAAAATATCAGTCAATTTTCTAAAACCTGACTGTTCCTTCGCAAATGTCAATCAATCGTCTCAAACTTCACCGTTCCTTCATTTCCATACCCATTGCTTTGTGCTCCCGTTTGTTCCTTCTCGAACTTCTGTAGCCAGACATTCTAGTCCTGACTAGCGCTATATACTACTTATGTCGATATAAGAAGCACACAACACAGTAATAGTATTAGTAGTAATAGAAAAGATTAAACATTGGAAATACAATTCAAGAAAATAGAAATTATTAAAGTATAAATAAATCGTGGTGGATAGATCGGAATTCGAACCTGTAACCTATCAATTGAAAGAATTTTTTAAACAACAAGCCACTATTCTACTATTTATTTATTTAAACACACATATATTGGTACAAAAGGGCACCAGATACATATGCGCCACACAAAATAATGAAAATAGCAAGAGAAGGGATGAAAAGATAAGGCGGACTAAAATGTACAACCAAAAGACTCTTTCAGTTAAGAAAGCTATAACCACTCTTTATGTAGAAAGTAAAAGAAGGTTGCAGCAGGATCGCCACTGGCTTCTATTCTGAGCCATATCCGATAACGTCTCTAGCCACTGTGTTGCACCATCTCTCGGACCCCAGCCAGGGAGTCGTGAAGGCCCAACAGAAGCTAGCCCTTTGCAGCTCTCTTTCATGCCACGACGCCATGTCATACACTGACCTCCTCTCCGCTTTTTCCAACCAGTCCCAGAGTCGGCAAATAATGCACGACGTGGAAGTCTCTGGGACGACATTCGTAAAACATGTCCAATCCACCGAAGTCGGTGTTTCAAGATGGTGACACCAATTGAATTATCGTCTCGGCGCCCGAACACACGATGCCGAACCTCTGCATTACTAACATGGTGTTGCCACTGTATGTCAGCAATCCTTCGGAGACAACGATGATCGAACACAGAGAGTCGTCTAACATCCTCAACTCGGAGAGGCCAGGTTTCACAAGCATAGAGCAAAACTGCTCTCACCGACGCGTTGTAGATCCGACCTTTTACAGCCAGACTAACATCACGAAGGCGCCAAAGATGGCCCAGATTGGCATAAGCCGATCTGGCTTTCCTTATACGTGCATCAATCTCATCACTCACGCCACCACCAGCACTTATATAGCTACCTAGATACACGAACTTCTCAACTACTTCAATCTGCTCACCATCCAGGGTAAGTACAGGATGAGAATCCTGCCAGTCTTGTAGGAGTACTTTGCACTTGGAGGGTGCAAAGCACATGCCGTACCTGCGTACATTGATTGCCAACTGATTAAGTGCGGATTGCATGCCTTGGGCATTATCGCACAGTAAGACAATACCATCCGCATACTCGAGGTCGAGAAGTCGTTCTCCAGGCAACATATCCACACCGCCATTACTTACATCCATCAGAGCTGTTTCCAGGATATCGTCGATGGCAAAGTTGAAGAGGAATGGTGAGATCGGGCAACCCTGTCTAACCCCACTGCTCGAATGAAACAAGGGAGAAAGGTGGTTGTATGCCCTCACTCTGCCTAAGGTGTTCGTATACAGGGCCTTTAAGATGTTAATGAAATTCTCAGGCACACCCTTCTTTAATAGACAATCCCAGAGAACAGTCCTGTCCAACGAATCGAAGGCAGCCATGATATCAAGAAACACTATGATTGTTGGCCTGCGATAAGTATGACGGTGTTCTAACATTTGGCGGAGGGTGAAGATGTGATCAATGCATCCTCGACCAGAACGAAAACCAGCCTGCTCCTCGCGAGTCAAACGTTCTCGGGTTTTAAACAACCTACGAAGAATGACAGAAGCCAATAGTTTGGACGCAATCGGAAGTAGACTTATCCCCCGATAGTTGTTACAGGAACAACGTGAACCCTTTTTAAAGATAGGAACGACTATTCACTCATTCCATGATGTTGGAACACTTTCTTGCTCCCAAACCTTTGCAAACAACACCGTCAGTTCCTTAGCCAGAAAGTCACCACCATCTTTAAAAAGAGCCGGAGGTAAGTCATCTGGGCCAGGTGATTTGTAGCGCTTCAAGAGTTGGAGTTCCTTACGTAACAGCCTTCGTTTGTGGTCAAACTCACGGTCACCCGGAGTAGACCGACGGGCTTCCATCAGTTGTAAGGAGCCAGAAGAAACCCAGTGCTTGTAAGCGGGACGTTTCGCGAAGCCGCAAGCGGCTTTACTCGCCATTTTCATGGCGTCGTGAAGAAGCAACCAATGCTCATCTATACTTTTCGGTGGGATGGTAACTAGCCAAGAAGCTAGCTCCGCTCGATACCTACTTGCAACAGACGTTGCAGCCAGTTTACTAACATCAATCCGTTGGTGGTGGTCAATCCTTCGGCCACTGAAAAGTAAGGTGAGATTGGCGCAGACCAGGGCATGATCAGACTCCAGATAGGTACTCCAAAAGGAGCGGCAGTCTTGTACACAACCACGCCAGCGGTAGCTGATCGCGATGTGATCAATCTGAGTCCAGGCTTGAGATGCAGAGGGAGGACGCCAGGTGGCACACCGGCGATGACTGTGCCGGAAGTTAGTGCTGGCCAGAAACAGGTTGTGGTCTGTGCACAGTTGCAGCAAACGGTCCCCGTTATCTGTCCTGCGACCAACAAGTCCCCATCGGCCACCTAAACGACTCTCTTCTGTGCCTAGACGCCCGACCTGTGCATTCAAGTCTCCAGCTAATACTACGATATCTGTTGAACGCGCTTTCTGGAGAAGAACTGTTAACTAGTGGTAAAACTCATCCTTGATTGCATCCGGGCTGCAATCTGTCGGGGCATAAGCGGAGATGACGAAAAAACACCGTTTCTCACGCCGGTTTCTTCTCACTTTGATGGAACTTTCTAATCTAACAGCACATAACCGACTGTTAATGGGGATCCAATCGATTAGTGCTGCCTCAGCCCTAGCGCTTAGTGCGACACCAACGCCTGCAAGACCAGACGAAGATGCCACAGGGTCCCCGGATAAGCGCACGTGAAACAAGCTTTTCGAAGCGACAGATGGAGAGCGAATTTGTAGTACTTCACTAGTCTTGAATACGGGTCTCGGATAGACAACAAACTTCAACATTAAGACCTTCCAAAGACATAGCCAGCCCCATCTGTTATCTGATATGCATTAGTGTGCGAACGTTGAAGGAAGCCAGCTTGAACGGCGTACGTGGTTTCAGAAAGACTATTCTACTAAGCCAGGTACACTTAGAAACCTGCATTTAAGAAGTCAAAAGCTAATACTGCTGAGTTCCAACTCTCTATGACCGAATATGAAGGCAGAGACATTCACTCTTAGCCACTGCATTTATTCTATGCAACTACAAATTATTCTCACTCTAAGTTAAAATTTGGTTAATTGTGATATGTGGATTCACGCGTAGTTACCTAACAACAAGATAATCATGTATACATTACCCCGCTGGTATTTTTAACTGCAGTTGAAGGATGTATTAACTTGACCTGAAACAAGTCCACGACAGGTCCAACAATGAATATAAATTGATGGAATAATTGACAGACCATTAAGGTAGAGGCGGTATCCATTTACAGCACTTAAAATATTACAAAAAGTACATTAAAGCAATGACGATCTATTTTACCGAAAAGCGTTTGTCCACCAAAGAGTCGCCAGGGTGACATTGAGAAACATTTACCTGATTAACATGATAGTTTGGATCCTGGAAACTTGGTGCTATTGAATTTGATTCCATGTGAAATTCTGTCGAAGAAACATCAACCGAACTGTGATAAATTTCGGAACTTCGTCGTGAAACGCTCCGAAGATCCCCAGTACTCATAGTGCTGTGTATGCCTGGATCCTCCAGCATAGTGTGTAAATGGGACAATGCACAAGTAGTGCTGGAAGGAAAATTACAGCATTCACCAGTCAAGCGGTCATATGAACAGATTATTCCAAACGTCTTTGCAATCGTTATATGACCCGGATGTGATAAAAATTTTGCTGGTAGTGTTCTGAATACATGACAGTTCATTGACTGAACAGAAGCATTTTCTCCTTGAAAAAAAGTAGTTTGAGAAATCATGTTATTTTAAGCTTACGGATAAAGACAGGTTACATAAACATAATAAACATGTAGAGTGTTGGAACTGTCTTTTCGCAAGACTCCAGAACTAACTTTAAATGGCAAACACTCATCCATATCAGGAGTTTGATAGCCTTAGTCTAAGCAGTGTCAGGAGTAGGTTTTATCTAAACGATATGAATCTTCATCGACTGAGATGGTTGAGCCACGTGTTACGTATGTCTGAACACCAATTGCCACGACGCTCAATGCTGACTAGTATTAAGGATGGTTGGAAGAGAGTTAGAGGCGGCCAAAACAAAACGTGGCATCAGTCCTTGAAGTAATCAACTTCTGGTATGAGCATTGTTGGCAGATTCAGACTACTTGGTTGGGGTCCGTGTCACTATCGTAACCAATAGTTAGAGACTCTGTGTGACATGGTTCAGAATCGATCAAAATGACGTAGGTGTATACACTGTTTGTTTTCACTTAAACCATGAGATTAAAATTGCTTCATGTCTATCTTTCTTCCTGTACTATATCTTTACATACAATCCTTTTTTATATATTACCACCATTAAATTAAATATGGATTTAGTGTTTATCTTGTTGTGCTAACGAGCTGTGGCGACTTGGACCGATGCATATATCTGCTTGGTCCTACGTTTTAGCTGACTGACTGATACTTGTGTAAACAATAAATATTTCAAAGTGATGTGGAGGTCAAACACGAGACCCACAGATTGAAAACTGAATACTTTGACGCCTGAGAATCCATTTAATACCAAGCAGAAACAAACTATACTTCAACGAGATAGTTCTCTGAGATAGATAGAAAAAAAAGAATAGGAAATCCTGTTGTTATCAATGGCTGAGTGCATGAATGCAATAAAAGAAACTAGGGACTCATAATAAGCAAGTGCCCTGTGGAGGTCGTGGAAGAAATGCATGAGAACAACATAATTTATCCCAAAATTATTATCTCAAAGTACATAGAAAAGAGGATATTTAGATTTGATTTTAATCTCTTCGAACACACATTAAATGACTATGGTAATGCTACACATACGTTATATAGAAGCGGTTATTACCCAGAAACTGTGAAATTACGTGCCTAACAATAACACCTAACGAAAAATGCTTAGGTATGTGTAAGAAGTTTTATTTATTTATTTAAACACACATATATTGGTACAAAAGGGCACCAGATACATATGCGCCACACAAAATAATGAAAGTAGCAAGAGAAGGGATGAAAAGATAAGGCGGACTGAAATGTACAACCAGAAGACTCTTTCAGTTAAGAAAGTTAGAACCACTCTTTATGTAGAAAGTAAAAGAAGGTTGCAGCAGGATCGCCACTGGCTTCTATTCTGAGCCATATCTGATAACGTCTCTAGCCACTGTGATGTGTAAGAAGTGTATAATGGCTGACAATTTAATGATATACCCTATATTATAAACAGGATAGGAATGGAACTATGCTGAAAATCTGCGACAAAATGAATATGTATATACACGAATAACCATAACTTACCAAGGTTCCCACTGACTTTCTTCGTGTTCGTATTACATTTAGTCTTATTGCGAGTAACAATGTAAAGAAACTTTTCATCGAAATCAACATGACCAGCTGAGTACAAACAGCTAGCCGGGTATTTAGCAGTATATGTGTCATGAAGAAGAACCTGGAGAACACCAAAACAGATATCGACTATACATATTGATATCGCACGGACATGTATTTTATTAATCACTGAGTTAGTTTTCCTCCTTAGAATTGATAGTTCTTCAGTACATGACTTAAAATCAGTAGGCACCAATACACAGCCTGCATAAACAAACACGGAGGTCGTTCTACTATAAGCTTTGTGTTTTGAACTAGTCATACAGTGTGAATTTTGATGACTGGATTCCAAAGGACCAATGATGCATTGGCTAAACTTTGATTCCTGTGACTCAACCTAAAAAATACATTGGAGTTGGAAGCAGGAAAACCTCTATGAACAACTTTTCATGGCATTGCCAAATCAACGAGGCAACTTCTTCGTGAGTAACATTAATCACATTCACACCGTTCACTTTGAGCAATATATCGCCAGCCCTAACCCCTGATTTTTCTGCACTAGACCCAGTTAAAACATGATCTATGAGGCAGGGACGTTCGTTCTTCAAACGAAACCCATAACCACTTGGCGACCTAGGAATCTCAACTGATCTCCGCATGAAACAGCTGCCAAGTGGTTGGGGTCATTCGACCTAGAGAAAGGACGTCCCGGTGACGAACAAATAAACAATTAAATTCTTCGTGAGGTATTGTGATGTTTAAATAAATCAATGACTTCTTAGTATTGATGACCGTTGTTATTTTGAATTCCAAATACAATACATTCGTTCGGGCTCATCTGATACTTATTGATTAAATTGCGTTATTCCTGGGATTACTAGTTTATACTACAATCCAAATACTTCTAATTATCATATTGGAGTCGCGACTGAGCCTGTGATGGAACGGTTAAATATAAATTCAGATTTTAATGCTTTTGAGGAGTACATGGAAAGGTTCGAAATCTGGGCTATGACCAAGGAAGATGATGAGGATTTTAATATTGTGGCCCATTTCCTTACATTCATCGGGAAAGAAGCATACAGTCTTATAAAGATTTTGGCACTTCCAGACAAACCGATTTCACTCCCCTGTGCAACTCTCAAGCAACTGCTATTGGATCATGTAAAGTATACAAATTCCGAATGCGGTAAGAAAGGAAAATCCGATAAAATGACTCGTCAGAACATCAGGAATTCCACTTATTCAAACAGTCGTCGTAGTTCGATGCGTAATGAAAGTTATTCAGACAATACTTCATTGAGTTGTGAAACAGTCCATGATGTTGAGCACGAGTTTAGTAAATGCATATTCTGCGGCAAGTTTCACCCATGTAATTCATGTATATTTCGTAATTCTAAATGCTTTACATGTGGTATAACTGGACACATTCGGTCAGTTTGTAATACCATGGTTCATTTCGCTGAAAGTAATGCTAATATGGATGCTTCTAATGATCAGTTATCTTTATTTAGAAGTGGTATAACGTCACATAGCAGTTCAGAGTTAAATACAACTCAGAATCATTGTGAGACAAAAAATTTTAATCAACAAACTTATCAGATTTCTCATGATATTTGTCGTAATAATTCACATACTTCTGATGGAATTTCTCACAACTCTGAGAATAGAATGTTAAATGAGTCAAATCATGATCAAAAACCAAATTCAGTCATGGTAGATGTTGAATTCCCTGATGATCCATTACCTAATGAAACTCTTAATCAATTTGAGGAAAATATTTCAGAAGAATCGAATTCTGATATCATATCAAGTGTCAGTGGTCCTCATAATGAATTTATCTCTAATGATATTCCTCATGAATGTGAAAAATATGTTTCTTATGAGTTGAATTCTAGTCATATTTCTGAATTTATTGTGTCATATGTTGGATACTCTCACGAACAATGTATGTTGAATAGAATCCCTAGTCAGGGGTATAATGATACAGAGGGGATAGCAAAATTTTCCGAAGCAACCAGAGAACCAGTTTGCCCAGAAGTGAAGTTTGCACAGACAGAGAATCCAAATCAAGTCCAAGATTATCCTAATGAATATGAGGCAGATGAATGTTTTCTATCCGATTGTTTCGCAGGTAAATCAAGCCTAATTGAATCACATGTGTTAATTACATATATCAATGTATATCCATCTGTGTATTCTAATATGAATAACAAAAAGAATATGTATCATGGTTTTTATTCAAGTCAAAGTCACATGATGGAATACCTCGAATTATATATCAGTGTTTATTCCCAAATACTCACATACAGTAGGCGATGCGTGAGATTTGAGAAGATAATGCAAATTGGAAATGTCATATTGGCTAAAACATTGCTACATAAGGACCCAACATTATTTCGTGGGGGAGGATATTGTTGGAAAGTATATGATGCAAATTCTAAATATCAATGGTTTCACTACACAACCGACATGCTGATTGTATACAATTCTAGAACCCAGGTGAGTCTGTTCCAATTTCCGTTGTTAATTCTAATACTAATGAGTGCATTCTAGATAATACAGTGTACATTCAATACACCATCGGACAGATACACCTACACTTCAATTCGAGCTGTGGCGGATGTGATGTTTAAATAAATCAATGACTTCTTAGTATTGATGACCGTTGTAATTTTGAATTCCAAATACAATACATTCGTTCGGGCTCATCTGATACTTCTTGATTAAATTGCGTTATTCCTGGGATTACTAGTTTATACTACAATTCAAATACTTCTAATTATCATAGGTATGTCGTACAAAATATACAGAAGACCATTGCAGACAAGTCTCTTAAGCCATTTGTTCCTTTTTCAGCTGTAAATAATACTCAAAACAATGATACCATAATTTATGGAAGACCTTAGAGCGACGCCGATGTGACCTTGAGAGTGTCCACCTACATACTAGGGCTAAACGAGAGATATTAGGCAGCGTGAAGCATGATGATTATGAATTACAATTGGCATTTAAGGCCAGAAATTACATTTATGGTTTCCATCGCGAACTGACATTAACCCAAATGCCAAGAGGATACTTAGACAAATGGGTGAATGAATGTTATGCTAAATCTGATTGATTGTTCCATTAATTATAGTCTCACCATTCTGAGGATTATTTAGTTTATAGTGTGACTGTTCTAGATTACTAATGCTCAACATCGGAAAGAGCTTAGTAAGTCGGTCTTTACACAGTAGCTCCGTACTTTTTCGACAATGGATGCTGACCACATTAGTTTTAATGGACTCACCTAGGTGAAGGTGCTCAGTAGTGCATCCTCACCTGATCACGAGTGGAAATGACGTGACCAACATACCCTGCAATCGCTAGCCAGGTTAAATCAGCTAATCCACGATATATTGATAACTTATCAAATATATCTTCGAACCTCTTGCATATGTTTTTTGATTTCACCTGGTGGGTACGATTCATAATAGGTGTTATTGGTTAAAAACGTTGTAAAACCCCAAATTCATGTGACATATTCAACACGCAAGGAAAAATAAAGAACCTGAAATACAACGTAGAGAGCACCAACTCAATCTTACATGATGGGGAAACTCTGATTGAGGTGGAAACTTTCACATTGCTGGTCAGCAGCACCATCGATGAACAGGGAGGATGTAATGTGGATGTTAATGCAAGGGCAGGAAAAGCACGGGTAGCATTCCTACAATTGGAGACCACGTATATCTTAATACACATGTCAGCCAACATCAAAAACAGCATCTTAGATACATACGTCAAGACAGTTCAATAGTACGGAGCTGAAACACAGAACTGTCACGACAATCATCAAAACAGTTCACGTACTTATAGACAATCTTTCACGCAAAATACCCAGATTACAGTAGCAACAGCGTACTTTAGGAGAGAACAAGCCCGCTTCCATCTGAGAAGATTATAAAAATACTCTAGAAGTTGATAGGGAATACGTTGCCGAAATAGCCAAACTGCATCATGAGGCCAGCCCTAACTTGGAAGGGAAACAGAAGAGAGGAAAGCCCAAGAACTCATTGTGTTAGGAATTTGAGACAGCATTAAAAGAATTAGTAGCTACTGGAAGGGATGGCTCAGGATAGATTTTAGTTGAGAACACTGGTGAGCACCTTGCCATCCTTCACAAGGAGCAACTGGCGTATGTAATTCACCAAAATGCATGGTTCCTTGGTTCGCCAGTATACGTGCATTTGTAACGGCTGGGTGATTTTTAAAACATACTTATTTAAGTATCGCCTCAACTATTGTGTTGCGCGGTATCCGGTAGCTAACAGTATTTCCGCGTTGTTTTGTTACTTCCTTCATTTATCTACCAGTTGCACCATTATACTAATCATTTCCAATAGGGCCTCTTTGAAACGAGATTTTGTTTTTTGACAGTGATTGTGCAATTGATGGTCCTTCTGTTGAACGAGTAAGTGAAGCAGGTGTTCACAAGTTCAGATTACGTGCTCTCATTACATTCACCAGCGAAATTTCAGAAGTCGTAGTGAATACCGAAAAATCTTGGAAAATGTATTTCGCCACGTTCAACCCTCAGATAAACTTGCAGCAGAACAAGTTGGAATTTAGACTGTTAAGTAGAATCTGAGATTAGGGAATGATATATTCAGAGAGTCTTTCACTCATTGTACAGGCTACATCATAACCCTTTAAATCCCACAGACTTGCCGTGTTAATCAAAGATAATTTCAACATTAAAGAATCGAAAATAACTCCCCATAATGTGTGGGTTCGTCCCCTACTGAATTACTGCTCAATCATAATCATTCGTATGCTTTCCTTAAACCAACAGTAAATTGAGAAAGTACAAAGCCACAACTATCATATATAAAATGAAGTGAAGCACGGCAACTTAATCCATCATATTTACGATGAAGTAAACTTAAATTCTCCGAATTTAATATAATCAAACTGCAGTACGTTGTGATAATTTAAAGTTTGCCAAGTACGGTAGTCGTAACCATCGGAATCATGATTATGTATTAAAGATATCGAGAACATCAAATTAATCAGGTCAGGTTTCTTTGTTATGCACTATGCAATGGAATGGCCTACCAGTAAACATCCGGTCAAGTGAAACGCTTACTTAATTTAATTTTTCCTCTAACAGCGTTATGGACCAATTTGGAATCTCCTACATTCTCGACAGAGCTTGCCTAAATCAAGCCACACTTGACAAAGTCTGATTGAAGTTAATAATTAAGACACTATATTAGTCAAACTGATTCCTCTTTGATTGCCACAAGAGGACTTTTGTTCTTTCTTGTAGACTGGCACAATCAGTGATTGGGACCATTCAGGTGGGATTACGCCCAGTTCCCAAATCCTACATAGGATCTCAGTCAATCCCACTGCTAATTCTGAACCATCACCTTTGAAAATCTCAGGTGTAAACCTGTCAGACCCTGCTACTCTCCCTCGATGAGTGTACCTATTTATCCGAGCCCTTACTGTTTCATGTTGTCGGATAGAGCTGGGGCGACTGTCTACTGAGTATCAGTCTAAAAAAGCTAATGCTGCCCTAGGACTTAATGCTATACCTACACTAGCGATGCCACGGGAAGCGGCATCCGGGTTTCCAGATACAGGATGTCATGGAAGGTGATTGGCTTGGGACGCCTAATAAACTTGGTTTGTATTTGTTTATTTATTTAAACACATAAACGCTGGTGCAAGGATGCACAAAATACATATGCACGATACAAATCACTCAGTTAGTGTGCGGACTGGAATACTGCCTGCATGCCTAGACTGAGGTACATAGTTCTCTTAAAAGGGACTTCCCGAGCGTTTGACCAAGAGATCTAATCTTCAACACCTATGGTGGACTTGATCATTATTCACTGCTACACAATTGTGAACTTTTGTGAGGAAATATGTCTTCACAATACCAATGCTTTACATAAAGAAACCCGGGGTGTAAATTTAAGAAACAACAACTTTACGTGAACAAAATCGGAGAAAAAAGAGGATCCTTGTGTAAGATCCATTTTGAAGGTGAAAAAGCCTCAGTGTATACATTTGCAACTTCCTCTCAAACGGAATTTTTACTTGATCTATTCAGAAAGGACGGAACAACACTTACCTTTAGGTGTGTTAAGTTAATTTCTTGTATTTCTCATCATTTTATTCCACGGACAGTTAATCTTCACCAAACACAGTTTGGATTTTTTACCCAGCTTAAAAAGAAAAACTGGGAGATTTATCGGTAATTAAACATTTAGAAAATGTGGAATTAGCGTGTTCTATTAGAGATCGCAAAACTGTCCAGTTATTTGCACTTGGCGATTGCAGATCCTCGACAGTTCATCCTCCAACTGAAATCATGAAACAAGAATGGGTACTGTTTTAAAAACTATGTCAACTTTCAAGACTGAATTAATCAGTTGAACTGCGATAATGAATATGCAAATGAAATATTCACCTAAGACACTATAATGAACTCCAGATTTCTAACTTGTTTGATGGTATATATGACTTTGGTAGCATTCAGTTATTGCTTGAACCCAGCAAAATCAACGTTTTGAAGAAAAAACACATTCAAGTTCTAGATAAAAATACGAGGAATACTACTTAGTTATAGACTAACTAGTAAAAATGTTGACATGTTGCTAGATTTCGATTCAATGTATCTAAAGGTATAGTGGGAGTCTATACTAGGTGTTAGGACACCATTAGAAATGTAGTAAACGATTATTTTCTAACTATCGTGGAGCATGTAGTTTTAGGTGGATTAGGTAATCATCAAGATTATATTACGAGTGATTAATAGCAATTGTCTGATACTGAGTGACGGGGTTACAATCAAATGAATATTGATTTTCACATGGATGCAAATATGTCTCGTTTAATAGTACCAAGTGGCATAGATTCGAAGCTACATAACCTAGCATCTCAGGATAAAGATAATTTACGAACACACATAATTAAAGTACTGAAATTGGTAGAAATGGTAATAGTATATTAGTAAATAGCACAAAACTTACGAAGCTAACTAGTTTCTTACAAGAGTTCTTGAGTTGTGCAAGTTGTGTTGTCTTCTCCTGTTGCTCCAATAACGCTTTATCGATCAGTTTTTGTGTCTGACTAACTCTTGTTCTAGCCAGTTCTGCTTGACGTCTATAATCCAAAAGTCGATCAGTCAATCGATCTAAGTATCCTATTCTAGTTCGTATCATCATTAATTGGCTTAAAGAACTTTAAATCAACAAAAAAAGAAGTCATAAACTAGTTACATGTGGTAGATATTTCATATTTAGACCATAGAGTAGTAATTACTAAAACTACCTGGTAGTCAGCCTAATCAAAGCTTCTTTAACAAGTTCAATCATTTTAGATATGTCGTTTGATGTATATGACAGCAGATCATTTGGAGCATTCTAAAAAACATAAGCAAAAATAAAGTATGAAAGCATTACGTATATTAACAACAATGAGGAGGTTTAATGCATCTAAGTTCTTATTGAAATCTATAATTTCTTGACATATCTTCAATTATAAATGATGGATAAGAAGGGATTTAAGGCATATTTTCGTATCGAATAGAAGTCATATGCCATCCAGTATAGGTAGTTAAAGAAACCGATATTCAGCTAGTTAAAGGGTAGTAAGTCGTTTGAACTATTAATATATTTAGATATCATTGACTTCACAACAACATATGATAATGATGAAGCCGGAGGAATGTTCATCTACATATTTGATCTGTTCTAAATGGCCTAGATAACAAACCATCTTAAAAGTAGGAAATGTCTACATATGACATGATTAACAAACTGATAATGTAAAATACCTCCACACAATAGATGTGATTTGGAGTTTCATATACGACTACTGAATACATTTCTATCACTAACCATCGCTCCGCGAAATAGTAAGGACGATTCATTGGAAGTTCAGGAAAAGTGAGTTGATTTTTTCAACATCACACAATAAAAAAGGGATAGAAATAGCAAGTATAAACTTATCCGAAGATAAAAACAAGAGGAATGTTAAAAAAACTAATGCAATGCATTAAGTAATAGTAGCGTAATATTCAAGCATTTGGACATTAGTTCGGATTCCGTAACAATTCTAAATAGGCTTTGCTTTCCGGATAAGATTATGTACATATTGATCTACTGCGTTGAAGTTTTATTACTGGTGCTCAGACTCATGTCTCAGTCAATAAGCAAACTATTAAGGAGTGCTGACCTAAATAATTATATTTGATACTTATTTCTTAAAATTAATAAGATAGTTGCATATTTCATTCGCTCCTTAAATAATGATATCACAAATATACAACAGACTAGTTTTATATATAAATGTAACGTTGGCTTGTTGAGACAGTAAGCCAAATGGATCGTAGTTATAAACGATTTCGGTGAAAAAACTTGAAAAGTTTGCCGTGTTTTGTGACCACAACCCAGTTCTATTCGCAGATAACCTAAATTACACGTCAAATACATCAGATCTGTGACCTATTTTCAATAAATTACCTATGTAGAAACAATGAGATGTTTGTTGTTCTCCAAACAGTGTTGCTTGTTGTGTTTTTGGGGAAATAATTAAATCGCAAAAGTCTGTGATAAATCGAATATAATCCAAAGGTAAAGCGAGAGATTATTTATACCTGCGATTTACTATCAGGGTATTAGAAGATCGGTTACTATCTGTTCATAAATACAAAGGCTTTGAAAATTTCGTTTTCTTGATTTGTAATTTGGCTAAAGTTAAAGTAAATATGAAAAATGCCTCTAGATGCAAATCTACTGGAAAAGGGCATGTTTAACTAGTAAAGTACTCTACAGAAGGACGGTAGACGGTAGTCTACAATATGTAACTGCTCACTTTTGACTCCAATAAGGGAATAACATATTTCGTACGTTGTATTTAAGATTTTTATGGGAAGTGATAGAACACTTTAGATGCATTTATCGGAAAGTAATTTGATGTGGGTCAAATTTGAGATTACCAAGAATTCCGTAGCATCAAGATTGTAATGATCACTGTACCCCACAAACAGAATAGTATTACCATAAAAGTAAATAATGATTTATGCCGTACGAAATCGCTTCCGAAACATTTGTGGTATAATAGTCAAGTTTCCAGAAAGTGTCCATGGACTCAAATATTTTGTTCTGGTAACGCTTCAGGTGGATTTATTTTATACTGCAAAATGAAGTGGTATCATCTTTGAAGAAGCATGAGGATTATAATACAAGTTACAAAAACGTGTATGGAAAACTATAGATATTATGTACATATAATAGTATTTTGATAACGAGCATTTAATTTATTGATAGAACACTTTTCAACCTGTATGATCATATTCTGAATAGTATCACAACGAACACCGCCGGAAGGTTTGAACACATTACGTCCAGTTCTGCTGAGCTGATTTTCACTTTCATTATCTAATCGTTCGAGTAAATCCTCCTGAAAACGTTGAAGAAACGCATTCAATTCAAGTAGATCATTTAAAAGAGCTTGGCGCCCATCAGCAGAGTCTAAAAGATAACGAGCAGATGCACCAGAAGCAACTATCGGTTTTCTTTCGTCTATTGACAATGTAACATTAGACTGACTGGCAGCATCAACGCTTGGATTATCTGGCATTCCAGATGAAGAGGTTGATATTATGTTTTCCTTTTCAATTTCAATGTTCTCCACAGATTCTACATCAAAAGGACCAAAGTCTATTGCCCCTACTTCGTTTTCATCCCACAAAATCTACATCAAGTACAAAATACGTAGTTATTTACAGATAACACATTGAGGAAAAGAAAGTCTACAAAGGCTATGAAGTTAGTCTCAATATTATTACTACAATTACAAAACAATATTATCTGATTCAGTGATAACTCAAAATGATCTTTATGGAGGCACAGAAGAATAAGCTTAGAAGTTAGATAAAGCATAAGAAGCTCATAGTCAGCAATTCTAAGCAATCAAATTAAAGACAGAAAAAAAGCAACCATCGAAATTTGATGTGAAATAGTTCTAAATAACAAAAATAAATTTTCTACATGTTAACATGTTATAAATACAAAAATCATGTACTTGTGATCATTTGTACTGTTACTCATGAATCAATGCATATTAATTTTATTGGGCCCAGTGATTCACTGTGTTTAGTATTGGATAACTGAGAGTGACTGTTAGGAAATAACAAGTTAGAATGAACAGTTCAGACTTACAGTTACTGGTTGGCTGATAAGCTACGGAGAATATTTGTTTATCAACTGTTCTTAAGTAAATTGACCCCCCAATTGTGTAATGTCTTTTAAAACTGTATATATTACGTATTTCTATAGCGAAACGCAATGAATATTTGTTTGTCGGAGACATTTATCTCCAAATGGTTGACTCGTTATCTCAGATATTTGGTGAATAAACTTTGCAGTGGATGATTATGCTCAACTGTAGAGTTCTGCCGTAGTTTGGTGGTTGGACTTGTTTAGTGGGGATACGTAATTGAGCTATGCTAAATGGAACATTTGGTCCTTTAGGTCATAATAAGCCAGGGTGGTCAACCAGGTAAACGATATGATCAAAATCATAAAATCTAAGCTCCAAGGTCGGATTCATGCACTCAGTCAGTCAGCTGCAACGTAGGACCAGGCACATGTATGCATCGGTCCAAGTTGCCATACCTCGTTAGCACAACAAGGTGAACACCGAATTTATAGTAGGTAATTTAGTGGTGGTAGTATATAAAAGACAGGTTTTATATAAGGATATAGTATAGGAAGGAAGAACGTTATGAAGCAATTTTAATCTCATGGTTTAAGGGAAGATAAAGAGTATATACACCTACGCCATTGTGATCGATTCTGAGCCATGTCACCTAGAGTCTCCAACCATAGGTTACAATAGTGATGCGGACCACAATCAAGTAGTTTGCATCTGCCAACATGGCTCAGACCGAAAGTTAATGACTTCAAGCTCTGATGCCACATTTCGGTTTGGCCATCCCTAACTTTCTTCCAACCATCCCCACTACTAGTCAGCATTGAGCGTCATGGCAATTGGTGTTCATGCATATGTAACACGTGGCTCAATCATCTAGGTCGATGAAGACTCATGACCTCATCAACTGACTTACCACCATTCCCTAAAACCCTGTGTCTAACCTTACTATTACTTACCCGGTGATCTCAGAAGATGCGAGCAATATGTATAAGGCATCTGTGGTCAAATACCAGTAACTTACGAGTATCTTCCACTCCTAATGGCCATGTTTCACAGTCGTAAAGGAGAACAGCGAATTGTTGCGCAGTATACTCGTCCCTTGATTGATAGACAGATATCTCGTTTTCGCCAATTCATGCACTCAACTGCTGTGGAGCCAATAGTGTCTTTCACAGATGGATGAGATTTACAAAGACGTAACCATATCACAGCGAATGGAAGGAATGAGAGAAGCACGACTATAAAGATAACGCACCTCAATTCGTCTGGACAATTTCCGTCAATGTATTTATTTATCTTAATAGTCACATTAGCCCCGATGAGTTGATCTCTGACGAAACGTAATGAATATTTATTTTCACTTAGTATTGTTTGTTTTAATATTCCCATCGATGTCTTAGGACTGCAACTGTTCAATCTACAATTGACATATGTGTATACTGTGCTATAGCCTTGATATTGCCTTAATTCACGGGCACTGTAAGCAAAGATGGATAGTGGCTGGCAGTGGAACCCAGGACTCGCGTTTCTCCCTATTCGGGACTCGTAAGCGGAGTGGATAACGCGATGCCGTTTGAAGCGAAGGGCACTGGGTTCGAGTCCCAGGGTGAACATCAACTCTTAGATGCAGGTCCATCCAGCTGAAGAGTCCCAAATGGGACGAAACGCGCGTACTGGGTTCCACTGCTAGCCACTATCCATGTTTGCTTGTAGTGAATATTTGTTTGTCGGAGACATTTATCTCCAAATGGTTGACTCGTTATCTCAGATATTTGGTGAATAAACTTTGCAGTGGATGATTATGCTCAGCTGTAGAGTTCCTGCCTCAGTACGGTGGTTGGACTTGTCCATTGTGGATACGTAATTGAGCTATGCTAAATGGAACATTTTGTCTTTGCTTAGAAATTGGTCTAATGAAATAGAATATGTTTAAGTAATCATGCTTTAATTATTCCATCACGAGTGTCTAAACTTCATTGGTCATGAATACTGTCTATTCTACTTCTCGCAATTCCGTTTTCCTATCACTTTATCTATACCCTCATCATATAACACTGATAAGATATGCGGAATGTGTAACTTTGTCCTGAGCCATCTTGAATACTTCTGCGATTTGGTGGCACTACCAGGAAGCATGCATTAATGCAATAAATTTGATGTCCTCGACTGACTGCTTTGGACTTTATTACCGTTCATTCTCGACCCTGATTTGCTTGTCGCAACGCGACCTCCAAAGGGCTCTTCATTCTTCATATTGAACATTAGAGTTTTACCAACATTATTTATCTGATGTATGATAATTTGTCGTTTGTTTAACTAACCAGTGTGTCCTATAACATGTCAATCTAATTGAGTATCTTACTAGAGAACTGCCTTTCGCATTTATAAACCGACATGCCTCATGTAACATATTGATACTTATATCTTGTGTTTAAGAGCTCGCAAAATGTACCAACAGGTGAGGGTGGTTGTCATTAGGAAATAACGGATTAATAATTAGTCAGTGACCCAGGCGTTTCAGGAGATTTCAGTGAAAATCACACTTGTCTACCAGTACGACCGTTTGGTTTTTCTAGAAAATCTTTGTTTGCTTAACTGTACCAAAGACACTTTTCCTTCCGTTGCCTCTGACCTTGCACGAACTCGCTTACGCTCGACAGTTTCGCCTGTAATATTTGGCACGTCTTGGTATTCTTTCGGTACTACGAGATCACCAACTAATATACCATATTGCAACCATTACCTTCCTTCTGGTTTTTGGCTTACCGAAGAATCCAAGTCGATACCTGGCACGTAGTTTTCCTGTAGTAGCGATCATAGTCAATCGCGACTCGACGCCATATACACTACCTAGACACTGTTAGTGCATACAATACACCTAAAGGGTGTACTTCGGGTATTTCATTAGTGTCCTAAGTTGGAAGTAAAATTCATGCGACTCTTAGGAGATTCCAAGACATTTCTAAAATGGTGTTGCATTATAAAAATGACTTACAAAGATGCCCAGTGTTTGGTATGTCATGTAGCGTGGAGTTAATCTGAGAACGTGGTCAAGCACAAGGAGCCATTTCGTTAGTGATGACAAGCCTACGAGATTTCAGTTAATTGTGAGACCATATATGTAATTTTTTCAATGTATCAAGTTCTCCAGATGTAAGTACAATTAGTGTTGGGTATCATTCCATAGTAACTCTTGATCAGGCATGAAAATGACTACAATACACTTAGATGAACTAAACGTTAGGACGTGAAATTGACTTTGTCTTAAAGATGGCTTGCATTTATTTCAAATAATTGTCACTACTACGTTCGTGCTAATAATTAGTGACTTCGATTTTAGCACTTCAAACCATACTCTTTTTTTCGTCCATCTAACTTGACCAAAACGATGGCTTATGTAGTTGAGTCCTAATAATATTAAAAAGAACATCATCGATAACAAATACACTTAATTATCGATTCCACGTCTGTTTGAAGTGACAAGAATTTGTGGACTGCGTATTTATTATAAAATACAAATTTTTGGTTAGCTGAATCGGAACTTCGCAAACGGAATTCACAGTGAACAAAAGTGTATATGAATATCAAACTTTGGCTACATTGGTGCGCATGTATTTATAGTAATAGTGTTGGGATGACCCTGCATTTTTCTCGCAAGCGACATGACAAGCTCAGGAGTCATCAAGGAACATCTCAACCAATCAGCGATTAATTAGAAGTTATGTTACTAAAATAACGAAAATGGAAAAGTCACATGTGGATATCCTGATTGTCTGATTAGTACACTGCTACTATGTTTAGCAGTATTCTAGAACTTTCAGTAAAACTCAAGGTCTCTTAAATTACTATAAAATCCCTATATTTTCCGTACAGAAAGGAACCCTGTAGTAAAGTGCTTCCCACACGCTTTGTGCCTTTTATTTGGTCTTCAAATCACGGAGTAGTTCTAGCTTGGAGGTTACGGAACTAGCTTAGGGAAGCGAATATAGCGTTCAACCGTCCAGACGTAACAAATATCCATCACAGATTCTCAGTCATGAACTTGTATGGGGCGTCAAGTCTCTATTGACTATAATCACCACTACAATAAGACTACGCGCCAGAAAACGACTTGGTTCATTCGACAGTTCGAAAACCAGAAGGCTGTAATTGGTTCAGATAAGGAATATTTATTGGCGATCTCGCGGTATCGAAACAATACGGAGACATGCTAACGAGTACAGGCAAAAAGGTAGAGCACAAGTAAGTTCAAACGATTAAGATCGACAACGGAACGAAAAGTGATTTTTAAACAGTCAAACAACAACGAGTACAGTAAAACAATCACCGATACAATTGGTTATAATAAAAATAATTGTTTCCATTATATCGACCGCGTTCTCGTCGAGAAAAGTAAGTCACTACAAACTCATCGTTTATTGTGTCTTCTTTACCAGTCTGCGTACAACATAACAGAAATTTCAGGTAGGCCATGGATTGTTTGGCCTAGTTAAGCCTGGGTTCCCTTCAAACGAATTATATGCAATTGACTGTAGTCAAAACTCACTTAGATACAACTCTATGTCAATTACCAAGCATTTGCTTCGCAGTTCGATGACTATCAGTAAGTTTGTGGGCTCATTGCCGCTACATACAGGAAAGAACATAATTACTTACACCCAAGGCAAAGTTTTCCGTCAATCTCATCATTACTCTGAGTGTCTGAACATTGGTGAAGTCGTGTCTCGTAGAGCAAGTTGATGATAATTTAGATTGTCAAAAGTGATTCAGATCAAACAAAAACTTTTGAAAATTTCAAAATCAATAGATTGACACACATAAAAAATTAGAAGTTGTCATTTGACAAGAAATCTTTTCATGGACATGGCTATCATCCCATCATTTAGTTCAGTGATTTACCATGAAAAAAGTTTTGAGTGTAAAAATTAAAATTTAGTGAACAAAGCAACGTGATGCTTTGTTTCTGACGACTCCGAAAATGTCACGACAACACTTGAAGTCCACGTAAACACCAAGTAGTGACTTGTAACACACACTTCCAACTTCAAATACAGAATATCCTCCACGAGTTAGCTGTTCAGGGTCATTGATAAAGAATCGCGGCAAATTTCGAGAACGCTTAATCATCCAAGACTTAAATATGAGAAAACATGATATTCGTGCAATCCAACGGACACTCAACAGAGCCTCAACAACTGATATACGGAATGACCGCCTCTTGTCAGGCCGTTCAAGGCCGCTAAAACGAAACGGCGGGCGGCCTTAAAATTCGTGTCATCCTTCTTCACTCGTTTTGCTATGAGAGAACACAAAAGGGGTAATTTCTGTACTTAATTACCTTCATAATTCATAAATTCTCCCTGAGTAATAAGGTTTATCCTCTCAAATCCTAATTTGTCTATGCGCCTGAAGAAATACCAAGTACAGTTAATATTAAGTATTCCCTATATAAAAAGTCATACTCTGATCAAAGCTGTTCTATGTTAGTGTTATAGTTGGTTGTATTGTCTGACCACTTCATTTCTAGTTTTTTCCTAGTTTACAAGTATAAGTATCAGCGCAACCATGTCAAAACAGGCAACGAAAATTGTTTTTGATGTCAGGGGACAAAATGAGAGAAGCTTTCGCCCAATAAGCGTTCGTTTCTAGTAGCAACATATCATCAGTTCCATCAGTTAAGCATCTGGGTATAAGGTCAAAACAGAAACAGTTAAATTAGTGTGATATAGTGCTCTAAACTCCTGTTACCGACTTAGGTTTAGATAGGACAGGTGGCCTGTGTAAGTTCTGGTGATCGTGGTCTTCACTAGAGCCTCAATCACGTGTCGAGGTAATGAATTCTAACTGATCATTCGATGGGAAACTCGATAGTCAGTAGACAAACAATTTGTTCTGGATTTATGAACATTTTTATTGTCCTCGTGAGTTCTCTGTTTTGGAAGACAAGAAAAATGAGGTCATGTCATATGCAAATTTATTACTTAGTAATTTTAAAACTTATGAAGTCAGTTCTGGTTCTTCGATATGACAACAGAAATAGGTTTAGTTTGGCCAGTCGAGCATCATATAGGAGCTGTGATGTCCCGAAAATCAGCTTATTTGCGGTTCTTTGAACCTTTCCCAACAACTTACTGTCTTTTTTTAGACAGGGGCTAGCCGCCTGTATGCAGGGCTGGAGTTTAGGACAAACGAATACTGCACATAGAGTCAAAAAGTTTTTGGCATCGGTATGGCTAAATACTCTACATATTGACCGGAGGGTTCTGAAACCTTTGGCGTCTATCAAACGTCAGTATGCAGTAGTTTTTAAGTCTTGAATAACGCTGACTCCCAAGTCATTGTGTGTCTGAACGACAGTAGCTCATTATTCACCGTGTATGTACCTGTTCCTTGGCGACCAATATACATCATAATGCACTTGGAAGCATTTATCGGCAACTGCCGAATTTAGACTACTCAGATAATTTCTGGTCATTTTGAAGCTCTAAACTGTCATCTTTTTGTCGCTCGCCATATCTTGACATCATCAGCATATGACAAAATCAATGATAATAGGAGACTAAGAAGGTTATTTACATGCAGGATGAATAACACTAGCCCCAAAACTGTACCTTGAGGCACTCCGCTAAGTAGTTTCTCACCTATACAACTTTTTTGATGCCCAACTAGGAAGTCTTTTATCCGCACTAATAAATTGCCTCCAAGCCTGACGTAACTTATATAACAGTCGGTTGTTAGAATCGTTGTCAAAAGCCTTGCTGAAGTCAATGTAGGCTACATATATAGGTAACTTCTGAACTTTAAGAGCGCACGTACTCTCACGGGCTACTAATAAGTTAATGAGGCAGGATTAACCTGTTCTAAAGCCATGTCACCTTTCCGAAAGAATCCGGTTTCTATCGAGCTACTTAAATAACTTTCGTACAATTTTTTCTAAACCTTTAACATATATGTCGGTCAGGCTAACTGGTTGGTAGTTCTCACGTTTATGTTTCGTAACTACTTTATAGACAGGACTTACTATAGCATTTTTTCAGTCTTTTGGCAATCGACCCTGGGTTACAAATAGATTGAAACATATGCTAAAGGGATTCGCGACAAAATTTGCTAGTTCTTTCAGTAACTCATGATACATTTCATCGGGTCCCATGGATTTGTATACATTGAGCTAATTTAGCAGACCGAATAAATCGTGTTCCTTAACGGTCAAAGTATCCGTGTGTGTGTGTGTCTGTACGCTATATGCATTGCTAAAGTAATTTGAGAATATCTGAGCGTTGCCATAATCGTCCTCCACCAATGGTGAAGCACTATTATCTCCCCATAATGCTGTAATATTTCCTCGTCCCTTAGTCATTTTGTTTTGATACAAATATAAGCGTTTAATGTATTCTATAGATTCCTTAACACGTTTTTCTCCTTACAACCTATTAGACTTGCGGAGGCTCGAGGTACAAATATTTAGAGCTTCATGGTAGAGATCTTGTTTCGTCAGTACCCAATAACATAAATCTCCCCTATATTCTTTCACGGAAAAGGGTGCGCACCTCGGTGGTAAGTTTGTTGTACCCCTTCATATAATCCGAGGGATGTGCGGTGCAGCGATTTTTATGTACAAACTTATCGTTATCAACAACTATTTAGGAACCAAAGACTAGGAGTGTATGGTCACTTTTACCCAAGGGTGGGATGTAATGCAGGTTTGTGACGTCATTCTCATAATATGTCAATATGAGACCTAGTAAGGATGATTCGGAACCCGTGTCGTACCTAGTTGCCTCTTTCACATGTTGCACTACAACGCATGCAATAACCAAGTCAACTAGTTCCTGTTCAAAGGAATTTCCTGACAATTCGGTCCTCAGATTTTTTGGATTAAAGTCTTCTAAAATTAAACATCAACCACTTAATGACCATGTCTCGAAACCGTTTAGCAAGGCCTCATTCACCTCACAGTTTGGAGTGCGGTAGACTAAACCAATCTTATACTTTGCATTCAAAGCGGAAACTAATAAATTCGCAAGTTCCACCTTCATGGGATACTTTATCAATAGTGTTAGGTGGGGTAGTACTCCTAATGATTAGAGCTCTTCCTCCACTTTTATGCTTCTGGATTCTGTCAGCTCTTACTAATGTGAAAGTTTCAGAATCAAGTTTCGTATTGTCTATGGACTAGGTCAGCCACGTTTCTGTGACGGCGATTACATCCGGCTTAGTTGGGTCTATCTGTACATCTGGCCCCCAAATGCCCCGATACGGTCGAGAGTGGGGAGAGTCCGCTCTCCCTCTCAAAATGCTCTCATATGGCCACGCGTATATAGCCTCTGCCAGGGAAGTCCTACTCATTACCTTCTCGTGGTGAGGGTGTTATTTACGAAATTGAGAGGACGGAAAGCGAATTTCCGACGCTCTAACTGGGTCGGTGGACACAGCGAGTCTACCTAGGGGAGTTGGAAAACCCTGATTCCGAACCAATAGTGCACATGGGCTCCAGTATCCTGAGGGAACAAATGGCGTGTGAATCAATCGTTGGTCACCGGCTACCATGGGACTGCATCTCCTCACGATGCTCCGCTGCCTTGTGGGTTAGACCTTTAGGTCAAAGGCTTCGGGTGTGGCCCCTTTAGAAAACCATCTGCTTAAGTTTGGGCATCTGAGCAGTGTCACAGCCCTCACACAAATCAAATGAGATTGGTACGGCGCATATGTATTTGGTGCCCCTTTGTACCAATATTTATGTGTTCAAATAAATAAATAATAAACATCTAGCTCCGATCACTTGTTATGCACGCTCTCGGCATTTTTGTAACATATCAGAAGATCATTTAAATGGCTTCATGCAGCACCCGAAATGGCTTCGGCACCACTCTCTCCAGTATTTAGCATTGGCTTTTACTCTTCCCCAGCTTCTCATATCTTTGTACTGTCTGTGTGAGGCAAAGATTTACGGAAAAAAACTCCTGACTTTAGTTTATGTCTGTTCTGTTGAATTAAATCTATCTCACTGTCAAACTTGGATACTTTTTTAGTAGCTCGGTTTGATTCTGTTTCAAGTCTACAAACCTTTAGCAAGGTGACTCCTGCGACTTATTGCGTCATTAGATGGTTAGGTAGGTCTTTTATCAAACCAATGTGATTCTCAAAGCGATTTGTAGGTTCTGAGCTCTCACTCTTTGTGGCTCTATGAAAGATAACTGGTTTATCACTATGATCAGCCTTCAATTCCTCAGCTGCTTTTTGGGGAACTTACTTTACTTCAGCAATATGAGGTCGCTTCTTATTCTTGATTTGTACCCGTTCGTCAACTCCCGTCGGAGTAGCAATCACAGTCGCGTCATACACACTGAGGGATCCTGGATGATTGTCGATGACTTGGGTGGTCAGGTTTGTTTTTCCTACTAGAAACAGAACTAGTCTTACGATCTGGTTTTTTAAACGTTTCCTGCCGACTGCCATTTGGATGTTGTCTATTTTATGGAAGCTAGAAGCCTAGTGATTTAAACCATTCCTCTTAAGGCTTTAGTCTGTTTACAAACTAAATTCATAGTTTGGTTTAAGGTACCATCCAGAGGATTCTTAACTTTTTTAAAGCAGTCAAGGAATCACTTTATTATCATACTCCAAATGTGGCTGAACGAAACCCGAAAATAGAGTGAATAATTTTGCTGTCAAACGAAAAAGTTGCGCTTTAAAATAATTAGTGCTAGGTTTATTCTGACGGCTTTTTGCCTACATTTAGCATACGATTTTAGATAATCAGTAATCAAGACAAGTACCCATTTTTCAACTAGTAACATCATAAGCGGAAAATTGCCTAATTTTTCTATGTAGTTGGTGGTGTCACAAATGGACTACACTAAAGTAAGCTACTTTAAAGTGTTGAAAGCAAGTCCACTGTTGCTCACCAAACTTTGAAGTCAAATCAGATTCCCCACGAGTTCTAGTTTATGATGCCGATCGCAAACGTCTTTCTAAAGTTTTTCTAAAGCCTCAGCAGAAATGTCTCAGGGTATACTGTTTGAGGACGTTCATTTATGTAAATCAAGAAAATATTATTACTGAACCCTATAGAGGACCCTACCATAACGCTCTGTAGTTTGATAAAATCTGCTGTGACCCTATGTAGTCTATTACTAGGTGTAATTGAGGTGAGTCTATTGACTGTAACTTCGTTATCTCGTCTCATCTGTCGAACATTGCATCCAAAGTTTATACCGACTCCAAATAAAGCACAAAAAGCTATAGCTAATCTAAAACCAAGAAGGACAACTGGTTCAGTTTTAGCGATTAGATGAACTAATATTTTAGCTAAAATCTGCGAGTTGGACGTAATTCCATCTGACTAGTCGCAATCACTGATTGTCCCAATATATAAGGAAGGGTCAAGATCATCCTATGATAACCATAGAGGGATTAGTTTGACTAATATAGCATCTAAAATACTAGCCCCAATAATTATTAAACGCCTAACAAAGACTCGTGAAATGCAAACACGAGAAAATCAGGTTGGCTTGAGACCTGGTTGTGCCTGCATCGACCATATATTCACTATTCGTCAGGTTCTAGAACGCAAGCATGCTTATCGGCGTCCGACAATGATAGTTTTTCTTGACTTGAAAGCATCATTTGACTGTGTAGACCGAGAAGTTCTGTGGCAGTGTCTGTCATTGAAACGTGCACCTCAGAAGTACATAAACCTTGTGAAGGCTCTTTACTCGAACACTACCAGTCGTATCAGGGCTGTTATGTGACTTTGCAACCTCAAGTGGTGTCAAACAAGGCTGTCCACTATCCCCATTGCTGTTTAATTTCACCATAGACCCATTGCTGGAAATAACGTTCTCGTCGACTGAATTTTCAGGAATTGATCTCCTACCAGGAGGCGGTGCACTTATTGACTTAGAATACGCAGATGACATAGTCTTGTTTGGTGAAGACTCTGGTAAAATGCAGAGTTTTGGTAGGATTGAGCAACAATGCCAAGATGTTTAAAATACGTTTCTCCTCCTCTAGATGCAAGTTGTTGCTCCAGGACTGGCCTGCGTCAGCACCTGAACTAAGGATAAGTAGTAGAGTAGTCCAACACGTCGATAGCGTCACTTATCTTGGAAGTTTGATCAACCCTAATGGATGGGTGTGTGAAGAAATTTCTTCACGAATAAGAAAGCTCATTTGGCTTTTGCCGACTTACGTCAACAATGCAGACGGTGAGATATCCGTCTATTATTTATTTACTTGAACACAAATATTCGTACAAAGAGGCACCAGATATATATGCGCCACTCAAAAACTTGTCATTTCAGTTATGTGAGGGCTATGATACTGCCCAGGTACCCAAGCCAAAGCAGGTGCTTTTCTTAGGGGCCACACCGCGAGCCTTTAACCTAAAGATCCGATCCTCAAGGCAGTGGAGCATGGTGAGGAGAATCAGCCCCTTGTCGCCGGTGACCGACAATCGGTTCACACGCCATTTGTTCTTTGAGGGTACTGGAGACTATGTGCACCATTGGTTCGGAATCAGGGTTTTCCAACTCCCCTAGGTAGACTCGCTGTGTCCACCGACCCAGTTAGAGCGCCGGACATTCACTTTTCGTCCTCTCAATTTCGTAAATAACACCCTCGCCACGAGAAGGTAATGAGTAGGACTTCCCTGGCAGAGGCTATATACGCGTGTCCATATGAGAGCATTTTGAGAGGGAGAGCGGACTCTCCCCACTCTCGACCGTATCGGGGCATTCGTGTTCACTAATTCTCCTAACGTTGCTCCACTGCCTTATTGGTTAGTCTCAAATTGTGACCCTAAGTCTAGTATATCTAACTGCATTTTGTAAATGGCTATCGTAATGTATAATAAGGCTCTTTGGTTTTCATTTGTGATGTTTTTATTGTCATGTGTATCTAAACATTGTTGGGCCGTTTTATTAACTTGTATTCTTATCATTTCCGGTGTAGTAACTGCAAATATCATTAGTCCTGTTCACATATAGTTAGGGACTACTGAAGTCCTGGTCGACTTCTTTAATTGGTCAAGGATTACTGCTTAATCTAATTTTAGCTTATGGTTAAGTTTTAGTGACGTGTTAGGATCAACAAAATATACTTGTCTTTGAGGCTTTATCTAAAAAAGATGAAAATTCACTTTAATTTATACTGCTGAAATAACAAGAAAAACCAGTAAGTTGAATTAATTATAGTAGTTTTGTCCTTAAATGGACCTTTGGGTAAATCTCTAATAGTGTATTTCTTGCACTTCAGCTGCCATTCCATCGGGTGATCTTATTTCGTTGGGTATGTTCTCTATGTATATGATTTTATCTTGAAAACTTTAGGAAGCAAATCAAAGAAGGTTTCTGTTTCACATGGAAATCCTGCCAAAAAGACTAAAACTCAATCAATAGAAGGTAAAGTTGTAAACGACAGGTTTCTAACAATATTTTCTATCTGTTCTCTTTCTCTAACTTATCCACTATATAACTTTTTCAGTTGATCCCTCCGAATTAGTTACTCGAGTGGAAGCGGCTTTGTCTGCCAATGATAATAATCTGGTAGAATTTCTAGTATCTTCAGCACTGAATCAATTAAAAACTAGTTCTGGGCATGGTACTTTGGGCTCCTCTTTGTCATCTGGTTCTGATTTTCGCCCAGTCCATAGTGGCTTAGGTTCACGATTATTGCCAGGTATTTCACTCGGCCTCTTGGTACTAGCACAGGATCATCCAAATGTGTTTATTCGGCCTACTGTTTTGGACCAACTTATCTTGATTTTGTCTCTTAGTCCACGAGAACTTGGAATATCCCTACCTTCGGCTGCTATCACAACGATCATGGCCCGAATTCGTGGACTTCATGTAAGTGTTTCACTTGGATCTTTGTCATGAGTACTAACTGTTATATCGATTTTGTGTTTGTGTGTGTGCCCATTTAATATATGACGTGATGATCCCCGCTTATCAGAGAGCAGTGAATTATCGACGGGAGCAATGATACACGGAAATCGAATGATCAGTCTTGAGTACTTATCAGTCCTACTTTCTGCCTAGCCCAGTCAGTTAAGTCCCGAACACCAATAACAGCCTCTGCAACATGAATCATTATTCCCAAACATACTGGGTTTATATATCAATCAAACTAACCACATCGTACCATAAAATAGAAAATAACATTTATACAAGATTTGGCAAAATGTGGCTGTGAATAGGGGGAACAGTAATTAATAGACTGGGTATAACTCAGGAATGGTAAATCGTGCAGTAATGGTCTATGGGTCAAAATAAAGCTCGTAATAAAAGGAACATGAATATGAATAGTTAAGTTACTTAGCAATTATACAATAGGAAATATAAATATTACATTGGTCCATAAATAGTTCTCAAAGTTACCACTCATAATTCTCCACAAAATATAACACTAACATATTTTGTAGAAATCAAGTTATCTGTGCTTATGCAAAAACATTTCAGCAATTATTTTTCCGGTTTGATGAGGAATTGAAATGTAGTATGTATCTTGTTCCTTCTGTGAATAAAAGTATTGATGAAAGTTGGCATATTGTAGGTTTAGCTCCTCTTCTTTGCACACTCACCAATGTATAGGCAATCGCAACAATAAGTCTAACAAACATCATACTCAACTAGTTTGTTCTATGAATTGAAAGGACTCAAATTTACACACATTCTGTTGCACAGTTTATCACTCTATGTGCTAAAGTTATATCAAACTCACAGGAAACTACACTAAGCATATTGGAAAAACTAAGTCTTTATCTTGTTCTCTCCAGGGTATTTATTAATATGTTATCTTCGAGATTATTGTCGAAAACATCTCATAGCCAAGTATTAACGGAGAAAAAGGTCCGAAATACTACTCGTTGCAATTCAAACGGTATGGGATAATATAATTTGATTTCAAACCAGGATTGACTGAGTTATCTAGGGCATATACACTTCTAAAGACTATATCGTGACATAAATTGGAAATAGAATAGATATCTTAAGGTTGTTGACTGTTTTAGTGGTACTTTGAACGCACGTTTCGTGATTAGAGCATGTGTTGTGTTATAAACCAGTGGTTATATACTTCATTTGATACGTTGGAAGACTATCCACAATAGTACATGCATGTTTACTCTGTTCTTCACTACATAACATTCGTTTTGTTTATACCTGGTCTGCGCGCCATGCAGTGTATGTGACGGTTATTGCTGTTGAGAATCATTACCACTTGAAACCACGCGCTACTGTTAGGTGTCTTATGCTATCCCAAGTAGTATATAATTTGTTGTTTATCTACGATTGTTTCCCAATAAAAAAATACATGTGTACCACAGAGTTTCATAAATTACAACTCGGTAGACTTCTCACTTTTATATGTTTGTTACTTATAAAGTTCAACATAGATGGGGTCAAATGTCTCAGTTATTATTCTTGATATTGTTATTATCTCTTACTATGACTCAGCTACTCTTAATACTTAGTATTATTTGAACACTCTACTTCACTCGACGGGTCCTCAAATTAGAACACTATTGAACAGGAACGTGATTGTATTCCAAGTAAAAATGTTGGTGAGTAAAAATGGGAATCACCATAAGTAAAACATTTGTATGACTTTGCGCTAAAAGACTCTAGAATCTTCCCCACGTATCCACTAGCGCTGATTAGTCACGAAATGGTCAATCAGCGTGCTCCAACACAATCATGTACGGGAAATGCTTTTATCCAATCTATATGCCGTTAACAGATACTTAAATGACTTTACTTCACAACTCAGCATTTTTAATGCGTTTGGTTGTTTGATCAAACCATACCAACTAGTTGTTTGATAGCTCAGGTGTTTAAGTCAAGTGTTGGTTCACTACCAACCAATCTTGTGTGATCACAAACCATAGTGTAATTCGGTTAAATGTTGTGTGATAACAGTTATCCAGCACACAACATAAATAGGCTTCTTAAATTACGATAGTATTTGTTTCGTTGTTGCGAAGGCATTTCTTCCGCGCAACCTTTATGCGCAAATGGTGTTTCTTAGTAGTTTTCAACTTTGTTACTACGAATAAGACTGATGGTTTGTTATTTTCACTTTACTTTAGGTTCTTATCGCAAATATACTGTATTTAGCCTTGAGCAGTCAAGCAAAATGGCCTTCAAAGTTAGTAAAGGTTAGTTATGATTGCTTATTAACAATTCGGAATTTTCATTGTTATTATAGTAGTTCTATTTCTGTTGTGACAAATGTTTTTTCCCTTGTTCCGTAGGTTTACTTAGAAGATAGTTTAGCCAACCGAGTTTGGGTCGATCAGGATGAATGTCGGTTGTTTGTACTAAATTTGGAAACCGTATTTCCAAAAACGTTTGGTGATCCACGAGGTTTATTTTCAATTCTATTGTCGAATCAAAATGGATCAATTGGATCTAACCAATCTGGTGGCAGTGCCAACTGCTCAACAAGTACACCATCAGCGAATGCAGTGTTTAACGTGTTAGGTCTAACAGGCATCCAACCATATTTAGGATCAGATCCTTTAGGACTTGGTTCCACTCAGTATGAGAGAGATGAAATAAGTGAAGCCGTTTCAAATGTATTAAAAAGCCAGTCAACTTCAGTTACCAGAGTAAATTTTCATTTACGTTTTTTAAATGATTAGTCTATTCTGTTTTCGTGGTAAGTAGATTATCTACTCGTTTGTTTTTTGATAAGCTAATCTCCGGGCACTTTAAATAAAGTGGGATCGTAAACCGTTGCTTCGGTAACCAATTAAGTTTATTATTTAGAATAGAACACGTAGAACTGTTTATATTGGACGTTGCATGAGGTTTATGTTATAACGTATGGACCCGTAATATATATGAACGTGCAATTAGAGAGGAGTGAATTTATTGATCGGACGCAAATGATACTTGAAATCGTACGAGCAGTCTTGATTGCGTATCGGCCCTGCTATCTGCCTAGCCCAGCCGTTAAGTCCAGAACACAAATACAGCCTCGTCAATATGAATCATTATTTACAAACATACTGAGTTTTTATACAAACCAAAGTAATCAATAAACTGATTATAACTCAAGAATCGTATGATAATAAATCAAAGATCAAAATAAAGCTAATGGTAAGAGAAACACGAATATGAATAATTTAGTTACGTAACAACTGTACAATAAGAAATAGGCATAATACATTGGTCGATAAATAGTCCTTAGAGTTACCATTCATAATTCACGAGGGGATATAACAGTTTACACAACCAAACATTACTTTTGAGTAAGTCATTTTACTGAGTGTCTCTGTAAAAGGTCTACCTTCCCTAACAAGCGTGATCGCCGAAATTATTGAGGCTACCCCTTTTGAAGTTTCAGTCACTCACCATTTTATAGAACAAAACAGGACCCATGGTAACTCTCAGATCCTTTTGCTATAACGTCAGAGTTGATCAATCCTATCATGAGTTAAGGACGCAATAACACAGTTCATTATTTAAGACCACTTCTTATTTTGCAATAGAAAATTTAATACTGTAATCACTCATCGTGAGCGACAATTCGGCTATCGGCTCAGTATTTACAATTCAGATACTCTAAAAGGAGTCAGGTTCTCTCATGAAATATGAAATTGCTAATTGAACGTCTTAATTTGAACGAAGTCTAATATGAGTCGAGTATCACATCCGAAGTATAATCTTATAAATGTATTCAGATTCTCATCACACTTATATCACTACTGTAGTATTATAGTGTGCACTACTTATTCGGACAGACATAAGTAGTATGTATCAGGAATTGAGAGTGGAATGCTTACCAGGAGGCTGGAATAAAGAAAAGAGAAAGGAAGGCGAAGAGCAGTCGGGATCACAACAGTATTGAAAGAATGATGGAGTATGTAAAGGACAACTAAATGAAGATATGCAAATGATGTATTTAATGTATGGTTTTCATATTTTATAAAGCTACTGTTTGTTTTGGCATAAAACAATAAGTTGGTTTTCCCCACCTGAGTCGTCTCTCACTACAATAGTTACATGGAAGCTTGCTGTTCGCATTAATTTATTTTTATGGACACCAGGGGCTATGGTGGTAGTATTTCATTCATACATCGCCAGTGTAACCAAAGTGTGCTGCATATTCGTTTAGCGTTCAGTCCGTAGTCGTTGAACTAAGTGATCTAATAATTTAAATTGTCCATGAAATTACATGTTGTCTTTGTATGCAGTGTAAACTTCGGAATACAAAAAAAGCATTTGTTGTGTAATAAATCAGTCAAAAAATCCTGGTCATTTATTCTACGTTTCTGTAACTTGTTGAGATCTTGGTTCAGTAATCCTTTTTGTAAAAGAATATCAAAATAATGAATCTATCAGGACTTTATGCACTTGATTCTTTCTATGAACTTGGAGGTAATCTAAAACAGTAATCTGTGCAGAATAATATGAGTCAATTTTATTTCACTACTAACAAGATGTAATATTTTAAAAGGTCCTAGTAGTTTAAACCGTTTTATTTCATCAACCATTAAGTGGATTTCTATTGGTCAGTGTTAAACGATGGTATTAATAAGAAAATTTTGAATGAAAACAATAGATTATATATGTAAGTTGTAATTCGTACTTTTATCCATAGACGTGGTCTCTAAGCTTCTTGTCAGCATTTCAAGATAATGGTAGTTTTTTGCTAGTATAGAGGTAGCATTGCTTAAGAAAACTAAACTAGTTTGTGAAATCGGTTCATTAAAATATTCCCCGTTCGTTCGATCGTTATCTGCAAATAGTGGTCAGGATAAAATTAATATTATGGCCAATGATTAGTCACTTAGCGTTTTAGTCATGTTCAGTAATGTTGTGTACACTGAATACGATGGTTAGTCAGCACTGTATTCTTCGCAAGATATTTCTTTCTTTGAACGTACGCGGTTATTCTCTACAAACAACTATGGTTTCCAATAATGTTAACTTTTTCTAATTTGATATACTCTTTCTGATTAGATGAGTTCGGTATTTTGAATTTCACTTTAAATCCTTTGTATTTCTAGACTATATTTGGGTGTGATATAAGTTCTCATGTTTTACCTCGATTTGAAGCTTGTCGCCAAGCTGTAGAGGTCATAGTAATCAATACGTTGAGAGATGCTCTTGGTCGAAGAAGTGGTAATACTCCATCCACTTTACAAGCAAATGCTACAAACGCTAGTACATCATCGTCCGTTATATCAACTTCTTCATCAACTTCAGTCACTAGCGGAGATGCTGCACAACTAAGGAACCTTCTACGTACACTTGGTATGGCAGCTGGTATATCTGAGATTCGAGGGCTTGTCGCAAACAGACTAGAGCCTTGGCTGACAGTAAGTTCACCAATAACTTTATAATTTGAAATCATTTTCGTCCTAATTTACTGTATGATGTCATAAGTTAGCACATGAAACTGTCTAAACTACTGTTTGAAGAAGTTGGTTGTCTTTACATATGTTCTCGAATTTATTAAAAGGCCCAGTGCGGATTCAAGTTTTTGTTTTTCTTTACCAAGGTCATATTCTTAAAAATAATCAATCGATCGTCACATACAGTTTAAATAATAATAGTCTGTAGTTTCAGGGATAAACTTTCAACCTCAAACAAGATTTCATTCGCAAAATGGTATATATCGCTTAACAGTGAGCACTTTCAGTGCTTTTTAGTAACTTTTTTCGTAAGTTCATAGACGACTTATCGTCATAGATCGGAAATATTAACATCATATTGTTTTACATGATGTAACTCATTAGCCAAGCGCCGATGCATGTTCTTAGTTTTAAAGCACCTTTTTGTTTGACGGCTCTAGACATTCTGCTCAGTTTCTTTTTCCAAAGTAGGTTTAAGGGGGGGAGTGAATTCGAAATTGCTACCTAACAACTCCTGCTTCGGTTTGGGCACCCGGGCAGTATCACAGCCCACACACAATTGAATGAAATGATGAACTCTGTTGACGATTCTATTCCTGCTCATATTATAAGCAAGACAATTTACATTATTATTATTATTATTATTATTGTTATTATTACTTACCATATCGCTAATTCACCCCCTTTTATCCCCAATTTGTGTAACCTTACTCTTCAACTTATGAAGCAGCTCGCTCTTGGTGGAAAATCTGTCCTATCTAAACGATCTCCAGTCACTGTCTGGTTGAAAGTGAATGCTTCCACCGATTATGAATACTGAGGCAGTCTTTCTGAAACCACGTACGCCGTTCAAGCTGGATTCCTCCAACGTTCGCACACTAATGCAGATCAGACAACAGATAGGGCTGGCTATGTCTTTGGAAGGTCTTAATGTTGACGTTTGTTGTCTATCCGAGACCCGTATTCAAGACTCTAGTGAAGTACTACAAATCCGCTCTCCATCTGTCGCTTCGAAAAGCTTGTTCCACGTGCGCTTATCCGGGGACCCTGTGGCATCTTCGTCTGGTCTTGCAGGCGTTGGTGTCGCACTAAGCGCTAGGGCTGAGGCAGCACTAATCGATTGGTTCCCCATTAACAGTCGGTTATGTGCTGTTAGATTAGAAAGTTCCATCAAAGTGAGAAGAAACCGGCGTGAGAAACGGTGTTTTTTCGTCATCTCCGCCTATGCCCCGACAGATTGCAGCCCGGATGCAATCAAGGATGAGTTTTACCACTAGTTAACAGTTCTTCTCCAGAAAGCGCGTTCGACAGATATTGTAGTACTAGCCGGAGACTTGAATGCACAGGTCGGGCGTCTAGGCATAGAAGAGAGTCGTCTAGGTGGCCGATGGGGACTTGTTGGTCGCAGGACAGATAACGGGGACCGTTTGCTGCAACTGTGCACAGACCACAACCTGTTTCTGGCCAGCACCAACTTCCGGCACAGTCATCGCCGGTGTGCCACCTGGCGTCCTCCCTCTGCATCCCAAGCCTGGACTCAGATTGATCACATCGCGATCAGCTACCGCTGGCGTGGTTGTGTACAAGACTGCCGCTCCTTTTGGAGTACCTATCTGGAGTCTGATCATGCCCTGGTCTGCGCCAATCTCACCTTACTTTTCAGTGGCCGAAGGATTGACCACCACCAACGGATTGATGTTAGTAAACTGGTTGCAACGTCTGTTGCAAGTAAGTATCGAGCGGAGCTAGCCTCTAGGCTAGCTACCATCCCACTGAAAAGTATAGATGAGCGTTAGTTGCATCTTCACGACGCCATGAAAATGGCGAGTAAAGCCGCTTGCGGCTTCGCGAAACGTCCCGCTTACAAGCACTGGGTTTCTTCTGGCTCCTTACAACTGATGGAAGCCCGTCGGTCTACTCCGGGTGACCGTGAGTTTGACCACAAACGAAGGCTGTTACGTAATGAAATTGGGCAAAGCTTGCGTAAGGACCGGGAAGCCTGGTGGTCGGAGCGTGCTAATGAGATGGAAGCAGCAGCTGCATCTGGTAACTGCCGGAAGCTCTTCCAACTCATCCGAGCCACTGGCAGCAAGAAGTCTGGTGTGAGTGAAACAATCTACGAGGATGATGGGATGCCAATCACTAACATCTCCCGACGTCTTGGACGATGGGCGGAATTTTTCGAAGGGCAGTTCAACTGGCCTGCTGCTCCGGCAACATCAACCAGCTTGTCCTGCCCCCCATGGTCGGTGACGACTGATCCACCAAACGAGGCGGAAGTCCGCAAGGAACTCCAACTCTTGAAGCGCTACAAATCACCTGGCCCAGATGACTTACCTCCGGCTCTTTTTAAAGATGGTGGCGACTTTCTGACTAAGGAATTGACTGTGTTGTTTGGAAAGGTTTGGGAGCAAGAAAGTGTTCCAACATCATGGAATGAGTCAATAGTCGTCCCTATCTTTAAAAAGGGTTCGCGTTGTTCCTGCAATAACTATCGGAGGATAAGTCTACTTCCGATTGCGTCCAAACTATTGGCTTCTGTCATTCTTCGTAGGTTGTTTAAAACCCGAGAACGATTGACTCGCGAGGAGCAGGCTGGTTTTCGTTCTGGTCGAGGATGCATTGATCACATCTTCACCCTCCGCCAAATGTTAGAACACCGTCATACTTATCGCAGGCCAACAATCGTAGTGTTTCTTGATATCATGGCTGCCTTCGATTCGTTGGACAGGACTGTTCTCTGGGATTGTCTATTAAAGAAGGGTGTGCCTGAGAAGTTCATTAACATCTTAAAGGCCCTGTATACGAACACCTCAGGCAGAGTGAGGGCATACAACCACCTTTCTCCCTTGTTCCATTCGAGCAGTGGGGTTAGACAGGGTTGTCCGATCTCACCATTCCTCTTCAACTTTGCCATCGACGACATCCTAGAAACAGCTCTGATGGATGTAAGTAATGGCGGTGTGGATATGTTGCCTGGAGAACGACTTCTCGACCTTGAGTATGCGGATGATATTGTCTTACTGTGCGATAATGCCCAAGGCATGCAATCCGCACTTAATCAGTTGGCAATCAGTGTCCGCAGGTACGGCATGTGCTTTGCACCCTCCAAGTGCAAAGTACTTCTACAAGACTGGCAGGATTCTCATCCTGTACTCACCCTGGATGGTGAGCAGATCGAAGTAGTTGAGAAGTTCGTGTATCTAGGTAGCTATATAAGTGCTGGTGGTGGCGTGAGTGATGAGATTGATGCACGTATAAGGAAAGCCAGATCGGCTTATGCCAATCTGGGCCATCTTTGGCGCCTTCGTGATGTTAGTCTGGCTGTAAAAAGTCGGATTTACAACGCGTCGGTGAGAGCAGTTTTGCTCTATGCTTGTGAAACCTGGCCTCTCCGAGTTGAGGATGTTAGACGTCTCTCTGTGTTCGATCATCGTTGTCTCCGAAGGATTGCTGACATCCAGTGGCAACACCATGTTAGTAATGCAGAGGTTCGGCATCGTGTGTTCGGGCACAGAGACGATAATTCAATTGGTGTCACCATCTTGAAACACCGACTTCGGTGGCTTGGACATGTTTTACGAATGTCGTCCCAGAGACTTCCACGTCGTGCATTATTTGCCGACCCTGGGACTGGTTGGAGAAAGCGGAGAGGAGGTCAGTGTATGACATGGTGTCGTGGCATGAAAGAAAGCTGCAAAGGGCTAGCTTCTGTTGGTCCTTCACGACTCCCTGGCTGGGGTCCGAGAGATGGTGCAACACAGTGGCTAGAGACGTTATTGGATATGGCTCAGAATCGAAGCCAGTGGCGATCCTGCTGCAACCTTCTTTTACTTTCTACATAAAGAGTGGTTATAGCTTTCTTAACTGAAAGAGTCTTCTGGTTGTACATTTTAGTCCGCCTTATCTTTTCATCCCTTCTCTTCCTACTTTCATTATTTTGTGTGGCGCATATGTACCTGGTGCCCTTTTGTACCAATATATATGTGTTTAAATATATAAATAAATAAATAATATCTAACAACTGGAATTTCAGTGCTTTGACCACTAGTCTACCAGAAAATAATCGTTATTATTCAAGCTATAGACATGTCCCGTTTATTATGTATACTTTTTAAAGAACTGACGTAATAATAAACGTGTGGATATTGATGGAATGTGAATAAACTACACTTTCGTCCGCAATTTTTGTCCTGCACCTGTCAACCAACCAAAATGAAGCGGGAACTGTTATTTACATTGTCGTAATTCATTATTGAGGGCGTGTTTCTTTACCTGTCGTTTTTTCTGGCTTACATGAAAAGCGTAAAGTTTGTGTATGGCTGTATTGGTCACAATGGTAGTGATGACGAGTGTACATACCTAATTCACTTTATGGTATTGCTCTTTTTTGACGTAGGAAGTTAATAAAATCGCACATCGTTTTGGCTTTCTCTGCTTATTACGAGCTCAGCGAATTACTTGACAATGGTTTCAATCCGTTAGCTGAATCAGTCAGTCAGTCAGTCACAACGTAGAACTTCGTACGTACATACATCAATTCGAGTTGCCATACCACATTAGCACAGAAATGCAGTTGTCCATTCAAATCCCATAGTAGTAGAGGCAGTAGAAGTATAAGCAGTAATCCAAAAGATTAGGGTTTCAGTATGTTATTTAAGGAGTATAATCCAGTGAAATAAATTTGGAAAGAGAAAAAGGAAGGGGTATGAAGAATTCAGAAGATTAGAATTTGGGAGAACACAAAGGGTGAATGCACGTTCGCCATTGCAAACAATTTTGAGCCATGTCATTCAAAGTCTCTAATCATCGGTTGTTATCATCTCGCGAATCCCAACCAGGTAGTCTACACCTACCAACATGGCTCCGTCCACATGTCAATGACTTCATGGATTTATGCCACGTTTTGGTCTGGCCACCCCTAGCTTTCTTCCAACCTACTTCTACACCATAAAACATCGCATGTCGTGGCAGCCGGTGGTTGGGCACACGTAACACGTGTCCCAGCCATCTCAACTGATGAAGTTTCACTACTTCGTCAATCGATTTGCCATCCTTACCTAGTACCCGTTTCCTAACAACTGCATTACTTACTCGTTGGTCCCAGGATATACGAGCAATGCTTCGAAGACACCTCAGATCGGATACTAGCTGCCTAAGTATATCCTCTACTCTTGTCAGCCATGTTTCACTGCCATAAAGTAGGATGGAACGAACTGCTGCACAGTAAACCCGTCCTTTGGTTGCTAGACGGGTATCTCGCCCACACCATAAATGGTACAATTTGGCGAAAGCTAGTTGAGCCTTCTGTATTCGTGCTGAGATTTCGTCAAGCACCAGACCACAAGGGTTGATAAGACTCCCAAGATAAGTGAAGCGGTGGACACGCTCAACTACTTCACTTCCTAACATTAGTTCAGGTGTCGATGCAACCCAATCGTGAAGTAACATTTCGTATTTCGAAGTGGAGAACGGGATACCGAACATGCTTGCATTGTCGCTTATTGTGGTCAGAAGAATCTGCATCTCGTCAGCGTTTTCACCAAATAGAACTACGTCACCGGCATATTCTAAGTGGACAAGTGAGTCTCCTGATAGAAGTTCAACCCCTTTAAATTTGGATAATGAAAGTGTTATTTCTAAAAGCACGTCCACGATAAAGTTAAACAAGAATGCAGTGGGTGGACAGCCCTGACAAACAGCACTTGAGGTAATCAATTCTGATGACAGTTCGTCATAAACTGGTCTATACAACCACGTCCAGGACGAAAACCAGCCTGCTTCTCTCTAGTCTGCTCTTCACGAGCTTTGATTAGGCGTCCAAGTATTATTGAATCTAATATTTCAGACACTATATTAGTCAAACTGACTCCTTTTTGATTGTCACAAGAGGACTTTTGTCCTTTCTTATAGACTGGCACAATCAGTGATTGGGACCAATCAGATGGAATTACATCCAGTTCCCACATTCTACCTAAGACCTCAGTCAATCTCACTGCTACTACTGGACCGCCACCCTTAGAAATTTCAGGGTTAAAGCTGTCAGGGCCTGTTGCTCTCCCTCGCTTAAGATTTCCTATAACTTTTCCAACCTTGTAAAGAGTTGGAGGACTTACCTCAACTGGCCATTCAGGTCGACTGCAGATCGTGAGGAACCGAAGTGCGAACGAAGGCCAGTTGTACTGATCCGTAATGTGTTCTGCCCACCAATCCAATCTTCTGAATTGCCTAGCCTATCATTAAGTAGAACCCTAAGAGGCTGACTTTCAGCGTCTTTCCTATGTCCATTAAGACGCAAACACACACTTGCTCGCACTAGAGCATGATCTGAATCTAAGGATGTGCTCTACAACAAGCGTCAGTCTTCTATCGAACCCCTCCATCGGTAGCTAATATAGACCTGATCGGGGGTCGCCATGTCAAAAGATGTTAGTATTTGCAAGAAACAGGCGGTTACCTGAGCATAGCTGCAACAAACGGTCGCCATTATCTGTTCTTTGAGCCACCACACCATAAAATCCACCGAGGTGCCTTTCCCTTTCGCTTAGTTTACCTATTTGAGCATTAAAGTCACTAGCCACTATTACTACATCAGAGCACCTAGCTTTTAGGAGAAGGTCGGAAAGCTTCTTGTAAAACTCATCTTTCACATCATTGGAGCTGCAGTCAGTGGAAGAGACGACAGGCAGAGACGACAAAGAGGCAACGACGAGTGTCCCTATCTTTCCAAGTCCTTACTGTTCCGTTTAGTTGGACATCGCACAGACGACTGTATACTGGGATCCAGTCTAAAAGAGCTAGTTCTGACCTAGGACTCAATGCTATGCCTACACCGATGAGGCCAAGGGAAGCAGCATCCGGGCTTCCAGATACACGAATTGTGAATCGCGTAGGTTCTTTATTTTGATATGTTGAGGTCAAATGTATGACGCTGCTCGGATCCTGTATGCGCGTGTTGGAGACGCAGCACGTATCGATGGCGCGGGGTTCTAACGTTCTAGCTAAGGAAGCCTGTTGTCCTATTTCGCACAGTATTCGGAAGTTAAAAGCTCCTATATGTAATTTAGAGCGTGGTTTCAGGAGACCGGGAATAACGTTCCGCGTACTGGGGTCGTTTGCATTGGCGGTACGAGGTGATAAAGGGAAGTAAGAAGGGTTAGTTGTGGAGATAATAGTTATAAGGAGGTGTAGGAAGGATGTGATTTTGACCAACTTGGTCTCATGTGTTGTTACGATTATGAGGGCTGAAGTCACTTCCCGGCTTCCCACACCATGAAAGAGTATTTCTTGAGGAATCTGAAAGGAAAGTTGAATTATTGTTGGTCATAACGACCTGGGAGCATGAACGCAGATACTAAGGGACAACTGCTTAAAGCTGGTAACACACGGCCTTTTTGTAGGAGGCTTTTGACGTGGTACCCTTGTTCTTCAAATGTTTTTTTCGCCGGGGACGGAAACCCGTGAGGTAAGGTGAGGCGTGACATTTCTAGGGTCTATCTTTTCTAACCCCTTCCTTCCTTGTGAGAAGTCAGCATCGTTGCAGATGCTGGTTGTCCGAGGGGAACACCTTACTGCTGTCACAATTAAGTACAGTCAGTAGTACGTCTTCACTCTCAGACCTTGAGTTACTGCTCTTAGTCTTACCGTTCTCCATTCTACCTGCCTGGCATGGTAGAACCTACAGGAATATATATTTTCACCAATATAGCTCGGTTGGGTCATCACGATAGGCAAGCTCAACCACCACGTCAAGGTAGCACCTACAGTTGAGGTTTGTTGAATCATAGGTTATTTTATATTTATGTATAAATGTGCCGAAATCTGTTATTCAGTAAATTCTTCGACGTTCATTACTACATTGCTTGGAGAAGAGCTAGAACGAAAAATTTTCCAAATGATTTAGCATAAAGATATCTGTTTATAGACTAGTGAGTCATTTAATCTGAGTCTCACTCATGGTATTCACTGCAAATGTATTTTTGTGTGATGATAGCCAGGATTGGAGTTTGATAAATTTGATTCGGTGTGAAATATGATAGTAGTAATAACGGTAATATCTTAACTAGTGTACTTTTTATGTGGGATATGTGTCCTGAAGAAAGGTAGCGCGTTTTTCGTAGACTTGCTTTTTAGACTACAGAACGTGTGTTGTCATTTAACATGTCATACGAAAATTTATTCTGAAAATAAGGAACTTTTCTCTGCATACATCCAGTTTTAATGATGCAAGAAATTCGAGTAAATGGCTGACAATTTGTAAACCCAAATTTTCGAAGTTTATGTCGATCAGCTAGCATTATATCCCTTTCTTTTGTTTTAAAACCTGTACTCCATTGAGCAGCGGAGTCACGCCTCAGTGAAAACAGCAACATTTGTCTAGCTTTTTTTCTTAATAAGCTCATAAAAATGGCAATTTATTTCGCTACAAATTTCTCTAAAACTTTTCTTTGCAGATTGAGTTGTTATTTCCATTGAAATCCTTTTTTGCTTTTGTCTGTACCTTAGAACCCTAAACTACAACTCTATGGCCTCGGCTTATTTGCATTAGTTGCCACAAACTGCCGTTTAGGTGGTTTGTCACCACATGATTTGGATTTCATGATTTCAAGTGTCTACCGTATTCGTTATAAACTATTAAAACCAAATATCCAAGTAAGATTAATTCTCTTGATAAAAATAAAATTATAACACCAGTGTTTTTTATTAGGTGTCTATTCATTTTTTAACTGATACGCTATGGTGTCATACAAATTATAGAACTTTTTACGTCTTTTTAATCTTTTTATGATGAAAAAGAAATCCTCGTTGTTTGGGTCAACTTTACGTTAATTTTCATGCGTCAAAAATCCATAAAAAGCTTTTTAATAACTAAGAAAGGTGTTTTATCGTGTGGCCTATCAAACATCATGTGGGAAAATCTCCAATTAGAATATTGATTTCTATGACCTTGCCCGTGTGCTAAACTAATCTACAGATCCGTATTTTAAATGAGATGCGACAGTTTTTCTGAGCCAGTTTTTCGCGAGTCTTATATAATCTCCACGTTATAACGGAATGTAATATTCTAGAAGTGACTTTTAAAAGACTCATGCTCTGATGATCAGGGCATGTTTTAAAATGAATTCATTAAACATTTTATTTTAAAATCAAGTATGTCACAACTTAAACAAACCAGTTAGTCCCTTGATCAGAATATCGCTCTTATTTTGGAAGATATTCTGGCGGTCGTCACTTGTGCTGTGTCCTGTAGCGTTTCAGGATTTGAGGTCCTTTATGAATCTCCTCTTTTTTTTACGTTGACAGGCTTTTCTGGCTGCAGCGCAAGGCACAGTTTAGTTAATGTTGCTTAGGTAATGGGGCATTTTTTTCAGAGCAGTTTTTCTTCAGGGATTTTAAAGCACTGTAATTGTCCATCTCATTAACTTCAAAAGTTCTCTAGCTGACGATACAGTTTTTTTACTGGTGACTTAAGCAGCAAATTTGCCACCCGTTGTAAACGCCGTAAGCGCTCGAACTTTAGTCCCGAGTTCGGCGTTTATCATAAATGACTATTTATTCCTTCAGTCATCATAGCCTGCTAGTAAGTTTTGATGGAAATTGTTATCATTTATAAAATAACTATACTGTATCTTAATATCTAGTTTATCAATGTCTCCTACAAAAATATCTATAAAACACGAGCCAATAAACCCCCTGTTCCATATATGTATTTACAACAAAATACAATTATAACTATGGATAACTGATTGTAGCTTTATCTCCTTATATTTAAATTCTTATAGATGGCTTTTCTTGAATGTGTCAGTCATTTGGTTAAAGCAGCTCCTATGAACCTGTATTGTATGGTAAATCTAGGCTCAGCAGCTCCAGAGATACGCTTTGTACCAAATACAAATGAGTCTGGTTATTTAAACCAGAACTTAAGTTCAGTTGTCTTGAAAATTTCTGAAACTGTTCAAGCTCTATCCTCAGAAAGTAATAATCAAGCTTCACAACATAACAATGTGAATTGTGCTGCAATCGCAGCAGTAGCTGCTAATGCATCTAGTGCGTCAAGTAGAGGTACCAGTTCAGCAAGTGTTTTGTTACCTTTCCTTTACCAACGCTTTGGTTCACACTGGATTCGTGTAAGTAAAATTATCTGTATAGAGTCGTCAATCATTTTGTATAAATAGTTTTTATAATTCCTTCAATTATTTCTGGTTGATTGTTGTTTGTGTTGCACAAAATTGATTTCATGTTTAATTTTTACATCTAGGGTGTTTGTGGGTGTCAATGACAAAGTTAGACTTGATCATGTCAAATAAACTGAACATTTGGTAGAAAGTAATATTGAATATGTTTTTTCTTACATCCCAGTAAGTAGAAAATTGTATTTCTGAAGTTTCGTGGATAATGTTAACCACTTCTTCAGAGTAAGTGAATAACCGAATAAAATTAACACAAGTTTAAACAGTACAAAATAAAACAATGCACAATATTTTTAGCACTAAAAATATTCTGCATTGTTTTCTTTTGTAGCAGTCGAGTGGTTTGTTCAACTTTCTATCAAAGACTAAGGTTAAATATCAATATACAACAAAGGATCAAAATCATCCTATGATAACCATAGAGGGATTAGTTTGACTAATATAGCATCTAAAATACTAGCCTCAATAATTATTAAACGCCTAACAAAGACTCGTGAAATGCAAACACGAGAAAATCAGGTTGGCTTGAGACCTGGTTGTGCCTGCATCGACCATATATTCACTATTCGTCAGGTTCTAGAACGCAAGCATGCTTATCGGCGTCCGACAATGATAGTTTTTCTTGACTTGAAAGCATCATTTGACTGTGTAGACCGAGAAGTTCTGTGGCAGTGTCTGTCATTGAAACGTGCACCTCAGAAGTACATAAACCTTGTGAAGGCTCTTTACTCGAACACTACCAGTCGTATCAGGGCTGTTATGTGACTTTGCAACCTCAAGTGGTGTCAAACAAGGCTGTCCACTATCCCCATTGCTGTTTAATTTCACCATAGACCCATTGCTGGAAATAACGTTCTCGTCGACTGAATTTTCAGGAATTGATCTCCTACCAGGAGGCGGTGCACTTATTGACTTAGAATACGCAGATGACATAGTCTTGTTTGGTGAAGACTCTGGTAAAATGCAGAGTTTTGGTAGGATTGAGCAACAATGCCAAGATGTTTAAAATACGTTTCTCCTCCTCTAGATGCAAGTTGTTGCTCCAGGACTGGCCTGCGTCAGCACCTGAACTAAGGATAAGTAGTAGAGTAGTCCAACACGTCGATAGCGTCACTTATCTTGGAAGTTTGATCAACCCTAATGGATGGGTGTGTGAAGAAATTTCTTCACGAATAAGAAAGCTCATTTGGCTTTTGCCGACTTACGTCAACAATGCAGACGGTGAGATATCCGTCTATTATTTATTTACTTGAACACAAATATTCGTACAAAGAATTACCAGATTATCATTTTTGTATTATAAAAAATATTTTTCTCGTCAAGTAGCCTTGTGGAAGTTTGTCCACTAAATTGGAGCTGAATTTATGGTGTTGGATTTGGTGACACCTCATGACCTTTTAAAGTTTGTTAAGCAAAGTGGATATCAACCCCGTGACTGAATTGGTCGAAAATGACTATTCAAATTGCTGAATCATGTATCATTTTATTAACATTGAATTATCCGATCACCTTATTTTGGTTCACGTCTCTGAATTACAACCCTTGAGTTTATGAATCAATAACTGAACGATTCGCTAATTTTGAATAATTTTTCGTGTCAGTTTAATTGTATATTGTCTATACTTAAGCTTAAGTTCAAGAAGTTTTAATTAAATAATGATGATTCGTTTGTGTTTTATTTATGATACTAGTTTTTGATGTGTTCTAATCAACACAACACATTGGTTTCAGTCATCCTGTCAAAAGCCTCCAACCATCCAACAACACATTCTGGTAGTTCGAAGAATGTGACACTGCTCTTGGATAGATAAATCTAATTTACATTAGTGCATACATGTCCATTTTCTAACCTAAACATATCTAACCTGCAGCAATCGCTTTTGATAGCAAGTGGTGTATTTTTCTAATGTCTGTCATTCTCTTTTTATTCGTAAGTGTTGAACATTGCCACTGCTGTTTATGTCATCGATCATTAGTTTTTAGCTAATTACACTTTGTTTTCATCTTCCCATTGGCTGACATATATTAGAAGTTGATCAATGTTATTTTAAGTACAGTAGGTACACTTCCTAAACCTTTGTTTATTCAATAATGCAATTGAATCACTGCTTTTGTTTTTAGATCATCGGAGATCTACTAAGTGAACGATTAATATTGGCTTCATTAGCCACCGCCAACCAAGCTTCTCAAAGTTCGTTGACTGAGTCACAGTTGTATGGTGAATTAAACCGTCGTCTTTCTCCGATCTATCAATTTTTACGAGAACTAGCACGTTGTATGCGCAATGATAATGATAGACCTGTCGGTAGTTCAAATCTCTCATCTCAAAATTCTTTATTTCAGTCACAACAAAATTATTTACCATGTTCAGAGCTTGCTTTTGCATTACTACAAGATCGTTCATTTCGTGGTCCAGTCACTGCTTCTACAGTAGTGAATGAAGTATTGGTATCACTTACTCAACAAAGAGATCAGTCGCAAGGAAAATCGACTGTTGAATTATCGAAAACTGATATCTCTGTTTTTCAATGCTATTTACGTGGTTTAGTAAGTTTGGTGTGTGCTCTACAAATGTTATCAGCTAACAGACCATTTCTTAGTAATTCATCCTCATCAACAACAAGTAGTAGACGAACAAGTAGGTTGAAAAATTATATGTTATTAAATTATTGTTGTTTTGTCGTAAGTATACGTTACATTGTTTAACTGTAAAATTCCCGTATTTTGGCTTTTAGTCTGAGTCCGACCACAATGTATGTAATAATTTAGTTAATGATATTGAGTGCCTCACTCTGTTATTCTGTGCATTTTTATTTAGTTGCAATAAATATGTTAGTTTTAGAAATGATTAATGAATTAATTGATTTTCTGACATTTATATTCATTTTTATCTTCTGTTGACACCTTCCTTATTATTCAGAGCGTGTTTTCTGAACCATTGAAATTTTTTTCCGAATCACTCTTAATAAACTCAAGGATTTGTATCTGCTACAGTTATTTCAGTTGCAATTTGTAGCATTATCACTAACAACTTGTTCACGAAATTCTAGCGTAGTTTACAAATTGTAGTATAATTTCCGGTGTCGTAAATTATTACATCATTTTGTTCAAATTGTATATAAACTGTTATACTTGGTTATTCGCTCTCAACGCAAGTGACTATTATATAATTCGGGCACTCATTTTTCAGTGTCTTGTTTATATTTTTAATAAAATAATATTCCGATTTCGTAGCATGGATACTTTCTGAAATCTAGTAAAATGTAAAAATTATTCATCGTCGTTCTTATCTATCGTAATCTCAGTTTTAAAAAGGAACCTAATTCACTACTTTTTCACATAGGTTCTTATACTGAAGCTGTCAAAGTTCACCATTTGACTTTACGTCAAATTCGTTTAGCGTTTGTACGATGGACGAAATCGTTGCTGCCTATGTTTATCAGTGTGGTTAGCCAAAATTGTTCAATCCCTTTATTGAAGTGTATAGAGATAATTAAACCTGTCAATCTCATTCGTCAAGCGTTTGTTTTAGATTCATTAACTCCACTAAATGAATCACAATCGGAAAGCTACTATCAGCTCACTTCTGGATTATATCCTACAGAGGATATATGGCCAGACCAAGACAATAAGTAAGTTACTTTTTAATTATTTCTTGTCATGATAATGTATTCCCATGATTGTTTCGGAATAAAATAGACCCATAGATGGCTACTATTCGAATAACAACTTAGATTAAGTTTGACCTTAACTTGTTTCCGAGTTATTTTTTGTTAATCGCCTCTTTGGAATTTTAATTCTGATGCTATAAAACTAACTTTCGTACTGGTTACTTCCCAAGGCCAAACTAAACAGTCATATAAACACCTGTACAGTTCATCAGTGGTAGCTAAGATACTTGTCCAATGGTGCTTTAATGCCGTAGCGGGGTTTTACCAATAGAACTATCTAGTTTTGTCAAATTCATAACTATTGTGTGACTATTGTTATATATATATATATATATATATATATATATATATATATTTGAAAATGAATATTGGGACAAGGGGGCACCAAATACACATGCGCCACTCAATAGCAATGAACGGAAATTAGTGTGTGAGAGTGAATGAATAATAATAATGATGGGATAAATAATTCAGATAGTAAAAATACAACCAGAAAGAATTCTTTCAGTTAAAGAAGAAACGTTCACTTTTATATATAAAGTTAAAGCAGAATCGCCACTGGCTTCTATTCTGAGCCATGTCTGATAACATCTCTAGCCACCGTCTTGCACCATCTCTAGGACCCTAACCAGGTAGTCGTGAAGATCCAACAGAAGTCCGTCCGGTACAGCTTTCTTTCATATCACGACACCATGTTATACACTAACCACCTCTATGTTTTTTCCAACCAGTCACAGCGTCGGCAAATAATGCACGACGTGGAATTCTCTGGAATGACATTTATAATACATGTCCAAGCCATCGAAGTCGGTGTTCCAAGATGGTAACACCAATTGAAGTATCGACTCTTTGCCCGAAGACATGTTGCCGAACTTCTGCGTTACCATCATGTTGTCACTGAATGTCCGCAATCCTTCGAGGACAAGATAATCAAACACAGAAATTCATCTAACATCCTTAACTCGGAGAGGCCAGGTTTCACAAACAGAGCAAAACTGCTCTCACCGATGCGTTGTAGATCCGATATGTTACAGCCAGGCTTACATCACGAAGGCACGAAAGATAGCCCAGGTTGGTATAAGTTACTTTGGGTTTCACTATACGTGAAATAATCTCACCACTTAATCAATTACTCAGGTACACGAACTTTTCGACTACTTCTATCTGCCCTCTACCCAGGGTGAGTGCAGGATCGAGGTCCTGCCACTCTCCAGGTGATAGATCCACACCACCATTACCTACATCCAATAGAACTGTTTCTTAAACATAATCGACAGCAAAGTTGAAGAGAAGTGATGAGATTGGGCAGCCCTGTATAACCCCACTGCTTGAATGCAACAATAGAGAGAGAGATGGCTGGTTGCCTTCACTCTGCCTGAGTTTTTTGTATGTATAACTTTTATGATGTTAATAAACTTCTTAGGCATACCCTTCTACAATAGACAATTTCAGAGAACAGTCCTGTATAACGAATCGAAGGCAACCCTGATGTCAACAAACACTACGATTGTTGACCTCTGATAAGTATGACAGTGTTCTAACATATGGCGGAGGGTGAAGATATGATCAATGCATCCTCCACCAGAATGAAAACCAGACTGCTCCTCACGAGTCAATCTTCCTAGGGTTTTGAACAATCTACGGAGTATAATGGATGTCAATAGTTTGGACGCAATCGGAAGTAGACTTATCCCTCTATAGTTGTTATAAAAAGAACCCTTTTTAAAGATAGGAGCAACTATTAGCTAATTTCATTTTATTGGAACACTCTCTAGTTGCCAGACCTTTGTAAACAACTCAGTCAGTTCTTTAACAAGAAGGTCGTCACCATCTTTGAAAAGGGCTGGAGGTAAGTCCTCCGGGTCTGGTGATTTTTGGCGCCCTAGGAGTTTGAGTTTCCTGCGGAATTCCGCCTCGTCAGGTGGGTTAGTCATCACCTGCCATGAAGAGTTGGACAGTTTGATCGATGTCACCGTAGCAGCAGAACAGTTGAACTGCTCCTCGATAAACTATACATTGTCCAAGACGGCTATATGTGAATATTTAAAAATAATTAATTGTTTAACAACAAGTGGTTACTAGTGTAGATTAGAAAACTTGCACTCAAAGTAGTAAACTTTACGACAAATGCCAACTTTGAGCACGAACTTGTGCAAACATTCAATGTAGCCATACAAATTGTATCAAACGATAAGATAACAGGTTATTTACCTAATAATTACATATTTTCACGAACTGTGTGACATGGTTTTCATGTCTAAATATTCTCACATTTATGTTATTCATGTTTAATTCTGATTATTTATCTTAGTTTCATTCAACGTGTTAACTTCCTCAAGTTAACATTGTTTACTTGATAAAAAACTTATTTTCTTTTGCAAACAGTCCCGAATTTAAATGCTATAATTTTAAACGATGTACTGGCTTTAAACTGTCCCATTCTCTGAAATCACTAATCTGGGTTTATGAGTGCTAAACATTATGAGAATTTATTGAAAAGAATATTCTTTTTGCATATTTGTGTTTTGGTTTGATAGGAATTTTCAAACAGTTAAAACTTAGATTTACTTAGACTCGTTCTTCTTTCTCTTCAGTTTCCTAACTCGCTTAATATGTGACACTGACGTATCTGAAAAACTACTTAATCAGTTGCTGATTTTGGGTCTAGACACATCATGTCACTTTCTTACTGCTATAGATGCTGGAGATATAGTATGTAATCTTATATGGCGCGGTGCTATGCTATCCTGTGACTCAGGTAATTAGCAGAAAATCTCAGTCAATTATTTATTGCAATTATTTATTCATTCGTTATAAATTATTCTAACTAGGATCATTTTACGTTGATTATTTTCATATGTCTTGTTTTTTAATAATTATTCCATAGTCACGACGTCTAACTAGTTTTTATATCCTGGTAATCAAACGTTTATCAGTTGAAGGTACTTAGTTGTTTATCAGACTTGCTCCACACATGGTTTATTCACTTTTCCAATAATCTAACTTGTATGAATTAGTTTCTTTACTTGTTTCACATTTATACTGGAAAGTTGCATCGATGTAATGTTCAAGTAACGTGTCAAAGCCAGCCTTAATGTTTTTTGTAGCTTTTCTGGGCCTTCATTTCACAGTAGTTATATTTAAATTTATTTCGCAAAATCGAATAACTTGTGTAATTTCTTACGGTAGGTCATAATTCAGTCACGCAAGCTCATTAAAAACTAATAGTGGATCCTATGTCATATAATGATATTTAGTAAATTGTACATTTCAATTTAGCCTTCCTACCTTATTTGCATAATTTAATATAATGACCACCGAGTTTCGAAATGTATCTTACTGAACGACTGATGAATGACTTACAATAATTTATTGGATCAGTATAGTGTTCGCCATTTTTTAATTACCTGGGTTACTATTTTTGTCCTAATAACTTATACTTCTTATTTTCTACCTGGTATTATCTAATTTATACGATTATATTGTGTTGTCTAATGTATTTTAATCCTTTTTATATTCCAGGTGTAGATGGCGTGACCATAACTAGACCTGAACAATTAGTTGATCTTCTTTTTGCTAGCTGTACTTACCTATCTGATCAACAGATTCCTGCGTAAGACAATAAATTAACATAACTGAGTGTAATGTTTTTCATTGATGTGCTTTGTTGTTAGTGGTTTTTGCTTCAATTATCAATTCATTTTGTCACTTACTGGTAGTTTTCAATAAAGAATGACATCATTTAAAGAAACATTGGTTCATTTAAGCAAAAAGAAGTCTTTAGGTAACAATAAAATGGCTAGACCTGAAAGTTTCGAATTAATTGAAATTTTTTAGAAAGTTAATAATAAATATGTTCTCATGATATCCGAATGAGTAGTAATTTGTATTTCTGAAGTTTCTTGAAGCCACTTCCTCAGAGTAAATAAATTAAGTCACGAAACGTCAGAAATGCAACTTTCTAGTCAATGGGATATCACAGAAATATATTTATTATTAAAAACAACACTCGTTAGTTAGAAATTGTTTCAAACAGAAGCTAGAAATACTGATATTATTTGTCCATGCTTTGTATAACAGGACGAATAATAGATGTCTCATTGATGCAATTCATTAATCAGATTGAAATACGACCTTGTTATTAATTATACACGTATTGTCATGTGGTATTCCTTATAAATATGTGAGGTAACAATTGTACGAATTTTTTATAAATGAAGCATTTGTTTTTGCGCTTCATATAGGTCGTGAATTAAAGTAAACGACATTGTTTCAATTAGTAGTGTAGTGAACGAGAATACAAGTGGAGACAATGGAATGTATTTAAACAAAAAATTACAGAACATCTTAGTAAAATCTGAGAACCATACAGTAAATTCTTCATTTGCGAAGTGTCAATCAATTGTCTCAAACTTCATTGTTCTTCCGTTTCCACACTAATCAATCTCTGTTCTCGTTCTCTTTCCTTCGATCTTCTTAACCTTCTGCCGCCAGACATACTGCTTATATCTGTCGACATCAGTAGCACATACCACAGTGGTATTAGTTTATAGCTTAATATTATTAGCTGGTGTTTTCTATTTGATCATATGCTTTCCAACTGGCTAAAACAAGAATTTACACTATATATGTTTTCTTGATGATTTTACTATATTATATGTTTTATATTTTACGCATATGTTTGTTGAATTTGAAGAATTTTTTTTTCCAATTTCTTCAAAGTGAAATGAGTGAATTTGCTTATGCCCAACTTTATTGGAAAGTAACGTTAACTTGTGTTATATTAGCTGCTTATTGTCCTCGTACTTGTGGTAAGTACACTTTGACAATTTTAAATATTCCATAAATTTCATACAATATAAACCATATTGTTTTGTTTTGTGATCGTGATTAGATAATGAAAGATTGTCATGAGAATTCTTTTTAATGTGATAGTGAAAGGTTTATCAGTTAGCTTAAAGAAAAATATAACTATTGAATTGCTATTAACGTGGAAAAACAATGGAAATTATCTCTGATTTCAAGTCCAATAATTTGAATTAATTCATTTTACATGCTTTTTACCGTTAATAAGTAACTATGATAAACTAGAGATTATAGTTATTGACATTATCTTTTTTTTGTAGTGTTAAACTATTAGAAAGTGATATTAATTGATTGAGCCACGAAATAACAAAAACATGCTGAAATGAACGTTAACTCCGTGATCTTATCTTAATAACTATCCCCATCTTTACTAACCACATATATTGTATTGAATATAAAATCAGCTAGCAATAACATTCAAAAGATATATCAGATAATATAACTACCATAGATCTAAAGATACATCGTTGACTTTTTTTTACATCAATATCTAACAGCTGATTGTATTTTTTTAGAGTTTATGGTTAACTTAATCAACGTTCATTTCTGTTTTCTGTGTTATACTTTGTGAACTATATCTATTATTTATAACCTTTCAAGTTTTCCCAAAACTACGTAAGGTGAAATTTTGTTCATTCCTGTTACCATCACTTTTGTATATTAATCAATCAGTCATAGTGTAGTTAACGAAGAAAAAGAAGTTAATTATATTATGCAAAATTATGTAAAATATGAAGACAATGCATCAAATACACTATTTTTATATGTCGTTATTGAATTGTCTCTTACAAACTACATTGTTCTCCCATTCCTGTTGTTACTTCGATTACTTACTGTTTTCCTTTCTCTTCTCCTCACTTCTTTATTCTGTCAATAAGAATTCTACCTCCAATGCCTAATACATACTGGTTATATCTGTCCGTATAAGTAGCACACACCACAATGGCAATTCATTATTGTAATTTGCCTTTCAAGTTTACCTCATAAACCATACAAATCGCGATTCGTGGTATAATGCCCGTTTGTGCGATTTTTTTATTCGTTTATAATATTCAGTCTAGTTATTAGAAATTATTCCATTTTTTGTCCCATTTATTATTTAAACACGAGGAAGACTGTACAATTGATTTCTGTACATAATTCAATCTATCATTTCATTTTCTTCAAAGAGTTTCCCTAAAAATCACCAAACAGTTTTATTATTTTGAACTTTAAGTTTATATCAAAAATTCATTGCTATTCTGTTTCAACTATATGTTATCTTATTTTTTTACTTCCGAGGTTCTTATCTTTGGTCTAACTTTCCTACTGTTAGGCGTCTGATGGAAATTGTGATAAGCAGGTATGCTATAATCTACATAAAATAATATGATATTTTCACAGTATCAAGCTTTGTAATAACATTTTGTATAATTTATATTCAAAATCATATCTGATGTGTATTTACGTGCTTCACATGATTTTAGTGTATAACACACCAGTTCCAATTCTTAAATTTACCTCTATTATACTATTGACACACACTGTTTAGTTTTATGTAATGCATACTAGTTGAAGTAAAATCGTTTTTCTGTAAGAAGAAAAAGGAACATTCTATGGTGGAGATTTAAGAAAGAACACTAGCAAAAAATCTAGTAAGTAATAAAATAATAATAATAATATATTCTGAAAATAATATTTACAGAATTCACGCCAGTTTACAGGCATGATACCATCAATGAAGTAGCTATCATTCTAGTCTCATGAATTTACTCATTTAAACATGCCTAAAATGTAGGATAATTCAGCAGATCACCAACCATTGAGTACTGATTACTGAAGTATATTTATTATAGTTCTTTCTATAGTTGTACTGTATTCTAAGTTCAACCACTTAATTAGTATGGAATCGTTATATGTTTTGAATAAAATCCTTCCAACTTATTGATCATGATAATAATGTTTAAATTTTTTAGTGACTTCATCAATCACTCAACCAAAGAATCAATCAGTCATAATCATAATGTTGAATTAACAGAAAAGATGGTAATTATAGTTTATTATTATTTTATGGTTATTATTATATCTTTATATCGAATCATAAGTTATGTATTTATGAAATTTTCATTCCTAGTTTTCCAATTCGATCATAGCTTAAGCTTATTTTTCTCTACAAAAAGTTTGCGATTCACTTCCTTCTGCTTTTACCTCTTCATCATCATCTCTGTAATGATTATATGTATATTGTTTAAAATCAGTGCAGTTTTTTTACTGATTGATTAGATTACAAACAAATTAAAGTATTACTGCTAGATAGTTAATTTTGTTTATATGTCTCTTTAAAACAATATCAAAACTTACGACAATCAAATATTACTTATTTGATTTAATAATACTTAAAAATCTTTTAGATTCGTTAATTCAATGGATTGACATTATGTGTTAGGTTTGAAACATTTTTATTTAGGTTTAGTATTGTGGTGATTAGAGTATTGAATTTTTTCTTATCACTTTAACCTGTCCTGTTTGGTTTGTGTAATCTGATAAAATTGAAATTACACTAAAAGTGTGGCTCTCAATTAAGTACTTGAACTAAAACTGTCCTTCTGAGTTGTATTGAATACATCATTTAATATAAATAAGTGTCACTTGTCATAGCTTTTTAAGAACTGTACGGCTTCTGCTGCCAAGGCACTCAACTTCAGATCGGCGTCACATACTACTTATTTTTCTCGATATAAGTAGCATACACTACAAGCGTAGTCCTATTACGAGACACATCACTTAAGATGTTTAACTAAAATGCTCTATCTTCAGGATAGTAAAATATTTTTTGGAATGTCGGTTTCAGAGTCAGTTGTGACCAGTACAGGTTCCTATGTCGGCTTTTTGGATTGTTTCGTGAATCTAACCTACTTCAATAACCGAACATTCATTTTTTAACCCTTAGTTTTTAAGTTGAATCCGTTTATTCGAAAGTGTTTGAGCACAAGTTTGTATCCTTTCTCATCTTCTGTTATATTGGGCTATATAATGTCAATCTTACACTTATTTCTTCATCTTCGATGGACCGAAGTTTTAATTGTTTAGTTCGTCAAACCTTTTCAGTGATTCACTCATCATTTAACTTCAGAAGCTGTGTAGTGTATTTGCAACTATTTTTTTTTCATTTTAGAATTACGAAATAGAAGTTCAGTTGATTCTTCGTTTAGAATCATGTTTACTTGCAAATAATAATAAAAACACATCAACAACTTCAAAGGCTGAAGAAAACCATCCATTCACATCTGATTCCTCTATTGTAATTACTCCTGAATCTTCTCAGCTCATTAATAAATTAGTTCGAAATAACCCTCGTGGACCATGTCGCCGTTTACCTGAAGAACAACTTCGTTACCTTCGGTTTCTTTGTCGACGTCTCCATCTTGAGCGTCGTCTATGGAATAGTAGAAATCCGGACTTCCTTCTTGATCTATTACATAATCAAGGTATAGTCCCTTTATACTTTCTTAATTGAACAATTTTTCTGTTGACGACCTGCTGTTCTAAATACTGAAAACGTTTAAAATAGTGTAGAATGTAAATGATTTTTATTCAATTAGATCGAAATTGTTGTATACAAATATATACAAGATATTATGAAATTTGAACTGTATTGCTTATTGTTATAAACTTAAAAGAGAGGAGGATGCTGGTTATAACAGTAGGGGTTCTTGTTATAACAGTCCTTTTACTTCTTACACGTATGTGGGACGTTAATTTACCTTAGACGAATATCTACACTAGATTCCCACCCAGTGTCTATTCTACAGGACTTCAACAAAACTCAGATCAAGAACACGAGATTAGCCTGACTATAACGTCAATATATTTCCACACCAAAATCCGACACAAGGAACAGCCAATCAATAAGTATCCAACATCAAGTGTCCATACATAATAAGGATAGGGGAATATATATAACACACATAACACCTGTCATCCTATCTAATGTCAAACTCATCAAGACGACCAATCACTGTCATTCTCGCCCACACATCACTTATATAATTTTTCGAACTTTAATTGGCTGTTCATTGGACTTTCATACTCATACTAACACGTGTAATGATCATGCATTTTGACATCCTGCTTAATACATTAAACAGAAGGTTCAATAAACTGAATTATGCAAGATTTTATCGTTATAACCACGTGCCTAAAATAAAATAAGTAAAACCTGTTTAAACGTGGGACTTTATGTTCAGAAGTTAAATCGCATAACGTACCTGAGGTACCGATAACAACCCACCTTTTGAATAAATTAAATTGTAATAGGTTTGACTTGATACCTATGTGAAAATAGGATTTCTTAACCCTTATAATTTCGTTGCATTCATCTGAAAGAATGTGTAAAATATGGAATTGATACAATCTGATATGTAGTTTCTTTATTTTACTTTCAAATGAGATTTCCATCTTTAAATGTAGAAGGAACTTTGCTGGTAGAACTAATTATTAACTATCACATCACTGCATATTTGAAACATGCAGTCATCTAATCTAATTTTACAGTAATTGTAAGACGTTTGACACCTCGTAGTTTCAGTTCTACGACCTACTATTTGTTGCAGTTATTTTAAATTACAAACTTTACGTTGATAAGTTTCGATGACTTTATTTACCGATGAATAATTCGACTTACTTTTTAAACTCCATTTTACTAGCTAATAATGTTGTTGCACAGCCATGGCTGATGCTCCTAGTTGAATCCACTTTAGAGGATTTAGATGTTCTTCCTGTTCAGTGTTTATGTGAATATCTACTGTATGATGCTATAACACATGCGCAAGCCAGTAAAACTGATCGTTTACATATTTCACGAACTATTGGGCAATCTATAAATATCGATATATTCTATAATTTGTGTGCTGTTAAACCAGGTACGTATGTATTTCCTAATTTTTAGTCTTTTAAGAAAACGTCTCATGGTTGTTGTGGTGTTTTTTCATAACTTTAATGTCCAATTGTTAACATTTGATTGTCGGTCTAATCCACCTCTCCTAGATTTCATAATATGGCACTAACTGACTGTAATTGAAGTCAGTTATATATTCATTGTAGAATATAGCACAAGTGTACGTCAGCCCAAGTTTCCATATTGAGTCAACACAGTGAAAAGGAATTGAATTGCCGGTAAACCAACGGTCGGTGTCTTCATGAACTGGTACTGTATTTGGGCATACATCAAATTTTCCAGTTGTATCAATCGATGAAGATTCACAACTTTGTTTCACACACCTAATTTCTGTATTGCTTGATTAATCGTTCCACCAAACGCAAGCTATGATCCGAAAACACTTATATTTAATTACCTACAGCTTTTGTGCATTTTTATTTGCATGGGTCTTGTTTCACACCAGTAAAGCATTATAAAACAGACTGCTGCTCCCTGTCTTACCTATTTCATGACAGACGGATATCTTATTTGCACTACTTGCGATTACTAGCCAAGTAATCTAGTAAGTAAGTAGTGGCAACTCGAACTGATGTACGTACGTACAAAGTTCTACGTTGTAACTGACTGACTGACTGATTACTGGCCAAAGAAGCTCTGTGATACAATGCCGCGATTTCTCTAGGAGGTTAGCAACTTCACTCCGTGTGGACGGTCAACACAGGCTATTAGAGCAACAATGTTTTGAATTTAGTGGGAGACGTAAATGCATATGAGACGTTTTGGAGTTGATACTCATAGTCTTCAAAAGAATCCGCAATATATCAGGGTATTCATCAACCGGAATGATGTCATGTACGTACTCCACATCAATTAACTATTTATCAGGAATCAAAAAATTAGTCCATTAGTTGATATTTTAAACAAATATCAACTAATAAAGTTATCTGTGTATTAGAAATATAAGTAAGCTTTCTTTCAATACGCGGAACATATTCGTTTAGTTAGTATTTTTCTTGATAAAAATATTCACGTTTAACTAGTCAGGACTTCATTTTGCGGAAAATAAGTATCACAATCCATTTTCTTCTGGTTAGAAATAAATTGATTCTCACCTTTTTATTTCTTAATAACGACAATAATGTTGTTAGGAAATTTATCATAATTAAAACTACCTTTCTTATTCGTAGTTGGCACTGCGTTTTGTTTACTTTAATTTTTTTTTACTGTTCAAGTGCTATTTCCATTCTCATTAGAGCGATTTTTATTTTATTTCTTCCTCATTCGATTTTCAGAAAAATTAAATCTGAGTGTTACAAACAAACTTGTTTGTAATTTGATAACTAAATTACAAGAAACATTAAAATCGGACTCATTTAATATCTCAGTTTCTGATGCATTTACTCATTCATTCTTCAGTCGGCTGGGTGATTCACGAAGTGTAGTAAGACAGGCTGCTCGTCAAGTATGTAGCAAATATTGAATTCAATTATTGTTTATCATTTTTGTTTTACGGTAATTACTGCTAATAATTCATGATAATGACAATACATTCCGATTTTGGTTTCAAATTAAGCAGTATATATCTAAGAAATGGATGATTTTAAAATATCTAAAGTCATTTTTACTTATACCAAAATTATAAGTATCTAAGACTCTAAAATGATCGAATGGAAACATCTGATGGAGTTTGACTACAGTGCTTTGATGTGTAATAGGTAATTTTTCCTACTTATCGATGTTTTTCTCAATTATTCCTGATCATTAATGACAGATTATCACCTATTTTTGTTTATGTTGTGATAAAAGTCTGTCTGATAGTTTACTGAAATGTACCATAATTGATATTCGTGTGTGACTGACCGACTGTTGTCAGTGTAAATTAATACCTCAGGATTCAAGCATGAAACCCTGTCATTTTGAATATCAAAGTTCCGAACCATTACCCAACTAACTGAATGATAACGAGAAAATGAAACTATCTTTCATGCAGAAGTTATCAAATTGATATTGCTTGATTTTTCATTATCTAGCTGAACAGTTGATGTCAAATCACACTTCACTTGTATCACGCATGGATTTAATGAAATCCATTATGAAGGATTACTATTTCATTTTCGGTAAAGCTATTTACGACTTTTAAAATAACTACCCTGTATCTGTATGTAATAAGAAAATTAGTGGAAAATTGAATTTCTGGTTTTCCTCAGCTTAGTGTAATTCACTTCTTCAGAGAATAAATTATTTCAATTGAATTAACACAATTTTAAATAGTACATAGGAAAGAACAAACTACAGAGCAACTGCAGTTCTTAACACCAGTGACAGAAAGAATCTAACTTTTAAAAATCAAACATAATTCATCCCAGCTGCACAAGCCAGTGGCTATCTGGATCCATTAGTTAAGACAATAACGCGTTTTAACTTTTGAGGCAAAAGTCACACCTGACGAGTCTTAAGTTAAAAAAAAACTCATCTTGGACTACACTACCAACTACTGTGAAACTTAAGAACGCTAGTGAATTGAAAGTAAAATCTAGACAATGTGCTTTGAATGCATATATGCCAATAAAGACTGATCAAATGCAGTCCCTAACAACATCAACGGCAAGACCTACACTCTTTCAAATGAAGCCAAAATATTTTTGATTCGATCAGTATAAGTCTTATCACTTTTTTTGTTGTTCTAGTCAAAATTTAATTTTTGTGAGACTTAGGTGTGTGTGTTTTTTCGTGTTGTGGAAAAATATGAAATTCATTACATGAAGAAGTAGAGTTAGAGTAATGTGTTAATGGTGTGATGTATATTGGTTTTCGGTAGATCGTTAAATTTAGATTCCCATAATATCCCTTCTAACTAAACAGTCTAAGAAGGTAGTTCACTGAGTTCACATTTTTATCTCGTAAATAATTTGATGTAATCTGAGAAAGTATCTATCAGTCTAGAAAAAATTCCAAAAAAACATTTTAATGATGTCAGATGCTCCATCCACATATCTGAACCAGATTCATTATCTAATTTTGCTGGTAAAAATAACCGACTCTACATGGGATGTCAATAAATTAAGAACAACTGAGGACATGGGTTCCCATGACTATTCTGTATATTTTTTTATTTGTATAAAGTCCCTTTGAAGGTGAATACATTGAAATCCATGGGTAGTTCAAGGTGTTTCATGAATAAACTAACGCTTATTGAATATCTGTTTGATAAAGTATTATCATAACCCAGTAAACCATTTGATAAAGACATCTGTCAATCTACGTTTTAGTGTGCAAAATATATCACAACTTTTCTCAAATGATTCATCCCGAAGTCTCGAGTTTGAAATCGCATAATTGTTTAATGATATTTGTAAGTTATGTTGAAGTGTATTCGATCGAAGACTCAAACATTTAAAAATAGGATATGAATTGGTATTTGTGAAGCCCGCCATAGATCCCAATGGGATATTTTGTTCATTAATTTTTTTTTGCTTACCCATAAAAACGTGATACGTATGTATACGTCGAGATAATGTATGCTGTCTTCGCCCACAAATTCAGTTTTATCACCAATAAAACGAAGGAATATAATTTGTTCAATTACATTGAGCACAATCAAACTTCTTTAATCTTTTAAATTTTCCCCTAGTGTATTTGCTCACTTGTGCCTGAGACCGTAGGCGTTTCTTCAAGTCTGCAGCTCACTGATACCACTTGTAGATGGCTGTACATTCTCAAACACCTCGATCAACTACCGGTTTTAAACACAAGTGATAGATCTTCATCTAAATCTTATACATTGAAAGAATCAACTCATCAACTGGCTGGCCCTGTATTATCATCATTTCAGGTGGAAAATGATCTGGATATTTTAACTGCTAATTTAATATTTTTAAGTCAGTTAATTCACTCACCAAATTTTACAGTAAGTTAAATTTTGTTATGCAAATATGGTGATTCCCTAAATTCTAGCTTGCTTTGAATGATGTGTTAAATTTCTCATTTTATTAACTTGGTTACTCGCAGAGATGGTTATCTCTAGACGATTCATTAATCAGTGCTTGAACCGCACCATTCTATAATATGTTAAAAGTTTTCAGCATATTACTTAAAAAAATTTCCAATTTTATTCCGAAGTTTGTTTGTTAATGTTGAGCTACTCACAAAACTACATTCATCCAACTTGCTAAACTTCATAACGGCATATTGGGTGATGACATACGAATATAGATCGGAAAGGAAAAATAACACATCAAAAAATTGTATAGGACTTAGGGAAAAATTATTATCACATGTGTGTCAGTGTAGCACATAGAGGCCAACGATTATGTATCATGCTCGCCTTTTTGGCAGATGGGTTGATAAATGTAGTAATTGTAACACTTACTTACTTACTTACGCCTGTTACCCCTCGTCAAGGAGCATAGGCCGCTCACCAGCAACTCTGTCCTGAGCCTTCCTTTCCAGTTCTTTCCAGTTGCTATTCAGCCTTTTCATATCGGCTTCTATTTCCCGGCGTAGTGAGTTCTTTGGCATTCCTCTTTTCCGCTTCCTTTCCGGATTCCAAGTTAGGGATTGAGTCGTGATGCACATTGGTGATTTCCTTAATGTATGTCCGATCCACTTCCAACGTCTTTTCCTAATTTCCTCTTCAGCTGGAAGCTGGTTTGTCCTCTCCCATAAAACGTTGTTGCTGATAGTATCCGGCCAATGAATGTTGATTATTTTGCGTAGACAACTGTTTATAAATACTTGTACCTTCCTGATGATGGCCGTAGTAGTTCTCCACGTTTCAGCTCCATACAGTAGGACTGTCTTGACGTTCGTATTAAAGATTCTGACCTTGAAATTAGTTGAGAGTTGTTTTGAGTTCCATATGTTCTTGAATTGTAGAAATGCTGCCCTTGCTTTGCCAATCCTCGCCTTTACATCTGCATCCGATCCCCCTTGTTTATCAACGATGCTCCCCAGGTACTTGAATGTTTCCACCTCTTCCAGGGTTTCGCCATCAAGTGTGATGGGATTGGTGTTCTCCGTGTTGCATTTGAGAATCCTGCTTTTTCCTTTGTGAATGTGGAGGCCTATCGATGCAGAGGCTGCTGTTACATTCGCGGTCTTCATCTGCATTTGTTCGTGTGTATGAGAGAGGAGGGCTAGGTCATCTGCGAAGCCCAAATCATCTAATTGATTCTGAGAAGTCCATTGTATTCCGTATTTCCTTTCAGATGTCGAATTCTTCATAATCCAGTCAATCACTAGAAGGAAGAGGAATGGGGAGAGTAGACAGCCTTGTCTGACTCCGGTCCTTACTGGAAATGCATCTGTCAGCTGTCCTCCACGCACCACTTTGCACTGTAGTCCATCGTATGAATTTTGGATAATGTTGACAATCTTTTCAGGAACTCCATAGTGTCGAAGAAGTTTCCATAATGTTCTCCTGTTCACGCTGTCAAATGCCTTCTCATAGTCGATGAAGTTGACGTATAGTGATGAGTTCCACTCAACTGATTGTTTTACGATGATCCGTAGTGTCGCAATCTGGTCTGTGCACGACCGATCCTTACGGAATCCAGCCTGATGATCCCTAAGTTCGGCGTCTACTGCGTCTTTCATCCGATTCAGCAGCACTCTGTTGAAAACTTTTCCTGGTACTGATAACAAATTGATGCCTCTGTAGTTCTCACATTGGCTCAGATCTCCTTTCTTTGGTATCTTGATGAGATATCCTTCTTTCCAGTCCATTGGCACTTGTTCCTCTTCCCAAATCTTCTTGAATAGAAGGTGAAGCATGTTTGCAGTTATTTCAATGTCTGACTTCAGTGCTTCTGCTGGTATATTGTCAGGTCCTGCCGCCTTCCCACTTTTGATTTGTCTGATGGCCATCTTGACTTCTTCGATCGTTGGTGGAGTGACATCTATTGGAAGGTCTGTGTGGGCTGCTTCGATGTTCGGTGGATTCAATGGGGCTGGTCTATTCAGCAGTTCCTCGAAGTATTCTGCCCATCTTTTTCTCTGTTTTTGAATCTCAGTGATTGTCTTTCCTTCTTTGTCTTTGACTGGTCTCTCTGGTTTGCTATATCTCCCTGCCAATTTCTTCGTTGTATCATATAGTTGTTTCATATTCCCTTCTCTTGCAGCTTTTTCCGCCGTCGTTGCTAGTTCTCCCATATATTTCTGCTTGTCGGCTTTAATGCTTTTCTTCACTTCCCTGTTTGCTTCTGCGTAGTCTGCTTGTGCTTTGACTTTCTCTGCTCGTGTTCGGCTGTTGTTAATTGCTAGTTTCTTGTTCTTCCTTTCTTCAATCTTGTCCAGGGTTCCCATAGAAGATCCATTCCTTATAATGATGCTTCTTAGGACCAAGAACCTCCTGACACGTTGAAGTTAGGGCTTCTTTTATCCCTTTCCAGTTGTCCTCCAAAGTAGTTTCTTGTTCTTTCAGTAGATCCTGTAGAGCCTGGAACCTGTTGTTGAGAGTTATCTTGAATTGGTTGAGTTTGTCAGTATCGCGAACGGAGGCTGTGTTGAACGTTTGTAGTGCTGTTTGTCCAGTTGTCCAGTGTTTCTTTAGCTTCAGTCTCATCTTGGCCACAACCAGGTGATGATCTGAAGCTATGTCAGCTCCTCTCCGGGTTCTCACATCTTCCATTGATCTTCGGAATTTTTTGTTGATACAGATGTGATCTATCTGATTCTCTGTGGTTTGGTCCGGTGTCATCCATGTAGCTTTGTGTATGCGCTTGTGTGGGAATATAATAATAATAATTTATTCGTCCAATTACATCTTCATATCCTGTGTTGTCCACTCCAACTTTAGCATTTAGATCTCCCATCAGGATTGTGAGATCCTTTCGTGAACACTTCTCTATAATTAATTGCAGCCTTTCATAGAACTGATCTTTATCATCGTCGTTGCTATCATTGGTGGGTGCATAACATTGGATAACGTTCATTGTGATCCCTTCCTTCTTTGTTCTGAATGATGCTTTGATTATCCTGGTTCCATGAGATTCCCATCCCACAAGTGCATTTCGTGCTTCTTTGGACAGCATTAGAGCAACTCCCTGAGTGTGTGGAGCATTTTCCCCTTCGTGATCGGAGTACAGCAGCATCTCTCCTGTACCTAGCCTTTGTTGTCCAGTTTGTGTCCAATGGGTTTCGCTGATTCCGAGTACTGCCAAGTTTTATCTTCTCATTTCCATTGCTATTTGGCTGGTCTTTCCTGTCTCCCACATTGTCCGGACGTTCCATGTACCTATAAAGAGTGTTGCTCTGGTTGTTAGAAGGTGCATCGGTCTCGTGACTTCCGAAGAATTTCGGCTTTCATCATGAGACGTCATAATTATTCCTTCAACTCCCAGGGCAGAGTTTAAATGGTTTGAATTATTTTTTCTGGTTAGCGTTTTTTTAGCGAGTTAGCTTTTCTACGGGATGGGGTCGCTAACCCCATGCCCAACCCTCCTCCTTTACCCGGGTTTGGGACCGGCAGTAACTCTAGAAGAGCTACAGGCGGAGTTAAATTGTAACAGCTTCTATGTAAATTTGATATTCATGTATGTTTCTTATGGTATGCCAGTTCGGATTTGCTAGTTTTAACACTTGATCTATAAGGTTGTCTCTTCTTTTTCATACGGTCAATGATTTAGGCTGTAATGAAAACTCTGGGGTCGTGTGTTACTGCTAGCTAGTTAGGAACTTAACAACAGTAAAGTGTTACTGAGGTATACAACATACAAAACTTCACTTCTAATTATTGAAAAGAAACATTTGTCTCAAAGATTAGAATTCACCTTACTTTATCACTTTCTACAGGCTGTCTTTACGGAAACCATTAATAAACCTCTCCGATCATCATCATCTAAAAGACTATGTATAACCAGAATCTGTGTCCAAACAACGTCAGTTTCTGTATTTTGTGTCAGGGATTTGACGGAAATGTAGAAATTAAAAAAAACTATTGTTTAAATTCCATCAACTAAATGTTTTTTTGTAGTTTTATACATTTCGTAATGACATGTATTGCAAATTAATGGTCTATCATAGTTTCTAACTATTATTGGTTATTAAAACTACGTATAAATACACTGAGTTTATTATCTCTGTGAAATGACAGTTCAGATGTTTATATTCGCATTGTAAAAACTACTGTTTATAACTGTTCTAGTTGCACCTTTTTTATCAACTGTAGGGGTATGGTTTCACTTAGAACATTTTCGTGCTTTGATTTACACCTCAGTCAATAAATTTGTATGTAATAACTGTTTTGTATCTGTTACTTTGTCATCACAAAATATCGATTATAAATTATAAATTAAAAAAATTACAGTTGTAAAATGTTAAGCGTTAGATCCATACGTCCACTACGTGAAATATTTTATGGTTGAGTGAAAAGTACGTAATTTATAACTTCAGTCATCTCATTTTATCTAATATTTTGTTTATGTTACTTAAATTTTGTTTCATAGTTTTGGCAACCATTGGTAACTGCATTAAGTCAGTTTGTTTTAACGCGATCGACAACTTTATCAAGCTTACTACATAGAAATGCTCTTCATTGTCATGGTTCTTCTAATTTACTTGACAAAACTGCATATTCAGCTTTGGAAGCTATGGCAGAGATATTTACATGTTACGTAAATCATTGTTGTACAGTTACTGAGGCTATTCCAATCACGGAAAAAAGGGTTAGTGCTTTTCTGTGTACCACATGGTACATCATTGTTTACATCTTATCTCATGTTTTTTTAAATTTACCCAGTTCTTCTTGTCTTTGTATTTGATTTGGACCAGCTTGAAACGATTTAGCATAATAAGCAATTCAACTACATATTCAATCTAGGCTCCTCCATATGGTGAGTGCTTATCTGCAGTCCACTTGTTAATGTTTGGCTTATACTAGCATTTTTATGAAAATGACCTACTGTACATATTCCGAAAGTTTTATCGTTTCCTAAAATGTCGCCTATCATATCGAAATCATCCTACCATCTTTCTATGTTCTACGAAATAAAACTTTAGCCGTTCATAAAGTATACTCACAACAAAAGAAAAAAGATTGGTTTTACAAGTGGGCCTTTATTGTCTTCAGGAAAGCTAATGGTACCATACAATGCGTCTGTGTACATGTACATAACATCAAAGGCCTTAACAAAAAATACCAAACCAAATCTAAGAGTGAAACTCAGGCGTGTAGAATTAATAATTCAAAATCAAAGAATAAAAGCCAGTACGTCTTCGGCATTCCCAAAAAATTGCAAAAGGAAAAATATCATAGTCTTGGTATAACAAGCATTCACACTAAATTCTCAGATTGAAGCTGTATACCTAAAATTGTACTGGGTTAATAAACTCACTATTTTATAATGAAAAATTGGTTATGAGAATTGTGTTTGTAAACTAAAATTTTAGTATAACTCTGTGTTGATTATGGCCGACGGATTCTAATAGAGCTTGAATTCAAATTTTTTTACACTTTTGGAAGATTAGGTGTCTTACTTTATGAAGTATTGAGCAAGTGAAACTTGAATAAGTGATCAACATCGTTAAAGTTTTACTTAGCTAATTAAACATTTAATTAACTGTGCATTAATCTCATTTTGTTCGAGTGGATTTGTTAATGTTCATAAAGGGCGAATAAGATTGACGTGATTATGTTGTATATTGATCTAAATATAGAATATTTGCCATTAAACATCTGTATATACAACCTCTTCGGAAATGAAGAACTGTCTGCACCGAAAACTTATCCAGTTAACTTCCTGGAATTATCACGTTAATTACATAACCAACATTTATTCAATGTGATGTTTTGTTTCAGTTGAAAATAGCTTTTTTACACAAAAATATGTCTATAAAAGGGTTTAAGGAATTACACTCTATAAATTAAATCTAGGTAATAGTGGGGTAGTGAATTGCCACCATCAATCTTCCACATTAACCGTTCTATTTAGTGAATGTCACTTGATCACTTGATCCATAATTTATTGGCTTTCGATTTGTGTTACAGTGTTTTATAAAACTTTACTGACCACAATTTTCATTATTCTTATAAATCCCCGTCTTATTTATGGTCTAATGATTTTTTTGGAATTTCCTTACAGAGCGTATTTGTCTCTTGGTCTCCAGATTGTCAGTATCCGTTTGACATTGAATTTATTCAGTCACAAATTGTGTTACTAACTCATTTAAATGTTGATCTACCTGAAACAAGTTCAGTTTCTGATGAATCCAGTTGGTGGGTTCGGCTGCGCAATACTTGGTTTCTAACTAATAGTGATAGTAATAATACTAACTGTAATAATCTGTCATATCGTATGCCGGAATTATCTCCATTCTCCTGTTCAGAAAATGTAATTGATGGCTTCAGTAAACAAGCCGAACAGGAAATTTGGTTTACGACTCCCTCATGTGATTCAATACCACAAATTAAATTCTCTATCGGTTTACGAAGTAGGTTAATACTAACCAATCAAATTCCGCTTATTTTTGGAGGTAAGTGGTTTTATGAAAGATTCGATTTTAAAAGAAGGTGGTTTCTTAATTTCCAAACGTTGTTATACATGAGTTTACTGATTTCTCCATTTAAACATAATATTTCTATAAATATTCCATTCATTTCATAGTCTTACTTCAGTTTACCTACCGTGAATCGTATATCAATCCTCGATTTAGCAACATTATGGTTACACTCGCTCAATCATGTTTGTAGATAGTTTTTCTATAGACGGAGGAAATTCCTTTTATTTTGATATAACTCATTTACTTCATTTCTGTATTGGTTGTATGAATCTTCCCATTGATGTTTAGGACTTCAATTGATCAGTCTCTTATTTACTATGTACATAGCTTTTAGTTACACTTCCTCCGAACTCTTGTGGTATTACTCTTCTGTTCAACACAAATGCATAACGAAATTCGATATTTTGATGGAAAACATATATTACTGGATTAACTTGTATAAACTAATACCTTTTTCGAGGTCAAAATATTAGCATATTCATCGAATAACAAATATACACTTCAACAGCTAATTGACTGTCAGATTTAAAATATCATTATTATTTCTCACTAGCTATTTGCTGTCCGATAAGTAATTCCTAATCGTTTTAATTATATAATACAGCTTAAAACAAGTAAGTTTATGAAATGCGTTCAAGTTTTCTGTTTCCACAATATTTTAGCATTTCGTTAGGCTTTTATCGTCGTTCATCATCTGTTATAATTGTGGTTTTTTTTATATAAACGACCCAGCTATTCCTATTGCTTAGTATTCTTATACACTCGACAAGACCCCAAAATCAGAACACGTTGAACAGGAATCAAATTGTATTCAAAATAATAATGGTATGTCAACAGCAATCAGCAATCAATAGTTTAAATATCGTTCATATATTTATAGTATATGCATAAGAAGCTTATAGATTTTGCTGCAATAAAATGCCCGGGCTGGTCGGTTTAAAATTAGCCAATCAGCGCGCAGCAACACCATCATGCATAAAACATGCTTAATCCAATCTATATCCCACTAACATCATCTTTTGTTCTATCTGTTAATACGAGATGTTTTAATTATAACCGAAACATTTCCTAATATTATTTTGTTACCTCATCTGATTTATTTATTCCGAATAAAGTATTACTTATTTAGAGCCTTGTCATTTTTCTGTTAATCGTGCAATCAGAATAAGTTTACTTGTAAGGTGTCAAATTCGAATAGGGAAAAAGTTCGTGTGTTTCTGAACTATTTTTCGGTCTCTATGATAATCATACTACGTATGTGAAGACTTTAAGTAGCCTCATTCATAACCGGTCTCAGTAGTTCTGATACATTGATTCTCTGTCTCACTCATTATTATTTCAGATATTTCATCAAATTTATTGTATTTATTTTTTATTGTTGTTTTATGTTTACTTGTTTGTCCACTAGCATCAATGTTATTGAAGCGCCTCATGCTATTTACATTTTGTTGATTTTCTATCATTATATTGATGTGAATTGTGACAACTGAAACTGGTACACGTCCATACTAGGTTTTTTTAATGACTAATTGAGTACAAATAAAAGCTTTTTCTGTTTTGTGATGATATATCGTCATTTTGAATGAATATTGTCAATAACAATAAGACCATTTCTACTCTTAATGTTCGTGATCAATTATTCATTTTCTTTAGCTTTTTTAAACATCACGTCTGCAGAGCTAACTGAGTTGATAAAATGTATATCTGAATTTGTTTTAAACGAGAATACTATCAAGGTGCTCTCTGAAGAAATCGGGTTTATCTCATCAGACCTTCTTGATAAAGGTATACACAACAAATTCAAGGGAATCTCTAACGCATTATGTGTAGGTTTAACCAATACTTTACTGTTTTACTTTGTAAATTTCAATGTTCAATTTTCATGCGAATGTTAGCACATATTAATTGTATCTTATGTGTAAGTAATTACGCTCTTCTGATAAAAATTGAAACATTATTCGGTATGATCTTTGTTTTATTGTAGATATTTTTTGTCGGTTGTTCAGTATAACCACCTTATAATCAGTATTTTATTGTTACACGCTTTTACAATGTTTTAGTTCGCTAAAAGAGTATTATTCGCTGTTTACTCAATGTTTTAAATAATAAAAGCGTCTTGTAAAGTACAACTCGTTTGCTCAAAAGATCTCTACATTCTGAACAAAAGACGAAGACATAACTTTATTTAATTTCGTGTTTTTTTATTGTAAATTACTGATAATCTATAATAACATGTTCTTTCATAAAATAATTCAATAAAACAGTATATTTATAATTGTAAGAAATAGAGTAATAATCCAGAGGAGATTAAGTTTGTAGAATAAGGTAAATAACGTTACCGTTTATTGATCAATATTATGATTGGTTCTTTAGTTGTCAGTGGAAATAAATAACCATAAACTCGAGATTTACTCAGTTGGGCTCAATTTGAAAACGAAAATAAAAAATCTTAAAATTAAAATAAGATGGGGATGCATGGGTTATGAAAGAAAAAGGTTCATTGCAGAATGTTTTCTCTATTCCTTTACATTTATCATTAAAATGCTTCAGCATACGTTCGTGGTGAATGTATTATTGAATTTGTTGTGTACTAAAATGTAGTTGCTGTCTTATCTCTATTTCTGACTAAAAAAAATAGTTTATTGATAAATCCTCACCGTTGGTGTTACTGATTGCTGTGTTTATAAATAGTGAACTATGGTCGGATGATACTGTAAGTATTTCTGCAACACTTACATCATCGATTTCTTAAGAAAAGTCATATACCTTCTGTGTTGTGAATCACAATTTTAGCATGTCTTTTAAGGAACATAATATATTTAGCTTCGTCATCAGGCTTATGTTATAGACATACTACTTTATTAAGTATGAATTTTTTTTTATAGGATACTAAGTATACATTTATGATGGATGTTGATTCTCCTGAAGAATTATTAGTCACAATACCTTCAGTTAACAGAAATAAGATCGATATATGTATCAATGTTCCAAGAAAAGAGAGTATTACCGAGACAAAAGTGGTACGTTTTTTAAAATACTTCAGAATTTTTCTCATAATCGTTTTCTATTATTATCCAGATTTTCAAAAACTAAGTAAAATTAACGTGTTACTGCAAACTGCTAGTGTAAGTATTCAGTACAAATTTGATATAAAATGCTTTATGTAAGATACTACATGTGATATCACTTCTCACACTAAGGATATATTTCCGTATGGTTCAGTTATGTATAATACTGAAAAGTTTAGGGTTTATACTATCAAGTTTAGCAAATAATTACTATTTCCATGTATCGCAAATGCAAGTTACTTGACTACTGTTTATCCAAGTATAGTTTTTTAGACTGTCGAATTGTTTAGTATAACACCTCAGTCGATTGAGCTCAGCGACTTTATTGTTGGAAACATGTTTTCATTTAACTTATGTAGCTGAGTTCTTATACCCTGACTCCAAACAATTGTTCATATGATGAAGACCACTTCAAGGGAAACATGAAACAACATAGAACAGGAATTAAACTCTGATTGTCATAACCAAAAAAATACACTGATTTAACGAAAATATGTAATTATCAATAATTCACTTTGAGTAAATACGTGACATTTATCCCTGATTTTCACTTTTTTACGAATCCATTAAACATTTGCATAATATAACAACATAATAGTAAACGCAATTCCTCGAAAATGAAATTTGTTGAAAGATCTCTCCAAGTTGATTTGAAACAATGATGCTGAACATTAACTGGAAACTAAACAGTAGTTATAAAAAAATGTGTGGTAGAATGATTGTTACAACAACAAGATTATTTATACCCATAGCCCCCAAACACCCTGGTACAGCCGGGAGTGGGGAGAGTCCGCTTTCCCTCTCGAAATGCTCTCACATGACCACGCGTATATTGCCTCTGTCAGGGAAGTCCTACTCATTGCCTTCTCGTGGCCGGGGTGTTGTTTACGAAATTGAGAGGACGAAAAGCGAATGTCCGGCGCTCTAACTGGGTCGGTGGACACAGCGAGTCTACCTAGGGGAGTTGGAAAACCCTGATTCCAAACCAATGGTACACATGGGCTTCAGTATCCTGAGGGAACAAATGGCGTATGAATCAATCGTTGGTTACCGGCTATCACGGGACTGTATCTCCTTTTGATGATCCACTGCCTTGTAGATCAGACCTTTAGGTCAGGGGCTCGGGGCGTGTCACCCTAAGAAAACCACCTGCTTCAGTTTGGGTACCTGGACAGTATCACAGCCCTCACACAAATCAAATGAGATTTGTGTGGCGCATATATATCTGGTGTTCCTTTGTACCAACATTTGTGTGTTTAAATAAATAAATAATAAATTATACCCATAATTACAATCACTGCTCAGTGGCCAATCAGTGTACGAATATCTTGTACTAGTTATGTATAGCTGTTACCCAGTTTGTGTTATATTTTCCAATCTAAAAATTTATTTATTCAAATACTTCTTGACAAAGCTAAACGATTCCTAAATTTTGTGTTGTTGTCTGTTCATGTATTCCTATTTTTTGGTTACTATGATTTATTCTGTATGTATGAATTACTGAATAACTTTTAGCTTTCAATGAATGTATTTTCATTTCCTGCATTTGCTATGTTTGAAATCCTTTTGGTTATCATATCTTCGTGCCTTGGGAATAATTAATATTCCGTGAAGTTTTCGAAAGCGTTTTATGTTTATCGATGTGAAGTTTAACTATCGTATTGACTGAAAGATACATATCGATGCCGTCGTGCTCTGTGTAACTCTATGATCTAAGGTCACTCAGCTGTGATGACAGATAGCCAGCTCACGTATACTTCATTTCAAATTCTCTATTTTGTAATAATATTTTGTTCTTTACCTAATTACCGTAAGTCACTGTCAATTTAGAGAATTAGTAGAGAACCCCAATTAGATGGAGTATAACAAATATATGTACTTAATTGTCTGTATTTTGACCGAATTCAAATACTGAGTCATTCTTGAATCTTATTTTCTCAATTTGAACGCTTCAATTTTTTCAAATACATCATTACTTAGAATAAATTGTTGTGCATGCGTTGTGTGGCTGAAAATTAAAATTATTTACCTCAGGTAACTTATTTTTATCCTTTCTGTAAACAAGTACAATCAGTCTAGTTAAATAAGCTATCTCTTTCAATCTTATCTTCATTCTCAACCTTTGATGTATGAGTTTACCATACAAGTTTTATGTTAAGATACCTTGATTTTCCCTGTGATTGTATGATACTACTATTATTGTTTATTTTCGGTTAAACTTTTTTTTAGGTAGAAGAAAAAAAACTAGGTTCAAATAAGATTGACAATTCAATCCATCCTAGAACTCCGTAAGTCCCATTGTTTTATTCATTATTTGATAAATTAATGAAACATACAGTAATATATCGGCAGTAGTTTGAGATTACGATTGAAAAAAATATGCCAAAACTTATAGTAAACTAAAACCTGTTGCAATTAATTCATATCTAATCTATGCTCTAGTTATTGGATTAAATCTCTGTAAGATTAAAAAAGCCCTACTGGCAGTGTATAAATGTCCTTATGCTTCAGCTCAATATGTATTTATAGTTTCTATCTACCTATCAATGTCCAATCTCACTCTAAATGCTATTACGGTTTATCAAAAGCTGTCACTTTAAATGTCTTTTTTCATTTCAAATCACTAGAGATATGGATGCGTTTGAAACTTATGGTCTTTATGAATTAGTAAATATATTACCAAATAACGTGAAAAATTTACTAACTCAATCAATCACATTACATGAAGATATTCAAGAAGATCCTATTCTATGCACAATTCATCGCTTGATATTTGAACATGATAAATACTATGACAATTACATGGGAAGTTTAAATTTATTCAATTTGGGCGGGAATCATAATTATTTTCTAACTGAATTATTAAATCAAGCTAATCCAGCATTTTTAAATAAATCCGTCTCTATATTATTGAAATATAATGATGCTGAACGAATTCGGTAAGTAGTTAATTATATATATAGGTGGTTTGTATTGTTTAAATTTTGAGATCAGTTTGTAGGGTTTTATGCGCGGCTGTTTGCATACGCCTCAGTGATTTTGGTCAGTTAGTACATATTTCGATCTGTATCATCAGATATTGTCACACTTCGATGAATGTGGCTCAATATATATTACATGACTTTGTTTATGATAATAAAATCTTTTTAATCAGCATTTTGAACATGGGTTAAACTAATGTTACCATAAATAGCCGCATAGATACAGAGTCGTTTTGTTGTGTTCATAAAATTCATGTAAGAAATGTATTCATATACATAAATATTCATATAGGTATGATTACCAAGTTTTGATTTGATAGTTTGAATAAATTGAGCATTGGGTAGATTGTTATAAATAGATAATATATCTGTAATATCCCAATAAATAGAAAATTGTTCTACTCATTGGGATATTACAAATATATTATTTATTTATAAACATTCATAGTTTCGATAGTGGGTATTAACACAAGTGTTACATTACAACATTGCTGTTAATCATGTTAATTCTCTTGGATAACATCTTATGGTGTTTTAAACACGTGAACATAAAAAGAAATCTGTTTTCACCATGAGATCTTTGTTCACTACACTAATTATTCAAACGTTTCATGAAATTCAGTAGTTCCAACTTGTTGAACAATAAAATTAATTTTTTCTGATCAGCAGAGTAATTCCAATTTTCGTGGTTTTTTCAGGGATATTCGTATCCTCTCATATGTTTTTACTTATTTATTTATATCAGGAAAAACCTACTTAGTTCTGTGACTCTACGTCTTCGGATTTTTTTATAGGAGTTTTACTTCTACTTTTGCTAACCTCGTTTGTCATTGTTTTTATACACTGTTTTATACATTGTTTTTAGACCTACTAAATCCCTTGATTTCATCACAGCATTATTCACTTTACCTCGTCTTACTTACCCTGTCCCACGCGCAGAACCACGAGATCGTCCAGACGCTTCTGTTGCTTTAACCTCAATACATCGTTTGACTCAGATAGAGGCATGCAAACTTATTGAGTATGTCCTTATGGAAGCATATGAGTCGGTCAGATTTTATGAGAGTGAACGTTTTTTGAACTGGGATGTAAGTTCACTTCGGTTTTTATTTTTGTTTACATGAAATCAGCTTTATATTCCATACTTTTTACTTCGTCGTTATTCTAACACATTCTTCCAGTTTTAGTTTTTTTTCAATCTATAATTTTTAAACAATAATTTTAGTCCCACTTAAAATACTTTCATATCATAAACCAATGAGGCTTACTATTATTTACTTAAGAATTAATGTAAATGATCAATATGTTAATCAGCAGTTGTCAGTACGTCTCTTTTTTTTCTTAAGGAAAACAAATTTTCATTCTAATAAAATTGATACAATTATGTGCATGTAACGGCTTTGTTTCTAATAATAATAATAATAATAATAATGTCTTAGATACTAAGTATTTACACGTCTAAGTTACATTTGAATATAGTAGGGTTCTCTCCAATTATATTATTTAATTGATATACCTTTAGTTGATAGTTATTTTTAAAAGTATTTTTAAAGAATGGAAATGTTCGCAACAGAATGACTTATAATTTATTTCTCTAATCAAATATAAATATTTTGTGTTTTGTATCACGGACTGACCTTAGACAACTGTTTAGAGTCAACATTCAACAATCTTTATAAATCCTAACACAAATATTAAAAGGTTTTTAAAAAAAATTCTGACGTGTATTTAGCTTCTAAAAGTGTATTTAACAGGTTGGGACGGTTAAAGGGAATGTCCTTGTCACATTACTTAGTAATTATCATTCTAAATAAATATTTATTGTTTTCCCCACGTTTTGATTTCTATTTGTATGATGGTGAGCTAAGATGGTGGTTAAAGGGAATCAACAGGAAACCACCATCTTATCTCAACATAGTGCACTCAATGTCGAGTCACCTAGACTGATGGCTACATTGAAACTTGGTCGATAGGATTCTGTCTGCACTAAGAAGGACCTGACATACATGACATTGATTACTACTCAGTGATCAATCAATTGTAAATGATAGTAAGTATTCACTACCTGCGAGTTCAAAACTGGGTCAAAATATTTGTTTAATGATCTATATTCAATGGTTCTTCATAGATTATCCATGTTTGTTCAACTTTATCTGAATTTTTGTTCAGAAATTTACTTTCACTTATTACTTCTCGTGGAGGAGCATAGGCCGTCCACTAGCATTCTCTATCGAACTCTGTCCCGGGCATACCTTTCCAGTTGCTATTTATTCTTTTAATGTCTGCTTCAAATTTCCGGCTCGATGTGTTCTTTGGCCTTCCTCTTTTTCGTTTTCCCTCAGGATTACAAGTTAGCGCTTGCGTCATGATGCAGTTTGATGATTTCCGTAATGTATGTTCTATCCATCTCCAGTGTCTTTTCCTAACTTCCAAAACCATATCAGTCTTTCATGTGAAGAGGAGAAGAACGACCAGCTTCCCTTCTTAGATGTACTTCTAAACAGACGAGAAGATGGCTCAATAAAACGATCCATTTTTCGAAAACCGACGTGGACGGGTCAATATCTTAGTTATTATAGTTATTGCCCTGTACAATACAAACGTGGTTTGGTAAAGTGCCTTTTCAACAAGCTTCGTCGTATTTGCACAAATGACGCTATTGATGACGATGTTAGGTTGTTAACCAAGACATTAATCGGGAATGGCTATCCACCTAAATTTATCAATAGATGGAAAGTTCAAGGCACAGCGAGACTTACTGTAGCCTTGGTAGAGAAAAAGCCTGTCTACATCCCTTACCATTTAGAGGTGATTCAAATAGCCTTTTATTGAAACAAAGGCTTAAATCTGTTATCAACAAAACGTATTGTGCTGCGAAAGTCATAATCAAGGAAAGAACGAGGTCCATGCTTCATTCAAAACCTAGACGACATGAAAACGATTGTGTCACATCCCACTGCGTTTACCAATTTAAATGTGTGTGTGGTCACACATACATAGGGAGGAGCAATCGTGATCTGAAAACTAGGGTGGGTGAACATGTACCAAATGGTTGCAAAAACAAATACAGTCGAATGACCCAATAAGAGTAGAGGATAAATATCCATCATCCTCTATTGCTAAACATATAATCGAAACAGGTCATAAGATTGATCTAAACTCGGCTTTTGTTGTGTTGTTTAAAAGTGTAAAAGGACGTATACTAAGGTTTATTGAAGCCTCTGCGATACGAAAATTCAAACCCCCTTTGTGTATTCAAAAACAATTTGTTCTCTCTTTAAACCTACCCTGGTAATATATGCTTATTATCCAGAGTGATTAGGTGTCAAATTGTTTTCACATTATTTTATCATTATTATCCTTGTCTATTCTTACCCCTATTTCCAGTCTAGTTGACCTTTTATTTTTTATATATAAATGTTCTTAACAAGTATATGTGTGATCAGATTGTTCGAAATGTATTGCGCTAATATATCACATGGTTCTGATAATCTTCGTCTTCTCATTACATTATCGAAATTTATCAAAGGGACTAATTGCATTAACTATTCGTAATTCATCAAGTTGATTTACAGATATTTCCATTATTCTAACGAGTCATTTTCTTGCCTGTTATCTTTCCACAGACCCTGAACAGTTTATATTCAAAACGTGTTCCACTACTTGATATTGCTGTTGTACAATGGTCAGAATGTTGTATATTGTTACTAGAAGTTATTAGTGGATTGATTAACATCTCTGATGCTAATGATAAGCACGTATTTGATGTCCACTTGCCTAATTCGGTGATAATGAACAGTAATATTATTAAACGTGCAAAATCTAATGAAATTTGGTCTATTCTTGCATTTCGGTTAATGTTATTCTTATATTTTCGACGACCCGGTATATCATACTTACTTCATTCAGACGTGACCCGACAACTGGTGTGTTATCCATGTCCTGTAATAAATAAATCTACAAATGCATATTCTTTGACTGAGAAATTTGGACTTGCAAATTTGAAAAACTCCAATTTTGCTCAACCAGAAGTGAGTTTTAAACATGAATAACAATTTATTGAACATAAGAATTTACATAACATAACATACTCTAAGCTTTCGTTCATGACTACAGTTTATTATATTTTGGGACGGAAATGTTCAAACTTAGTTTTTATCTAGTAGACAATTTCTGTTGGGAAACATTTCTATGTCAAATGAATCACATGGAAATGAGATAATTTAATGATTGATCGGTCTACAAAATGGTAAAAGATAATTGCGATACTATCGAACAATCCCCTCCATTTATTTCTTCCTCATCATAAGTGTATTCTCATGCACTTGGTTGCCTATTTTTTCTCCAATAATTTGGAGAAGTATCACTTACATCTATTTGTTTGGATTCTTCTGTTTAAACATACTAGAGAAACAAAATTATATTTACGATTTCACATTACTGGTTTTATCTCTTCTGATCAACGTGAGCAATGAATGTCTGAATTGTGTAAACTTCGATGTAATTCGTTTATCAAGTGTAAAAGTTTATGTACGCGCCTCTGATCCACACTGTTTATTTAAAGGGTATTAGTATTACTACTCAATTGTTTAAATAGAAATAAATATGAATAGTCGTGTCGTCTCAACTTCCCGACCGTTGCTGCTACCTTGACGTGGTGGTCGAGCTTACCGATCGAGATATACTGGCTGGAACAATCGTTCCTCAAGGTCCTACCATGCCAGGCAGGTCGGCTGAAGAGCGGTAAGACTAAAAGCAGCAAACCTAAGGTCCATAGGCGAATTCGTACTGCTGACTGTACAGAGATGTGACGGCAGTAAGGTATTTCCTTCAGACAACAAGTATAACAGCGATGCTGCCTTCCACAAGGAGGGGTGGGGTTAAAAAAGGTCGACCCGAAAAATGCACACCTCGCCTTATCCCACGGATATCCGTCCCCGGCGGTAAGGTCCCAACAAGTACAGAGCTAACACAAAAGTTACCCACAAAAAGGTCGTATGTGACCGACCTCAAGCAATTGTCCCTTGGGTACTTCGGTCACGCTCTCAGGTTATTAAGATCACTTCTAAACCATTTTTTTCAGGTACCTCTAGAAGAACCCTTCCACGGTGTGGGCAACCGGGAAGTGATAACCACCCTTATACATCTAACAGCACTCAAGTTCACTGTATTCATAAGCGATCTCCCGTTTCAACTTGTGAGTTATTTATGCAGACCTACTAAATAAGTAAATTCTGTAGGAATATCTTACTTCACTTTTATGGATATTCCATCTGTAGTGAATTAAGCTTTGTCTTTTTACCGCATCATATTACCATCTTTAATAGACTCTACCAAAATTTACCTGTAGTATACCGTTGCGGAGTTTTATCTGTCTGTTTTTACATCTGATTACCATTTGTAGATCATCACTATGGTAATGTTTGTTCAAAACATTACTAGTATTTTCACTATTTCGATTTAGTTAAAATAGTTATACTTGTTTCTTTTTTAACTCATAAACAGGTTGATCGCATTGGTCCGATTATCCTGGTCAGTTTAACATCATCCAATATGTCGATTATGAATACTGCACAATTAGCCTGTAAAGCTTTTATTACTCAGCATACAAGAACTTGTTTACGTTTATTACCGATTATATGTAGTTTAAGTGAAGGACGACTTAATATGACATGGAGACAGTTCATGAATAAACGTTATCATTTATTTTTTTCCAATTTACTTCACATCTTAGAAATGTTATCGACTATATCTGTTGATTGTTCGGCAAAAAATCTGCTTGATGTTTACGCAGGTAATGGTTGTTTATCAACTGTGGAAAATAGCGCTTTATTCAGCAAAGAAGTGCTACCATACAGGTGAGGTTAGCTTTTCTTATATTCTCTTTCCATTCTCACCAACTGTATATGACTTTTGTATCACAACTACATTTAGCTGCTAATAAACTTCGACTCTAGTCGGCGATCACATGTTTAAGCATTCAGTCATAGGTATATTCATTATCACCAGCAGTATAACTGAACCATATGAGAAAGTATGGGATTCGTATATTACAGTTCCTTAGGGATTGAATTGCAACTCGATATCGATGACAATAACACTAATGTACTTTTATTTATCCCTCTATAAATTCAATATACCTTCACCATCTACCTGTTTATTCTTCTTTATTCACTTCCCCATCTTGAATTATTTTGAAATTTCTCCGTTTCTTATCGATATTTCTCTTTTGGTATTGTTAATCAATGGTACGAATGTAAATTGATATGTTAGTTCACTAAGTTATACTTTTTACTATCTGTCAAAAAGCCCAATTAAATACAATTAAATATCCAAATAATAGTATCAGAATAAATTAATCTTTGTGCTCTGAATGTTAAATTGCCGCAATGAATTTTCTTATTCTGTGGGGGGTATTATGTTTTTGTATAAGTAATTTTTTTTATTACAGGCGAATTCGTTCAGTCAGTAGGAGTTACTAAAGTTCATGTTGACAATTAGTTCCTCTTACACAGTACGTAACTTTTATTGACTTCAATGTGGTTGAACGGTATTGATGATAATGAAATTATATGGCCTATTTCATTTTATATGTCTTTCGACTAAAACGTCGAATACGAATTGCATTTAGAACAATACATTCCAAACATTCATGTGACCAGACAAACTGAACATGTGTGTATGGAAAGTGAATAGCTGCAGACAGAAGTAGCTGTTCAACAATCTTCCCAGCTAATAAATAGTGAATTTGTTTTTTTTTGTGAGGTGAATAATACGTAAACTATATATAACCAGTTGGAGTATAGACGACTGACTCAACTAAGACGAGCATGACTGAAAATTATTCGAAGTTAATTTATAAGAATTTTCGTTCAAATTTCACAGTAGTTGAGCGCCAAGTTATTGTAAGATGTTAAGGAGAAAATTTGTGTTCGTAAAAATCCCAGCGATTGAACTTAAAGTAAATCCTGACAGCAGTGAATGAGCGTTTTTTATTCCAAAGCTAGTTTATAATCCTCTATTTCAATTCCATTAAATCTATATATTAGTTGATAGTCTATTTCAAGACATTTAAAGATGATCCAAAAATTTTGAACTGTTGTCGGTTTTTTCCAAAATTTTATTTGACCAAATCCTCTGATAAATCTATACAAAGAAAAAAACACAAGGTTTGCATAATAGCATGAATTCATCAGTGTATTTCACGATTTCTTACCAGCTACATACTACCTAAACCTACAATTAATAACAGGACTTTTAACAGATGTTTAGCATACTTTAAGTTTTGAAGTTTAGTTAAATGTTTAAAACGTCACTGAAATCATAATCATGGGAAAAATAGGGATGACATCTACTTTACTCTGCATTATTATTTTTCAACATATAAATGCACACTGATCTGTACTGTTTGTTTATAAACATTGTTTCCCTATTCCCTTATGGTTATTATGATTTGGGTAACGTTTCGAATATTTCTCTAAACTTGTAGATGATGAAAAACTATGAAATAGAATGCATCCATTTTACTCTTCCAACCTTGTTTTTCTTGATGTGTTTGGACTGGGAACTTTGCATAAATACCTCATGATTGGTTCAGATAAATTCGAAAAAAATTAAATACATTTTGTTAAATGGTGCTACTTGACGTGATTTCAAGTCTACCTAAGAGGGACGATTAAAATCACCTTTTCTCTGAGTCTTCAATATATTTTTGCTTGAATTACTGTTTTTTTAAGCTCTCTCTTAACTTTTTTTCCTAGTTCTTTGTACTAATTTACTGTGTATATTATCAATTTTTATAACGTTTTAAGTTTGATATGAATTGCTTTTACCATTATATGTCTAAACATATTTTAACGGTAATAACTTCCTTTTGTAGTAAATACGTGGAACGCCTTTTATCGAACTTAGTTGGGGTCCTAGCGTGCTTTCGCGGACACACTCGTCATCTTAGCGGGTTTCCAAAACGTTTGGCTAGAATTCTTCAGTTTCATTTTCAATTCACCCATTGGAGTGTGAATGTTAACGAAACTTTTAGTCTGTTTAAAGAGGATGAAAATATTAACGACAATCTTGATGTACTTGCTGAACAATTTGAAGAATTTGTCCCTATTTCCTCGATGTTAACTCAAATTAATGAATCATGTGGCGGAAAGTATCGTTATTCCTCTTCCCTTCTTTCAGTTATTTCAAAATGTCGTGGACAGATAAGTAAACAATGGAATTTATCTGTAATGCAACCATTTATTTATCATCTCAGAACTTGTGTTCATCCTCAGTGTAAGTTTTAACTTATTACATTTAATCTGCGTTGATTTGTTGCACCTTAGTTGTCTTTTTAAACCTGTTAAAATTATGTTATATCACATAAAAACACCATCTCCACAAGTGCAGATAAGTTACCTGATTTAAGAAATAAATTCTCAACAATTTGAACCCTATTGGTAGTCATAAGGCTAATTCAAATAATCAAAATTATCCGCCTAGACACTTTCAATAAGATTTCATTTTTGAAACACTTCATCGTATTTTACTATCTCATTTGAGCTTTGAAGTTTACGAACTTTCCAGTTCATTTTCTTCAATTTATCACCTTACTCATTAATGATCTACCATTTTATCACCCCATTTAATCTTTCTATCTGAACGTTTCCAAAGCGTAAAGCTTAGTGCTATAATTCATTGTAAAGTCAGTCATTACCAGTGAAAAGCTCTCATAAAATAGTAAATAGATAGAATCTATACATCCCTGTTCCTAATTGAGTCAATTAGACGTGACATTATTATCTAAATTTCTGTTTTGCTGTACGTCAGTATACGAAATAACTAGTTATCCATAGTTCTTGTATACGTTTTCTGTGGTAATTCATTCCTGATATTTTTTTAATGTCTCCATGCTAAAAATGTCTTTCCGATTTGTTTGTAAAAACTGATGGGATTAATGGGGATCTATATGCTAAAGCTTTGTTTTTTGTCACCGTTTTTGTCGAATTCTTTTGGCTATTATTGTTAGTTTCTCTACTATTGTACGCTAGAGTATGCTTTCATTCTTTATGTATTAAACGTGACATGTACTTTTCTACTCTATACACCTTATCACGTTTTGTATTTGTACGTATAAGTCATATTATACCTATTAAATCATTAATATTTGTCCCCATTCATTAGTACTTTTTTCTTAGTCACCTTTGTGCATTATAAACGGTATTCATTTCTCTCAAGATTTCATTTAATTTCTACGTGTTAATCAATTGTAAAGTATTTACTAATCTTTCCTAAAAGGTTGTATACCGCGGCGTAGGTTTTCAATATCATCAACCAACTGCCGAAATTTAAAAGTAGTAAAATAAATACACAGTGTTGGCAATACTGTGAATTCAATGTTCTAAAACTTTTACATACTCTCCTTATTTTTTTATCTAGTTAAATACCTTAATCTATTATCACTATACTATATGGTTTTCATTATTATTATTCTATCAAATAGTGCTCAACAACTTGCTGAATGAATTAGAAATTGCTTCAAAACGAAAAGTTGTTCTTTTGTTATATTTCAAAGTAAGTCATTTATTCCGTATCATTAATTTTTTGTCAATCGTCATATTTTTATTCTTAATCGATTTGTCTCATTGTAAACTAAAAGTTAATTTAATGCACTCATATTAATATATGGTAGGAACCATTAAACAAAAATGAACCACCATCAGAGATTGTTAGTCCGAACTGTGTTGGTACATATAGATAACATTAATGGGACCCACATGATGATCCCCTGGTATGGCCAAGGGTGGGGAGAGTCTTCCCTCTCTCTTGAAATGCTCTCACATGGACACGCTTATACAGTCACTACCAAGGAAGTCCCACTCACTGCCTTCTCGCGAAGAGGGTGTTGTTTTTGAGATTGTTAGGACGAAAGGCGAATGTCCGACACTTTAACCGGGTTAGTAGATATTGAGGATCCACATAGGGGAGTCGAAAGACTCTGATTCCAAACCAATGGTGCACATGGGCTCCAGGATCCTGAAGGAACAGATGGGCCTCTAAGGCAACCACCTGTTTCAGTTTGTGCGCCCGGGTAGTATTTTAGCCCTCACACAAATCAATGGTAACTAGTTCTGGTCTCATTGTCATTGTGCGGTGCATCTATTTTTGGTGCCTCCTTGCATCAAAGTTTATGTGTTTAAATAAATAAATACTTATTTCTCTTCTTAATCTCAAGTTTTAGTGTTATTTCATACTTTTGTCCCCTTACTTTACGTCCCTCCTCAAACCATCTTTTTCTTTGGTCATACTGCCTTCATTACCACTACATCTTCCCTTTTCCCCGTCACTGTAGTGGGATAACTTGGACAGATTCATTGTTTGGCCGAGTTCCACATTGTTTATGCGTGACTGACTTTTTACAATATTGTGTATTCAGTGTCACGTTATTTCGCGCTAGTGGGTTGTTTTAGTGGATATTGGCTTGTTAAGTGTTACTCACCATTGTCTCTCGTCGATTTCAACCTTATATTTGATTAGTACTCTATTTGGAGTTGGTAATGACAAGTCTTTGAGACGTTATCTTGTAAGCTTTGGTGCTAAAGAAAAGATTTACGAAAATGTCTGTTGAAAAAACACAAGAGCTAATGTTAAGCGAGCAAACTAGGAAAGGATTATGACATTTAGAGTTGTGTACGTCAATCTCAGATTGTATATGTAAACCAAGTGAACTGTTTTCCTCCATATACATGTGTCTTTTTTCATAATAATTTCTTTGCATTTGTGTGTTCTATTCAGAATGAATTAGAATCACTTATTGGACACTCATGTGAAACTGTGGCTAGTCTTGCTGTAACACTTCTATTACGGTTATTGCACCACTTTCCTCATTTGGCTCATGAAACTGTTGCCAATACAGTCATACCTTATCTTTGTACGCGATCTAATAAACCTGATCATTTTACCCTGCCTTTATTATCTATGTTGCCGGATGCTGTAATGCTTGCTCCACATTCAGCGTCTACTCTTATGCAGTTATGTGCAGAACATATTTTGTTGGGCGTACCAAATGAGTTCACTTATTCGGCTGTCAATTATTTTGAAGTTAGTATGCGTCGCTTAACACTAGATGGATTTGACGGTGCATGCATAGAACACGCAAGCTCAGTACTGACAGCCAGTTCTTGTTTGGTTAGGACATCATTATAATCAAAAAATTTGTAAATATTCTTTCTTTGTAATATGTGTATAATATTATTTCAAGTCAATCATTATTTTTTTGACTGTAGATTGATTGTACATGATTGATTGCGATACAAATTCATAATTGTATAAATTTCTTATGTAATTATCCCATTTTTCTAAATTTTGAGTCCGTAGAATGGTATGTGTCTGTGCGTTAGGTGGTAATATATTAATAAATAACCCTTACATTTATCAAACGATCAGTTTTAGCTCTACGGTAATTTTGAATTACGAATGATTGAGATTCTTTTAAATGAAAAATGTCTCAAACAAACTTGAGATCGGTTGAAAAACCCTGATATTCAAGAATTTCAATTTGAAGTAGAACAACTGTGTATATATACTAAGGAAATATGACATTGAAACATAACATTGTAGGCAAATTAAAAATAATAACTTCCATTCAAACAACAAAGGTCAGCATGGGAACATGAGTTTGAAGGTTGTTATCGAGTTTATTCGTCGATGAAAAAACTAATAATAAGTAACATTTCGATAATCTTAGGTCACTATAGGATTTGTCCTACAGATATACTACTAGAACTGTACGCGCGATACTTGCGATCCCATAGTCTATGTGAAAGCTATGGTCAGAACAGGGACAACTTAGCTTTAAACTTTATCTGTTTCTAAACATAAAAACAATTAGATTAGTACAATAATTAAAGAACTACAGTCGTTAAGTGAAACGCATAAACATACCAACCAGTACTGCGTTTCTTATCAAAATAAATAAAGATTATGAGGCATACTAATGTAATAGGATAATAATGTCCTTCAATTGGTAGGTCACATGCAACAGGGATAGTCCACAGACACATCAGACCGGATTAAGGTAGTGGGAGCTTAAGCAACAATTTGATTGGTTAGTTATGGACATAACTAATATTCCCCCAAGCGAACACCTCGTCCAAACTTCACCACCGTCGCGTCTATATAATCGGCTTCTCCAAATAGACAGGTCCCGTATATCCCGGTTGCTGTCTTCAGTCGAACTGTTCTGACTCGTCCATCTGGACCATAATTGACTTGTTTAACTATAGCTTTCGGCAACATATTTTTCGGTGAGCCAGTATTGTTTACTAACACTAAATCTCCCGGTTGTAGATTCCTTCTCATGTCCAACCACTCGGATCTCGCCTTATGGTTTGGTAGGTACTCCCGTAACCACTTGTTCCAGAATAGGGTGTTTAATTGTTGCGCTTCCTCCTGTTATTTAAGCACGTTTTACTCATCTGCGCTTCTTCGAGTGAAACACCTCTATGAACTAACAATAACTCATTTGATGAGAATATATCCAAATTATCACAGTCATTAACTAACTTTAAGAGCGGTCGATTTTTCAGTATTCCTTCAACCTCTATTAAAAACATCTCCAAAGACTCGTCCGTCAATAACTGTTGGTTATACAATTATTCTTATTGACTTTATAATGCGTCACCATACACTGCCTCGATGACTAGCTCTAGGAAGGTTAAAACGCCATTCACAACCTCTTTCTAAAAGGGCTATCCTATTTCGGTTCCAACTACACATCTATCTCAGACTAATACTGGCTTTTTTAAAGGTGGTGGGAGCTTAATTAACGATTCTGTGGGTTAGTTATGGACTTAACTAACAGTCATCTGAGCTTCTCTTTTTGTAGATCCCGTGAGTTGAGTCTCACTTTTCACGACGTTTCTTTGCTGTCGTGTACTTCATCTCAATGGCTATTCTGGAGGTCTTTGTATTTTTTCTCTGCTAGTCAGTTCTACTTCTGAAGGTTTAAAATATCAGGGCGAGTGTCTGTGCGACATTCGGTGCTTCTAGTTGATCTTTACGGAGTCTTCTGCATGTGTGGTTGTCGTGGTGAACTGACGTTCATTTTTCCATAGATACTCTGAAAATGACTTATTCGCTTACATTATGACACGCATGTACACCTAAACTCAAGTCTTATATAATGTTTCCTGGTTTTTCTTCATCCATGACTAGTTTCTTCGCGTCATTTTGTGTTTGGATCTTTCGTCCTTCCGCTTGTAAATGTTGCTGCAAGATTTTACCGTTTTCGGCGCTCTTGTGAATTGGTAGGATGATCTCTGCTAGTGTCCCTACTCTTTTTGTTTCTAATGTCATCCTACTGAAAGTAACCACAATCCATTTAACCTATCCTTTAGAATGTGGTAACCGCCTGTTTCTTGCAAATACTAACATTTTTTGACATGGCGACCCCCGATCAGGTCTATATTAGCTACCGATGGAGGGGTTCGATAGAAGACTGACGCTTGTTGTAGAGCACATCCTTAGATTCAGATCATGCTCTAGTGCGAGCAAGTGTGTGTTTGCGTCTTAATGGACATAGGAAAGACGCTGAAAGTCAGCCTCTTAGGGTTCTACTTAATGATAGGCTAGGCAATTCAGAAGATTGGATTGGTGGGCAGAACACATTACGGATCAGTACAACTGGCCTTCGTTCGCACTTCGGTTCCTCACGATCTGCAGTCGACCTGAATGGCCAGTTGAGGTAAGTCCTCCAACTCTTTACAAGGTTGGAAAAGTTATAGGAAATCTTAAGCGAGGGAGAGCAACAGGCCCTGACAGCTTTAACCCTGAAATTTCTAAGGGTGGCGGTCCAGTAGTAGCAGTGAGATTGACTGAGGTCTTAGGTAGAATGTGGGAACTGGATGTAATTCCATCTGATTGGTCCCAATCACTGATTGTGCCAGTCTATAAGAAAGGACAAAAGTCCTCTTGTGACAATCAAAAAGGAGTCAGTTTGACTAATATAGTGTCTGAAATATTAGATTCAATAATACTTGGACGCCTAATCAAAGCTCGTGAAGAGCAGACTAGAGAGAAGCAGGCTGGTTTTCGTCCTGGACTAGGTTATTTAGACCAGATATTCACTCTACGTCAGGTCCTAGAACATAGACACAAATTCAGACGTCCCACAATCGTAGTATTTCTCGACCTTAAGGCGGCATTTAGGCTGCAGTCGATCGTCGAGAAGTGCCCAACCAAAGACCTGACAATTGTGATGGGAGATCTCAATGCTAAGGTTGGAATGGACAACACTGGATACGAAGACGTCATGGGACAACATGGACTGGGAGAAAGGAACGAAAATGGTGAGAGATTTGCAAACCTTTGTGCCTTCAATAAACTGGTCATAGGTGGCACCATATTCTCACACAAAAACATACACAAAGCCACTTGGATTTCACCGGATCACACTACACAGAATCAAATCGACCATATCTGCATCAACAAAAAGTTCAGGAGGACGATGGAGGATGTGAGAACCAGAAGAGGAGCTGATATAGCATCCGATCATCATTTGCTGGTCGCCAAGATGAAACTAAAACTCAAGAAGCAGTGGACAACATCACAAAAGTTTAATACGGCCTTTCTTCGAGATGCTGACAAACTCAACAAATTCAACATAGCCCTCAGCAACAGGTTCCAGGCCTTTCATGATCTACTCAATGGACAGGGAACTACCATGGAGAGCAACTGGAAAAGTATCAAGGAGGCAATCGTTTCAACGTGTCAGGAGGTTCTGGGCCAAAAGAAGCACCATCACAAGGAATGGATCACTGTTGGTACACTGGATAAGATTGAAGCAAGGAGGAACAAGAAGGCAGCAATCAATATCAGCCGAACAAGAGCAGAAAAAGCCAAGGCACAAGCCGAATACACAGAGGCAAACAAGCAAGTGAAGAGGAGCATCAGAACCGACAAACGTAAATATGTTGAAGATTTAGCGATGACAGCGGAAAAGGCTGCAAGAGAGGGAAACATGAGACAACTGTATGATACAACAAAGAAACTTGCTGAAAATTACCATAAGCCAGAAAGACCAGTGGAATGCAAGGAAGGCAAAGTAATCACCGACATTGAAGAACAACGAAATAGGTGGGTAGAACACTTCAAAGAACTCTTAAATCGACCAGCTCCACTGAACCCACTCAACATTGAAGCAGCACCCACAGACTTCCCAATCGATGTTGGCCCACCAACAATTGAAGAGATCAGCATGGCCATTAGACAAGTCAAGAGTGGCAAAGCAGCGGGACCAGACAACATCCCGGCAGAGGCACTGAAAGCAAATGTAACAGCAACTGCCAAGATACTACACATCCTCTTCAGTAAGATTTGGGACGAAGAACAAGTACCAAAAGACTGGAAAAAAAGAATTCTGATCAAGATACCAAAGAAAGGCGATCTTAGCAAGTGCGACAACTACATGGGCATCACTCTTCTGTCAATACCAGGGAAAGTCTTCAACCGAGTATTGTTAAACAGGATGAAGGATTCCGTGGACGCCCAACTTCGAGATCAACAAGCTGGATTTCGTAAGGATAGATCGTGCACAGATCAAATCGCAACTCTACATACCATTGTGGAACAATCAATCGAATGGAATTCATCACTCTACATCAACTTCATCGACTACGAGAAGGCATTTCATAGCGTGGACAGGACGACATTATGGAGGCTTCTTCGACAATACGGCGTGCCTGAGAAAATAGTCAATATCATACGGAACTCCTATGATGGACTAAACTGCCAAATCGTCCACGGAGGACAACTCACCGACTCGTTTGAAGTAAAGACTGGTGTTAGGCAAGGTTGCTTACTCTCACCCTTTCTCTTTCTCCTGGTCATCGACTGGATTATGAAGTCGTCAACATCTGGAGGAATGCACGGGATACAGTGGACAGGCAGGATGCAGCTTGACGATTTAGACTTCGCGGATGATCTGGCTCTTCTATCACAAACGCAACAACAAATGCAGGAGAAAACGACCAGTGTAGCAGCAGCCTCAGCAGCAGTAGGTCTCAATATAAACAAAGGGAAAATCAAGACTCTCCGATACAATACAATATGCACCAATCAAATTACACTTGACGTAGAAGCTTTGGAGGATGTGGAAACCTTTACATATCTGGGCAGCATCATTGATGAACACGGTGGGTCAGATGCAGATGTGAGGGCGCGGATCGGCAAAGCAAGAGCAGCATACTTACAACTGAAAAGCATCTGGAACTCAAAACAATTGTCAACCAACACCAAGGTTAGAATTTTCAATACAAATGTCAAGACAGTTCTACTGTATGGGGCGGAGACGTGGAGAAATACGAAAGCCATTATCCAGAAGATACAAGTGTTCATCAACAGCTGTCTACGCAAAATACTTCGGATCCGATGGCCAGACACTATCAGCAATAAGTTACTGTGGGAGAGAACAAACCAGATACCAGCAGAGGAAGAAATCAGGAAGAAGCGCTGGAAGTGGATTGAGCGCACCTTGAATAAATCAGCTAATTGCGTCACAAGACAAGCCCTCACATGGAATCCTGAAGGTCAACGGAGAAGAGGAAGACCAAAGAACACATTACGCCGAGAAATAGAGACAGAAATGAGAAGAATGAACAAGAACTGGATAGAACTAGAAAAAGAAGCCAAGGACAGAGTGGGTTGGAGAAAGCTGGTCGGCGGCCTATGCTCCATTGGGAGCAACAGGCGTAAGTAAGTAAGTAAGTAAGTTAAGGCGGCATTTGACTCCGTTGATCGTGAGATTCTATGGCAGTTTTTGTCATTGAAAGGAGTACCAACCTTATACAGGCTCTCTACCCGAAGACAACTGGCTGGATGAGAGCTTATGACGAACTGTCATCAGAACTGGTTACCTCAAGTG